TAAAACAAACAAATGATTCAGTGCGTTTGAATATCCTTTCGTGTGGTTAAGAATAGTAGAATATAGTGATAGGATATATGTATGCTGCAAAGCACAGCCACTCATAAATATTTATATTTCTTTATTTCTATATACACAAACACATTTTCACAGGTTTACACATATATATATATATATATATATATATATATATATATATATATATATATATATATATATATATATATATATATATATATATATATATATATATATATATATATATATATATATATATATATATATATATATATAAACATATCCCTCAGTTTGTATATTCATATGTAGAGTGCGACAACTGGAATCAGAGATCATGCCTAAAATCAAAAGATCTCATTTTAAGGCACAAACATAATCTTATTTTACTGCTCTCATTAAGAACAAAGACTCTTATCTTTAGAAATATTAGTTTTTTTATGATTAAATTTTGTTGTTTTATGGAGGTCAAGGCGATATGTAGAAATAATGACTACATCCCATGCTGTAAGGACATTTTTGGTTTCATTGGTTTTGTGTTGGAAAACACAAATAAGTGTTTCTTCTGCTTTAGTTTGTTGTTTTCCAATTAATTTTACACTTGTATTAATGTTGGGATTTTTATCTATGAAGAGATAAATCTTTGCGTAAAAAAACATTATATTTTGGTCTGTCTGATAACGTCGTTTTATAAAGTCAATCAGGCTGAGATCAGTAGTAGATCTTCTTACCGATGTTTTTTACTGTTATTCTTGTCATTCTTGGATTACTTTTTACTTAAAGGTTTTCAGATCACTCCATGGATATAAAAGCTTCCTCTCAAAGAACAGAGTTTCTCTCTATAATTGCCGTTATTTAAAACGGAGATCATTCAGAGATCTCCTTCTGATTAAAATAAAAGCCACTGTTCTGTTCTAGCAGAAACAAAAACCATTAAAAGTTGGTAAAAGGAACACACCTTAAGCTGAATTATTAAAGTGTAATGATGATGTTATGTAAATGCTTTTATTTTAAAATACGAAGATAGGGACCATCCCTTCTGCTGCTTTCATTAAAGAAGTAATTGCCTGCAAATTGCCTGAGTTTTTAAACGTTAAAACCTATGTTGTTGCTCAGCAATAGGTTTTTTTTTCCAGGTGATTGACAGGTCGAGTGATGGGAGGAGATGCATTGGACAGAGAAAGAAATGGCGCAAGAAACATCCTTGTCCAGGAGCTGGTTTAGCTACAAGGCTTGGCTAACCGCATACAGCGATGCTAAGGTTTTATTCTGCTTTCGCTGCCTCCTTTTTCAAAGGTCAGGATCTGACTTAGCATGGATGAAGACAGCTAGGACTGATTTAAAGCACTTTGCAGAAGCCAAAGAAAAATGAACAATGCTGGAAAATAATATAATATAGTGCACTTTTTCTAGGTGTTTGTTAATTTGCATACTTGCTGATAAGTAAACACATCTTCAGAAAATAATTTTCATTTCTTAAAAAAGTACAAAGCTGACTATTAGCTTCTCCATTATTAAACAGGTACATTATTTTTTTAGGTTTGTGACACAATATTGGACCATTTAAAACACAGATGTATCTTCACAAAGCTCATAAGGGCAAGATTTATGTACAAAAACTAAACCTGTTCATGAAATTATGTTTTGTTTTTATAAAGTGTTTTCATAATGTTTTTTGTTGTTTGCATTCATACAGATATATTGGTGTGATAATTTATTAAACATTTGACTGGTTGTTTATATATGTCTATTTTGAATTTATTTATTGTGGGGAGAAAACTCCACCAGTCGCCACTGATACACATTATCCAGATTCTCAGATTCATCCACACAAAAAGAAGGGAGTGAAAAGAGGTCTAAATTAGCTAATTTCTATTATCTCTATTTTTTACTCCTAAAAGTGACTAAACATGAATTTAAAAAGAATTTCAAAAGGACGTTATTGGTAAAATAGCAGGTTATGGCTCCTTTGAAGTAACAATACTGGTTTTAATAACTAATTTTATTTCTAAATTCCATCTAAAATAACCAACAAACAGCCATTGTTTTACTTCTTGATTCAATCCCATTAAATATTGTCCCTCTTTATGCAGTTATCCCATGTGTTGTGCCGTAATCCATGATCATAATTTTGGACATTTAGAACCAATGTTCAGGTTTCATCTTAAACATGATAACTGGGGAAGAGAATGTTGTTTCACCCATAAAACAGCTGTGATAGCTCTCTTCTCTGCTCTGCACCCCCCTATCAGCCAACTGGCTCCACAGGACTCCTCCTAACCTCCTAAATAGGTGTGGCTGCTGCTGCCTCCAGCCCTCCAAACGAACATAGAGGTTTGCAGAACAAACAATATGTCTTTGATGATTTTGATCATTTCTTGTGTTTACTGATAAGCAGAGGTGTCAAGTAACGAAGTACAAATACTTAGTTACTGTACTTAAGTACACTTTTTAGGTATCTATACTATATTGATGTTTATAAATATTTATTTCACATCATGTGCTCCATCCAATGCAGATCATTTCTCCATCCAAATCTAGTGAAAACTGGTGTAATTGGATGAGTCATATAACGCAAACACTCATTGGTTAGCTAAAGGAAATCATCAGCAGCAAGCCGGTGTTCTTCAAACTGCAAACGTGAATTGTCTATGCCATGCTACAATGTAGGATTCAGAAAAAGATGTTCAAATGTCTGAAAGGTCGGACACAGGCGAGAGCGTATGATGAAGAGATGGAGACCAACAAGACCTCCCTCATCCTTGGCCCTATCTCAAAGAATTTTTCCAAATAGTCAAAATATTTACCTTTCAATTCATATTGTTGCATCTGGCTGTTTTTTTTAAAGGTCACTTTATTCTTTTATACTTTAAGTAGTTTTTGGAGCACATACTTTTCCACTTTTACTTGAGTAAAGAGGTCAAGTTGATACTTCAACTTTTACCAGAGTGTTTTTAAACTGCAGTATCTATACTTCTACTTAAGTAACAAATGTGTACTTTTGACACTACTGGTGATGAGTAAAAACAAAGCTAACACGATGGACTGTATGCTATGCTATATTAACATGTGTTGAGCTGTTGTTGAAGCTTGGACAAGCTTTATTCACTAAGGATTTAAACACTGATATAACATTAATATTGATGTGTTCCTCAGATGCTCATTACATTTCCATTAGCAAGCATGACCAAGAGTCATTTAGTGGAATCCTGATGTCGTTTAGCTGCTAGCTATTTCAAAGAGGGTAAAGAATCATTTGACTAAAGGTTATTGGTTCCTGATTTTATTATTATTACTATTTTATCAAACTTTAAAAAATCCGACTGTTTATGATAGGTAGAAGTGTAATGTTTATGAGTCTTTGGAGACCATTCCTTGAATATGTTAACAAGTCTGATAACTCATTTATTCCTGACCCCAACGCTTAAGGGGGACACGCTGAGCATGATTAACATGCTATGTTTCAATGTGGCTATGTCTATTTAACTATGTCTTATATTTAGCATTTGCTGTTTGATGTGTAGGCTGCGATGCTCTGTTCAATGAACGTTCCAGGCGACTGGTTGTCAGAGCACTGATGGATCAGCCAGATAAGTTTCTCTGGGTTACTCTCTGGCAGTCACATAGTTACCACTCAAAGCTGTGCATCCTGGGAAACGACAGAGGTTGAATCCTCGAGTAAAAAAAAACAAAATATAGGACTAATTTTACTGCAGAATATACTAAAGTTTATCCACGTCTAGTGAAGGGGAGGAACAGTGGCGGATCTAGAGCAAATTTACCAGGGGGCCAAGAGGGGCCAGCCTGTTTTCATAGGGAAAAAGAAAAGCATGATATAAATAATCAGGTCAAGGGATTGAAATTCAAATTTCTTTTCTATTAGGTTCAATAAAAATTCTATTTCTTATGAGGTCAATATACATTTATAATTTAGGAATTTACATAGTTTTTTACTTGATTTAAGTTAAAACTATCGTTTTCTATAAAATTTGAATTAGAACTCAAGAAAAACTGTTAAATTCATCTATAAAAATTAGAGGATTTTTTTTTACTTGTTATGAAAAAAAAACATTTAGCAGATGAAAACTGGGATCCTATCTCAATACCACTGAAGCTATCACCTTATTGTTTTTGATTAATTAGTAATACAGAATTTGTAAAGAAAAAGAATGAAATAGATCCAAATGACCTATCAGTTACCATGCCTGTTCCAGCGCATATCATCATTAGAATTTCTTTTAAGTATTATGTCTTCAGTACAGGGGCCATAACAGGGGCCAGGACATGATCTACAGGGGCACTGGCCCCTGTTGGCCCTTGTCTAGAACCGGCCATGGTGAGGAATGATGACACCGTGGCGGGGTGCACTGTATGCTGAAATTCCATGAAAAACAGAAAGTACAACCGATGTTCAAGGCTACAAGATTGAAAGTATTGAAAATAAAAGACAAATACTGTTCTTTTTAGTGTTTATGAAATAACTGTTAGTTAATGAACAGTTGATGAAAAGTTGCTGGCCTTAAGTGTGTATGTATGGGGGACCGGATCCATTGTTCCCGGGGGGCGGGCGGTTGGGGTATGAGTATATATATCTGACTGAAATAAGTTTTTGGAACTTGGGATGTCTCTGCTGCTTTTATTTTAAAGGAACATTTAGAAGCTTGTCTGAGGATCTGATGGACCTTTAAACTGTTTAAAGACCCGTTTTGAATCCTGCAGTTTTTTATTAGCAGCAACCAGCTGGATGAAAACAGCTAAACTGTTACATGAACTTTGTGTTGGTTGAAAACCAGAAATCTGTGAGTTGGCTGTCCTGCTTCTTAAAAAAAAAAGTTTCTGGATAATTTTCTGACATATAAAAGACCCCAAATGAAAAACAACTCTTTATTAAACCAAAGTCAGTTGTCTGTATACACTGAGTGAAATCAAGGTCGCTCTTTTAGTGCTTCTCTCTCCCAGAGCCGAGGAGAAATGAATCAGATTAAGGATTCAGATCGTTTATTGTTTATTATGGAAGTAGAAATCTTTGGTCAACAACGACACAATACAGGGGATTTGCTTCTTGTAGTCAAACCCGGGCAGGTTGGATGCAGACTCAAAGTCCAACGCCACATGGTGGTTGACTCGGGTCATGATCTGCATCAGCTCCAGCTGTCCGCTGAACTTATCCAGGTTTTTACACAGAGACTGGATGAACCAGGAGCCGTTGCTCGTGTTCCTCCAGGAGTAGTAGCCTGCAGGCGGAGGGACAGGTTAGAGAGCGGGTTTAACCAACCAACCAGCAGGAAGACAGTCTGGATGGTTACCTGGAGCTGTGGAGTACGCGTACAAGAAGTCTGCCTCTACAGGAATCCGCTCAGATGTCTGATCTACCACAGAATCCGTCTCTATCGAACAGCCGTCATCCAGGGCTGAACCTCGGCACGCCTGAAAACACAAAGAAGGAGAAGGGAAGCAGATTAAATACAAAGTTCAACCCCCCATCAAAGCTGGAGATCTTTGAGTGAAACCTAAAGGGTAACTGACCTGTATGAAGAGCAGCTTTGGTTTCCCCACCAGGCTTTTACAATTGTCTCCTTTAAGGCATCTGATCAGATCCTCGAACTTTTCGAATCCATCGGTGCCGTAAACCACGCCCTCGTCGCCGTGACTCAGGAGCACGCAGACGAACGACGCGTTCTGACTGTGGTCGTCTGCAGCCACTGCAGACACACAACCGCATTTACTCTAAAGCATCACAACTATACTGTCATTGTTATGGCATTAGCGGTATAAGCACTGAAAAAACAGGGAAGTAAAAATGCTGCACGGTGGAGCAGTTTGTAGAACTGCTGCCCCGCATCAAGAAGGTTCTGGGTTCAATTCCAAGCCCTGGGTCCTGATGGCCTTTTCTGAGTGGAATTTGTATGTTCTCCCTGTGATGCATGGGTTCTCTCTGGGTACTCCGACTTCCTCCCACAGTCCAAAAAACATGACTGTTAATTGGCTAAGTAGAAAAGCCTGGTTGTGTGTCTCTGTGTTGCCCTGAAACAGACTGGGGAACTTTCCAGGAAGGACCCCGCCTCTGACCCATTAACTGCCAGAGATAGGCACCTGCCCCACCGCCACCCTGACAGAATTGGCGGGAGAAAATCAATTTTTCTAATATTTTTTCCTTTTTTTTTAGGCATTCATTTTTCCAAAGAACAAAGTTGAATTTCAAAATCCTATTTTACTGAGTTCACTGATGAACACAGGCCTCAGTGTGAAGCATGCTAGTGGCAGCATTATAGTAGGGACAATGTCTCTGAGAGGTCTGGTTCTACCCCAGACTGAGACTGTTATGGTTCTCCCCATTTAGGACTCTGACGTTTTAGTTTTCAGTTATTCCGTTATGTTGATCTTTGTTTTATTTTCTATTATATTCCAGCAGTCTTTAGTTACTCTCTGCTGCCCCCTTGTGCTTGTTTCCTTACCTCCTTGTCTTCCTTCTAGTTAGTTCCACTCACACCTGCTCCATATTCAGCTCATTAGTCCATCCTTTGTTCTGTTCCCCTTCTATTCTCCACCTCTGCAGTCACTCAGTGCTGGTTCCTTGCTGTTGTTTGTTGCTTCCTGATCTCTGGCTCCCCATGTGAGTTTCCCTTGATGTTTTCTGGTCATTTCTTTCTTGGGATTTTGGGATTTTGCCTCAGTTACTCATTAAATCTACAAGATTCACCTCAGCCTCCTGATCTCTGCATTCGGATCCTCAAAAACCTCCACCCCATTGTGACAGAGACGGAACCAAGATCCCAGTTTTACCTCAGCAGATTTCAAGAAGTTGAAATAGAACCAAGGAACCTGAAGAGTGAAATGGTCAAATAAGCTGCTTACCTTTCCTGATCTCCTTTTTCATGTCATCCACACTCTGGTCGTTGAGTACTTTGACCTTGTAGCCCAGGTTAGTGAAGGTCTTCCTCACGGCACCAGCATCAACATCCGTCCCGTTTCTGCAGCTCATTCCTGAAAGGCAAGAAGGAACTTGTTGACATCATGTTGACATTAGCTTGAAGTCAACATGAGGACCGCTGGATGAACCAACAGGAGGATCAGTAACAGAATAAGAAGGATCCACAGTTTAAACCTAGGCTGATTATGCTGCTGAAGTTACTGATGCTTATTTGATTGGATCTATATAGAATTTCTTATGTTTAATTGAAAATAAGCCTAAATTTGCCTAAATTTCCTCCATCTTTCAAACCAATCAGCATAAAACAAATGAATGACTAATGCAGAAATAAAAAAAAAAACAGGAAAAAGCAAACATGGAGCCACGGATCCTTCCTTAAGTCTCTGAGCTGCTCTGTAATCCGGCGGTTAAACTGATAACCCTTAGTATGACACAAACAGCCAAGATAGTGTTTTTAATTCCCAATTTTTAAATGTTCAGTGTGAACATAGGAACCTTTGGCAAACACTTGTTTCCAGTAGGACTGGAACACGGACATATTTTCTGCTGACTGCAGAGCTGAAACCAGTCAGGAACCAAGGAGCTCTGTTTGTGAAGAAGCTTATATAACCTACGTTCTGAGATTAACACTGTATGAAAATATTGTAGAACGTTATTACCACATTTCATTCTGCAGCATATTTGCTACATTAGTGTCCAAAGGTATGCCCTAATCCCTATATTGGGCACTATATAGTGGTTGCGCCATTTTAAATGAGTGCGCGATCATCTAGTGGACAATTTTCCACAATGCATCTTGAAAAGTAGTGATCATCCATGGTCACTGGACGAGCAGATATATCCCAGAATGCTTTGCGCAGAGAGCTCTTCTCGCAAAGCATTATGGGATTTGCTGGAACAGCGGCCCGCTGTCCCCATAGGCTGTCACTCCCTGACAGCGGCGACTAATAACAAAGATAAAAGCACAGCACAGCCTATGCCATCCAGCTCATGCTACATCCTAAACAGTGCTGTATAGAAATAACTTCCAGAACTGGTTTGCTTCAGGGACCCTTAGTTATATTTTTATAATCTTTATAAAAGAAAAAATTGGGATATAAATGTTTGTATCACTGAGTTATTTGTATGTCATTATGGACCGTAAAGACTGTTATCTACTAAATTAAATGTTATTTATTTGGTAGGGCTCGATGTTAACCATCGCCTGATCTCCCGGGGCAAGTACGGTAGTTTTTACTGTTGGGAGAGTACATATTTCATTGCATTTGCCCGCCGGGCAAGTGTAATGATCGCAAAAGAAAATTATTTTCACTCAAAACTACTTTAAAATCACCGACATTCGCTGAAAACGACCCAGAAGCGTTGCCGGCGCAATTTTTGTTGTTTTGTACACATTCTCGTGTGATTTGAAAAAGCAGCGTGATTTTCCGCTAGATTGCGTGATTCAGCTCTTGGGGAGAGAATTCTGCAGAGCAGCAGCTGGATGATGAATTTTATCTATACTATAACACACGCTAGATTGAAAATGATCAGTCCAGGATTAGGAAAATAATAATAATTGTATGTGAATAGTGTAAATATTTCTATCATATGGCAGTCTTCTGTACAGTGATGCAGGTCATACATTAAAAAATGTTCATTAAATTTTTTTCTCTTAGACATTGGAGTGGTGCATTTAAATGTTATAGAGCTAGACATGTTAAACTGGTGAGTAGTAGTAGTGTAAGTTTTTAACCTGTCAAGTTTTTTTTAGATTTTTAACATTACAATTTATATTTTTTCAAGCACACAACAGTTTAAAGCAAAGTTTAGTTTGAAAAGAATGTGCCGGAAGGATTGAAAAGCATGTTAACACAGTAATGTAGGCTTGATTTCATTATCTGACGCATGCTTATACACACCAGGAACCTGGAAACTTACTGAATTTACAAAAAAACATAATAAAAAAAAACATGTTTCATTGATATATTTATATAAATGCATATTAGGAACTATATTTATCAAACATTATACTGGACAAGTAAAAATTGTTTCTGGGCAAATGAAATGTGAAAGTCACTTGCCCTTTGGGTAAAAATCCTTAACATCAACCCCTGTTTGGTAATCAGAAGCAGTAAACAGGAAGGAAGAAGGAAGTTGTTACAGTTTAAGAAATGTAATGTGTCATTTTTACTGATTAAATCTGTTTTTTTTTTGTCTTTTTACAGTTTTATTACTTTGTGAGTGTTATGCTAATTTTGACTGTTTTGCCTGTTGATGCATATTTGCTACAAACCTAAATCTCTATTTATTTTTTGGTGCAATAGTTACCTATAGTTAAAATGTATTTGTATTAGTACTTGTTAATACTAATTACTAATTTAAATTCAGACATTTGGTCAGGAGGAAACACTGAGACTGAATATGGAGATAACTTTCAGTAGCAGCAGAACTGGGCTGGTTTCTCTACACCAGGCATCCCCAAAGTCGGTCCTCAAGGGCCGCTGTCCTGCAGGTTTTAGAGGTTTCCCTGCTTTAGTACAGCTGATTATGATGATTGAAGTCGAGCAACAGCCTGTTAATCAGCTTTCAATTAAAATTAGCTATGTTGGAGCAGGGAAACCTCTAAAACCTGCAGGACAGCGGCCCTCGAGGACCCACTTTGGGGATGCCTGCTCTACACAATCGGTTGGATGAACTTTATCAAGCTCGCTGCTTTAAGGTGCTTCTTTTATTTCAGCAGATGATAGAAGAAAATAAATGAAGAGCAATCAAATAAAGCCTACCCAGAATAAATACCTATTGAAAATACAACAAAAGAGACGCAGTTGTTTCAAATATTCTTGAATTGCTTTGTTTTCTTTTGATCGTATTCCTAACTAGACTGGTTCTGTCTTTGTTCGTAAAAAAAAATAAAATAATCCAAGTATTCCTAAACAGGTGTTATATCCGATGAGCATACCCCATCAGACCAGCATACCCATAGTTAATATGCATGTACAAAAGAAAAAAAACAAGTTAAGGTCAGATCGGTGTACGCTTCAAAAAACACCAAAAATGAGGTCATCAAATAGTTGTTTTGTTCATGACTAAAGGTATACAAACCCGTTGAGGTAGTTTAAAATCTATTTTCCGTACAAAACTAAGGCGATAAATTAAAGCAGTAAACTAAAGGGATAAACAGATATTGACTATGGGTGTGCTGGTCTGACCGGGTATGCTCATCTGACAGAACACCGACAGTATATCAGGAAGTTTGCATCTGGGGGTATTGCTGCGTGCTGCTTCCATCTAGTCCTCGCCTGCTGGTCTGCTTTCTCCTCAGTTAGGCTGTGTTTCCTCTCCTGGGGTTTTCTTGGAGCCGCAGGACTTTGGACGCTCTGCTGTCTTGTTTTGACGGTGTTTGTTTGGGCTGCTCTCAACGACACCTGTTGCTGCTTGGACAGGCTAAGCGAGCAGGCATGACTCCTCTGGCCCCGTTTAAAGGCAGATCCAATTGGACAATGACAATTTGTTCCACTGCTTGAAGTTGCTTGCTTATTTTCTTTTACAGTTTGTTTGCTTATTATTGAAATTACTAATGTATTTTTGATTTACTAATTTGTTTCCTTTTGCATTGAATGTTCTGTTTGTTCATTTATTGTTTTTGGAATTATTTTAATTGGCCTTATTTCCTATTATCCCTTTTCTTTCCAGGGACCTAGATTTAGGCCTGAAGCCATGTATTTAAAATAAATGTTTTATGAAATTATTCAATAAAATATTGAGTATTCTTTGTTCTGGTGTATCTTGTTTTAAAAGTCCCCCCCCCTTGCGGGTTACATTTGCTTTGATGGAGTCAGTGGTTTTCTCTGGTTTTGTGTTTAGCCATTTGAATCACGATGAGCTTGTGTAACTTTGAGTTACAAGAGAGAGTTTTAAATGATTTGGAGCAACGGACTCCATGGACCTAGGAAAAAAGAATTACTGACTCTTTGATTTGCATCTGATTCAGTAAAACTAAAACTTGCTTTTGCACCACTCTAAATGTTCTAAATGCTTATGTATTAAACCATTTTGACGTCAAAGTCAGAGATGAGCTTTAACCTACTGAGATACTACTGTACTTAGATGAGCAACAGCTCAGCAATGAAACTGAATCTTATCATCAATCAACCAGCTTGGAGATGGGCTTTTTTTTTACCTGTGCTCCTGTCGAAGTTCTTGTTGTTGATGACCAGGCAGGTTCCCATGCAGGGGTAGTCCATTCTGTAGCGGTAAGGGTCCGAGGGCTTTGCATCACTGCCCGAGCTTCTCTTCATCTTCGTATCTTCTGCAGCGTTTTGCTTAGAACTGTTCACAAATTTATGAGGACATTTCACTGTGAACCTGAAGTACTCGCTGAGCAGCAAACCAATGAACGATAATACAGTCTAAAATAGAGGAACAAGCGTAGGTGGCACATGTGAACGCTTACACTTTAATTCCTCATTGCCATTTCTTCTTAGGCAAGAACAATCTTTGTTTTATATTTATCAGGCAGTGTTTACCTTTTTTCACGCCATTTTAAGGCGTCCACAGTGTCTCCATTGCCGTCTTTAGTGTAGTCGCCATCGGGAACGTCTTCCATGCTCCTATGAACCTGAACAGAAACGGAGACATCAGTCCATCGTTGAGGGGAAAAGATAAGAGACTTGTTTTACTTCCTGCTGAACTACTCTTCACAATATCTTTCAAACAAAGAAATCTCCTCCTGACTGCTGTGGAATGTCTTCAGTAGTTGGACACGTTCCAAACAGCCTGCAGCGCATTTTTTCTGACATACCACCAGAGAGGTACAGTGGAAATAATAACTCCAGACAACAATAATTCTCAAAGGAAAAGCTCAGTAGTGGTTGTAAGGAAAGGGATGCTCTTTTAATCTGAAACTAAAAGGTTAGGATTAGAATAACCCTAACGGATGAAGGGAAGATCAATAGGACGGCGTTCCTTCCCCTAAACCTGACATCTTAAAATCTTGGTCATGAGCAAAAAGGAGGACAGCACAAACAGGCAACTGTGGGTACTATTTAATGAAGCTGCCAGTTGGGGACCTGTTAGGCGTCTGTTTCTCAAACTAGAGACTCTAATGTACTTATGTTCTTGCTCAGTTGTGCAACGCGGCCTCCCACTTCTTTTTCTACTCTGGTTAGAACCTGTTTCTGCTGTCCTCTAAAGGGAGTAGTACACACTGTTGTAGAAAATCTTCAATTTCTTAGCAATTTCTCACATGGAATAGCCTTCATTTCTAAGAACAAGAATAGACTGTCGAGTTTCAGATGAAAGTTCTCTTTTTCGGGGCATTTTATTGTTTAATTGACCCCACAAATGTGATGCTCCAGAAACTCAATCTGCTCAAAGGAAGGTCAGTTTTGTAGCTTCTGTAACGAGCTAAACTGTTTTCAGATGTGTGAACATGATTGCAAAAGGGTTTTCTAATCATCAATCAGCCTCCTGAGCCAATGAGCAAACACATTGTACCATTAGAACACTGGAGTTATAGTTGCTGGAAATGGGCCTCTATACACCTATGTAGATGTTGCACCAAAAACCAGACATTTGCAGCTAGAATAGTCATTTACCACATTAGCAATGCATAGAGTGTATTTCTTTAAAGTTAAGACTAGTTTAAAGTTATCTTCATTGAAAAGTACAGTGCTTTTCCTTAAAAAATAAGGACATTTCAATGTGACCCCAAACTTGTGAACGGTGGTGTATGTCTGTTCTTAGCCTCACAGGCTCCAAAGAAAGGTCATGAGAGATCAGAATAAGTTACACAGCCTCCTTCATGGAATGAAGGGGAGGACTGCTGTTTTGAGGAGATCCATCTGGCCAGTGAAAGATATATTAACCTAACAGGGAATGGGCTTGATGAACTGAAGTTGTTTTTTCCTCCAAATGTTCAAGTGTGAGAAAGTTCTTTATGCAGAGGATGGGTTGTTTCCCCTGGGGGGAGTGTCTGTGTTGGTATTTTTTAAGGTATAAATGTAAGTACCGAGCGTTGCCTCAGTCAGAGCTGTATCTCTCCGTCTGAGGACGTTAAATACATTTGAATGTTTTTTTCTTGCAAGGAATGCCTCTGTCTCAGCTTCCTAACTTCACACCAGCATAGAGACAGAGTCCCTCCATGGTCCCTCGGTCGTCCCCTGGGCCTCCTCCTGGTTGGGACGTGCCTGGAAAACCTCCTGGGGGAGGCGTCATGAGGGCATCAGAAAAAAATGTCTCATCCTCCTCAGCTGAATGTGGAGGAGAAGCAGCACTACTCCGAGCCTCTCCCTGATGACCAACCTCCTCACCCTCTCTCTAAGGAAGAGCCCAGCCACCCTTCAGAGGAAGCTCATTTTAGCAGCTTGGGTCCAGGATGTCGTTCCTTCAGTCATGATCCAGATTTAACCCTCTGATGCATTAATTATGAAAGCCTTGGTCAAGTCTCAATCAAATTCATTGTTTTGGATTATCCAGATATATTTATGGGCATCAGTATGGTCGGGTACTCTGTACCCGTCATCCACAGCCTCCTAATCATTGCTGACCTTCCTCTGTATCCTGGCCCTCATCATCCTCAATTTCCTGTAGGCTGCCTTATTCTTCGCTGTGTTCGAAGTCTACAATATAAATAAATGCTATAGTCCTTGCAAAAAAAGTTTTCAAAACAAACCACTGGAATTTGTTTTCCAAGTTTGAGGATGTTTCGCTTCCAATCCAGGAAGCTTTTCAATTTAAAATAGTCACATACTACAGCTTATCTACACAAAATATACAAAGTATACTAAAATGTAAATTTTAAATGAATAGCTTATATGTCCAAGGTTAATACACTGAATTATAATATAAGCAATTATATGACCTATGTTGAGAAAAATGTAATGGCTGATGCATGACGTCCACTTCATTGGACACATGGTTAACGGTAATTTTCTACATAATGGATAAAAAATTTTATATTTCAAACTGATAATATCTTTCCTTATGTTACTGTAAATCATCATTTTTTTTTTTTATCTGTTGTGCCCTTCTACAATAGAAGGATTGAGAGGATATTCCAGCAGTGGTCGACAGGAGTTGATGATTGGTGGCCATCTTGGATTCAGAAGAAATTTACTTGCAGTTAGAATGACTGACCACTAAATTGACCTCAATGGAGTGTGGCAGCAGAGAGCATTCTAGACACTAATATGCAGTTTCACCATAGAAACCATAAAATTAAAGAGATATTTACATTTTTGTAGCTGTCCACTACAGTGACGCTATGCTCCAGAGGCTTAATGACTATAGGTGACGGTAGTAACTTGGACTAACCAGTAAACTTGGCTTTTTTCACCACAACAGACAAGGCATTAGCTGCACTGATCCATCTATTGATCTCCTGCTCCATTCTCCTCTCCCTCATGAACAGGAGCCAAAGATACTTGAACTCCTCCAACCTGAAAAAAACAAGCCACCTTCTTCCAGTCCGGAACCAGAACCAGAACCATGGCTTCGGATCTGGAGGAGCTGATTCGTATTTAGGCCACCTATCCCCAAACAGGTCCCCAACCTGTCAATAAAAGCTATGAACATCCTGGGTAGAAGCGGCTAACCAAGTGGCCAAGCACCTCCTTACAGAGAGGGTGAGAGGCTCAAAGAGGAGCTGCCGATCCTCCACATCGAGAGGAGCCAAGTGCAAATAAATTCCCAGTATCAATGTTTGGGATATCCTAAATGCAAAGTAAAGCATTGGAGAGGGTTCTGAGGAAACCCAGTGAGCCAATCATGAAGTTTGAGGCTCATAAAGTTTTAATATGGCTTTTGGTGCCTCATCTGTCAATTGTTGGTAAGAGTTAAAATAACTTTAATGGAGCATTTTAGGTCAGGAGTGTCCAGTTCCAGATCTGGAATGTCATTACTTTGAGGTTTGTCAGGTGTCCAAAACACACCTGGATCAGGTGGATGAATTCACTTCTCAGCAAACATGATTCCTGCTAAAGAATTAACCATGTGACCCAAGAGGGACGAACTTTAAGACTGGATTCAGATAAAGGCATAATCTCATGACAGAGAGGTCCAGTCAAAGTCCAGTTATAGGGCTATAAAAGATCCACTTCATCTAATCCGATTTAGCTTGACTTCTTTGATAAATCAGAACATAATGTCTCTATCAGGCTGCCAAAGACTGAAAGAAACATGCAGGCTTTCTTGTTTCTATTCATTAATGGAGCCCAATATAAATGCATGCAGCACTTTTCAGTTTTTTTATTGTTAAAACATTTGAAAACATCTTTTGCAGCCGTGGGTTAAATTCTATTCTGTTCAATTCAGTTTATTTCTATAGCGCCAATTCACAACATGTCATCTCAAGACTCTTTATAGTTCAGCAGATCATACAGTCAAAATGATTCAAAGTTTTCTATCTAAGGAAAACCAGCTGATTGCATTGATTGATTAACTAGAATGCCATTAAGCATGCTTGTAGCAACAGTGGAGAGGAAAAATTTCCCTTTAACAGGATTTTTTTCAAAATAAAAATGTTCTAAATTTTGGCACAATATAGTCTGATAAAGAGCACATTTATATACGTGTTTAGGCCAGAATGATTTGACATTTAAATATGACTTCCCTACGACTTTAATGTATGCTGAAGGATTTCATGGTTGGGAAAATAATCCCTTTCATTCACCATCCTGTTGGGTTTTACTTTAACTCGTTCAGGAGGTGGATATAACCTGTTTGTTCCTGGAAAATGACTCGCTGTGAAAGCAGAACATTTCAGTTCAGGAACATCAGCTGTTCAAAGCAGAGACCAGCCCACAGGAACATGGCGGCTCCTCTGGGTAGAGGCTAGTTGCTCAATTACAAAGAGCTGAGTAACCTTTAAGGGGAAAAGATTTTTTAGGAGTAGTTTCACTTTATGGTATTTTTTCCATCTTATCATTTCCTTGTAAAAGTAAAGTGATTCCTACTTAGACCACAGAAGATATTTAGAAATCAGGTGAAACACAGTAAATAATGACATCCTTGATCCTTTTCTGACATTCATGTATCCCCTACTGTAGATACTACTTTTATACATTTAAACAATGATTGGGTTTGATTTGATCGATTCTAAACATTAAATCAGATGTTAGGAGCCATAATTACTCAGTACCTCGGTAGTTGTTTCCTCCAAGTACCGGTAGCTTTTTTTGTTTGAATCAGAAATACTTTAATGAAATTATCTTCGTTACAAACAACATATTGTACACATTTATAATCTAAGGAAATACAACTTTTCCCACTAAACATAAATACATATGTAACTATATATATTTACAGATCTAAAAAAAAAAAAAGTGAAAATGTGCAAAAGAGAGCAATGATTACATTGTTTTCAGTAGTAAAAATGTGTTCCTCCTGGGTTTTTTTTTGCTGGTTCTCGGTGGACTGACCTCTTTGACAGGCAGCTGGAGCTGAAAACGAAGCAGCTTTGCTTTTCATTCAGATCAGCCTGTTATTAAACTCTGACCTTATCTAGTCCTTAATAAATCAGCAGATAATGAAAACAAATCGAAAATGAATCAAAGCGGCAGGAAATGAGTCAGTCTTTCTGACAGTTGTAAAGATCACCTGCAGGCTTCCAGCCAGAACTTTACTGAAAACTGATCAAACTCCAGCAGATTATCATTGAAGTATTCTGTAACAGATTAATAATCCAGCTAACTGGATCAAACACTCACCTTATTGCTACAGGTGCTGCTTCTTCTTCTTCTGCTCTGCCCCGTCAGCTGCTACCAGCATGGAGGAAAAGGTGTCTGTTCAACATTAGACATGTTTCTACTAGAGTATGAACTTGTAGCTATCAGCCAATCAGAGGCCGCTGCTATGTGGGCGGGCCAACACAGACTGAAGCTGATTGGTTGATGGGAAGCACAGTTTACCTTCCTGCTTTATTTCCTTGGAATAAACAAGTCACAATAAAAATTCCTCATAATTCAACTCTATTACAGTAATAAAGCTAAATGATGCTTTATCAATGCCAGCGGGAAATTTAGTTAGAGTCACCAGGATCATTTAAACTGACCCCATTTTGAATGATATAAATAATAACAGAAATACATTGGGGAAAAACTGATTTATTGAGTAATAATACAGAGTTTTGATGTGTAAAATGCTGCGTTGATGTAAAGGAGGAGCTGATTATTTCCTGGCCTGCTGAGCAGCTCTCGTCCGACGTCTGCTGGCTCTCTGGGTCAGCTTGGTTTCCAGCAGCAGAGCTGCTAAACTGGATCCTCCATACTAAGGAGAAAAAACATCCCATTAACATCACATCCGCTGCACTGGTTGGTAAATAAACAGCAGGTTCAGGAAGGATTCTCCTTCTGCCAGGAGGTGTTGTTCTACTGGAACATGATATACAATCATAACTTTACACCAAACCCTTCACCCATCTGATCATTATTACATCCAGGGGGGGATTTACCATTAGCAGGGATTAAAGTAAAAAAAAAAATCCACAGCCTGAACTTTTCCGACACACGCAAGAAACTCCTTTATATGTGCATGTGTGTGTATGTTTTCAAGCCATGCCAGGGGGGTGTGGGGGCCATGGGATCAGAGACTGCATGAAGGCTTGAAGACTAAATTTAACTTTTTGTAAATCCAATACCAAAATCATCCAGAAGATGGCAGAAGTGCATCTATATCTAGCGTGAATGAGAGGTCGTGATCAGCGAGGAAATCACACACACCTTATTTTTAACTCACATACACGGTCAGTTATTGACGCTGGTACATCAGCTGTCAGCGTAGCGCGCAGGAGATGTGTAGTGTGCCTGACCGCACAAACAGCACCCGCCCCCTTCTTCTTCTGATTGGCTAATACTGTTAGTTTTAGAGCGCTCCTTTGCTACCATTGGCTGCCAAACGCAAGAGGGATTTCAATTGTGTTTTTTAAATTTATTTACCATCAATTTATGTTCCAGTGATTTCTTTAACCCACAGGCCATCGCTAGGCAGTTGCCAAGGGCCCCAACATCCTGGGGGCCCCATAAAACTCTGTTCACATGTATGGTTAGTACAACCATTCCTCATTCATTCACATTATGTTTTTGATCAAAATCCTTTCGTTAAAATGCCATCAGAAGGCTAATAATATTAAGTGTGTCTGTACGCCCCTTAAATCAGACCAGGGATGAGACTGGGGAGTATCGACCTGGCACTAATTTGAGAAGGACGACCACACAGACACCCGGAAAGGACCAATCACGGCTGCTTTTTGTCTGCGCACTTCTGGTTGAGGTCTACTTGGGGTTTGCGACTGTCCGATGCATCAATATTTTATGTGGTGCGCGACGACAGTTGCAGAACATCTGCACGGGGGGCGTGGTTACGCACAGACAGATTTGACGGTCGCAGATGCCTCAGAAGTATAAATTGGCCTTAAGAAGGACAGCACTGTTTATGTTAAAGTGAAGTGGGAAATAGCGTGAGGATTCCAGAGGACGATTGGGACCACATCTGTAAGATACCAATGGACAACAACAAGATCAAAGGGTTGGCGTAAATTTTGCTGGAAAAGTATTATAAGATTTTTTCATAACTCCAAAGCAAAGAAAAAGATATCAGGTGAAATGGTGACACCTGCTGGAGATGTGGCAGGAATGGTGCAAATCACTTCCATATTTTCTGGAGCTGTCAAACCATCCTAGCCCGATAAAACAGACTAAATGTGAGATTAAATGTGTTATTTAGTCTGGTCCCGATGAATGAGACATCGGAAGATTGTTGATGAGAACAACCCGCTGTTTTTCATGTCTGTGCCTATTGGCCAATGCTCTGACCAATGAGCGCAACTTACTGTACGTGACAGAAAGCTGGTGGAGGAGTGTAAACAAACAGCCTGTAGGTAAAATGGCGAATGTGTCCTTCTTAAAAAAGAATGAGCGTAGAGCCTCTTCCTGCTCACGTTTCAACGAAAACCCAAATTCTAATCCTTCCAAAACTGATTCCAAAGCTGAACGAGAACTGTTCTATAGTTGTTGCCATTTTCCTTGTTGTGCTTTCTTCAGCGTCAAGCAGCTTTGTCGTCACGCCCTCAAAAACCCGCCCACTTTGCATCCAGAAATTCAAAACACATGTCTGCGTTCTGATTGGCCAGCCAGTTCTAGGGTCTGGGACATTGATGGAGGCTAGACCAACTCGCAGGCAGAAATGATTTTGGCCGCTGTCGGGTGGGGCTAGTTTATTAGGCTAAAACCATCCAGCAATATTGGTCTCAAATTCATGAGCATTTACAGAACATTCTCATATTTCATTTCCTTTAACCTTTGAATGCATATTTCTGTGTAACAAAGCGGTCGATAAACTAAACTATATTGATCAGAAGCTTCGGGACATTTTGCTGGCGTGGAGCAAAAAGGCGTCACAAGAAAATGACTTAAAGCGGGAACCTCACAACAATTGAGGCCTGGATTAATGTAGATTTATGTATTAGAGAGACTGTCTTATATCATTAATGTGCAGAAGGACAGTTTCTACAAGATATGGTCGAAGTGGACAGAATATGTCAAACATGTTATGAGTGATTTTACATAGACCTCACTTTCATTCAGTTCAATTGGATTTGTGATGTCATTGATTCTTAATACCCAGGCTTCCCCACCACTTCTCTTTTTTTTCTTTTTTTTTTTTGTTATTTTAGTGTGGGTGTCTGTTTTTCTGTTAAGGAAAAATAAGTGTAAAAACTGAGAGTGTAAAAATGACAACGAAATGGATATAATTATATGATTGTAATGTGATGTGCTTTCTCAATAAAAACATAAATGTAAAAAAAAAATGATCTGTAATTTTGGAACAGCCTAAAAGGAACAGGAATGTTGCAGCCGTTACATTTTTGCTTTCATTTTCTCGTTATGTCATCCTTTTCCTCTCAGTTATCACTCAACTTACTGAATTAAAGTTAATTTCAAATTTTATAAGAACAGACATACATTATTATAGGCGTTCTGATGGCATTTTAAAGAAAGGATCTTTAACAAAAACATAATTAATGTGCACAAATAAGGAATAGTTGTATTAACCATACCTGTAAACAGAGTTTTATTTGGCCCCCATGAACTTGGGGCCCTGAGTAACTGCCTAGTATTGCCTAATGGTAAATCCTCCCCCCTTAGAAATGATCAAAACTTCGGTTTATATCGTCTTTCATTCATACCGTCTTCTTCTCAGTGGGCTTCCTGCGGGGGTAGGCCAGGTACTGCGTGGTGAGCCCTCTGATGTCCTGGAGAAACGCCCGCCCTCTTCTAAGGTCAGCTAGCCGCTGCTGGAGCTCCGCCTTCTTCTTCTGCAGCAGAGACGCCTCCTTCTCTGCTCTGGATTGAAGGTAACAGAAACAACAGCTTCATGTTGGGGGCGAAGCTATGCTTTCATTTAATGATATACCAAACCAACGACAGCAGAAAAACACGCCATGCATTTGCTTCAAATGAATCCTTCTCTAATAGAAGTGATGCGTTTGGCAGAAGGGAGGATCTAAAACATGCAGAGCAATGGTAGCTGAGGACCAGGATGTAGATCCCTGCATGAGCCAGCTAATCATGTTGGCCTCCATTGTCCTAAACTTCAGTTCCTTTAGCAGCATCACAACAGATCATGGGGTCCGTTTCACCAAGCAGGTTTAACAAATTCAGATTCTAATCCTCAACTCTAAATTAATCTATCCTAAAGTCTGAGTCTTCAGTCTGATAAAGGCTGCTATCAATTAAATCAATTTTAAATAGGTCCACTCATAATGAAACGCGTGCGCAACAAGTATGAAAAGCCATGATCAGTGGAGCGCCGATTGGATGAGCCTCCATGACAACAGGCAACAGGAAGTGCCTATTTCACCCCACTGGAACCAGAGATTTTAATGCAGAAATGCAAAAAAAAAAAAAAAAAAAGAAAGGAGAATGTGTTTAAAAGACAGAAAAATAGCGCTACAGCTAGAAAAGAGAGGAAGGAGAAGATTGCAATTACTCTTTTTTTTTGTGTAATCTAAAAATAAATTCACTAGTTCTTCATTTACTGTAAATATGACTAAATAAAAATAAAACGATGAGCATCTCGCTCATATAAAAAAAAAACAACAAAAATAAATAAATCCCATCCCCTCTCAACTCAGTTGTAGAATGTGAAAAATGGTGACCATTCTTTAATAAGATCAGGAAATAAAACAGCGTGATTGGCTTTAAGGAGAGTGGAGACCAGCTAACGTATTGTTTACATTCCGATCGGCCTAACTATGGAGTACCAATATGGCGGCTGGTGACTTTACAGCAGCGTGTACTACCAGCGGTCTATCAGCTACCCAGTGAATAAACAGAGATCATTCTGCTTAGCCTCAGAGGTCCTGCAGTTATTGCTCATCATAAAAGCTCCTTCCTGCCTCGTCTGAGCAGAGCGCCCCCTACAGGGACTGTGATCTTAAAGCTTCCTCAGAGATCCCTGTTATATAACCTGAAGCAAGACTGTAACTTTGTGATGAAAGTTGGTGGGGACATTCTAAGGGTGATGGACCTACAGCTACTCCACCTGAACGCTTTCATGACATTTCTTTATTTTCCAGAAATGAGCTCAAACAAATATTTATTAAATGCTTTCCTATTGTTGAAAACACAAGAGAACCATAATACAATGATATTTATATTTATAGATAGTTATAGAGATGCCTTTTATTGCATTTATATATATATATATATATATATAAATAAAAGGCCCAAAAACATTCATGCAAAAAAAAATAATGAATAACAGTCGATTCCAATGCCAAGATCGATAAATCATGCATCCCTAGAAGAACTATTTAAATTCTATCCATCCAGAAGAATATGGATATGCTGCATTAAATATAGCATAGCAGATAATTTTCTTGTAAACTTTCTGGTAAACATGGAAATATATTTTATTGCATGTTGCATATCCCAGTAAATCTGTTTCACCTTTAAATCTGCAGCTCTGCCTGCTTCTCTCTGTTTAAAAAGATTTATGAACCTATTTACTAATATATTGACGCCAGAAACAACATTTGCAGTCTGATTCTGTCTGTTCAATAAGAAAACGTGTTAATTTAAGCTGTAACTGTAAGTCATGATCCTCTGAGTAGCCAAGCTTTTATAGTGAAGAAGAACAAACTGTTTTCTCAAGCTTCTTGCATTATAATACTAACTTTCATAAACTTATAATCTGTTGTCATTTTAAGCTGAAAAACCTCCATATGTCTAATGAACAGATTTTTCGGTGGTGTCTCTAATTATTTCAACCAACCCGTCTCCTAACTTTTACTTAAACATCGAAGTAGCAGCTGGTTATTATTCACTGAGTGCTGCTGTGTCTCTCCTCCAACCACGTAGCGACTCTCTAAGCAATGAAATGCGACCGCAGATCCCATGTGTCAAAGCGACAGATCTGAGGATGTTAGACCGAGAGGCGGGACATGGGAGAGAGGAAAAAAACAGACTGAAAACGCTCTGAACACCGTTAGCTGCCCCTCACTCTGTTACCTTTGGCTAAAGAAAATGAGCGGAAAGAAAGAAAAAAGGGAAATTGTTGGTGGGGACATGTCTACACCAGTCCTTCAGAAAGTTATGCCTGTGACCTGAAGCTGCGCGGTAAACCTCCACAGACCTGTCAGCTGTATTTCTCAGTTTTTAAGAAGCAGTACTTTTTCCAGATAAAGGTTTAGCTGTTTAATATTTTGTCAGTAATGCCGCCCTCTGTTTGCAGGAGTCCTCCCGTGAAGTGTTCAACGCGCCGCTTTCGTCTCACCTCATCAGCTCCTGCTTGGCTTTCAACAGTTTCTGGCTCTTCGATTGGATCAGGGACGCCATCTGCAGAAGCAGAGAAAAACACAGACGGCTGAGAAAAGCATGTTCAAACATTCCTGGAAAGGAAATGTGGGGAAAAATGGGGAATCCAGAAATGAATCTGCTTCATCAAAATAAGGTTTTAAGGAACTTTGAGGTTTTCAAATATTATTTCTCTTTCTCTTGTTGAGATTAAAAACTTCATTCTCTTCACCTCTAGGGGGCGGGCTTTCATCTGGGTGAGGAGGAAAGGTGTGATACTATTGGCCAGTATGGATGGAGCAGCTTTTCTATTGGGTCTGACGTAAAGAGATCCTGATCTTGAACGCAACTCAGAAAACGGACAAAAAGAAAATTCTAAATAGAAAATCTGTTAAAATAAATTAAAACAAGAAAGAGTAAAGTTTGAATAAGTAAAATTAAAATAATAACCTTGAAGACATAGGAAAGCGGCTGTTTAAACCGCCGCATTTCCAAATTCTCCCGAGGAGTGTACGACTTTACACGAGTGAATAAATTGAATGTGATTGGTTGCTTATCAAGGGGGCGGGATTGTTGTGGCGAAAGGTTCGCAAGCAATTTGGTTGTGGTCGATTTGTCTGAAGCATCTTGCTAACCAGTTAGCAATTTAGTGCTAGCAGGTTCCCAATGGGAAATTCCATTGGGACCAAGTAGCACTAAATTGGTAACTTAGAAACGACACTGTCAAGGAACGCTATGGACAGAGGAAACATGCAAGAGGAGGAGAGTTTAGTGTCAGAGGTCGTGGATGAGTCTCCTCCATCATCCATTTTTTATTTAGAGGAGGAAAGCGGGACGAAGATGTTGTGGAAGAGGACGCCAGGGCGTCAGAAGCTTGGTTTGGTGTAGAAGGCTTCCAGCCGTACATGTTTGAGCCCTTGCCTCGCAACGCTGCCAGTTCTGTTAGCTCTACGCCTGCTGAAGACACAGACGTTCATCCCCGTTAACACTGGGACGGAACTCAGTGGGAAAGGAAATTATTCTGATTTCAACCGTTGCGTATATTAGCTGCGACATATGAATCAAGATGCTATGACCAAAAAAATTTGATTGACAGATGACCGTTGATATATGATTGGCCGAATTTAGGTGTTCAGGCTGACGTGTAACTAACTGGCCCGCAGAAGATAATGAAAACATTTTATTAATGGATTTTTTTTTTTATAGAAATGTTCTAACTTTGGGACAATATGGTCTGATAAAGAGAACATTTATATGCATGTTAAAGCCAGAATGATTTGACATTTAAATATGACTTCCCTATGACTTTAAAAATAAATAAAAAATGAAAACATATGTAAAATATTTTACAATATGAAAAATATAAATAAAAAAATAAGATAACAGCAAAGTTGATCTAAAAAAATACTCTTTTTGGGATTATTAAAGTTCATTTCTGGATTGTTTTTTCCCCTAAATGTCCATTTCCAGGTGTGTTCTTTGCTTGTGAAAATGATGGATCAAATTGTGCTCCATATGCGAGACCGAGCAGCTGGCTGCCAGCTTCCATCCATCGCTGTGACTCTCCTGTTACCTTTGTGTTTTCTCTCTTCAGAGGCCTGAACTCCTTCAGACACGAGATCTGCAGACGGAAAGAGAGAAAGAAGCAGATTTATGTCGGTGCAGCTTTACAGATGGCGGCCATTAAGGAAGGAGCGGGATGGATGGAGTTGAGTCTAATGTGGGCGGAGCTCTTCTAAAACTAAGAAAAGCTCTTGATTTACCCGTCTGTCTACATTCTAAGCATCACCACCATCAGATGAGGAGCATGAACCAGATCAACCAGAGGCACGTCTGGACTGGGAGCTCCATCTTCTGCAGGTAAAGCTCTCACTGCTGGAACTCCTCCTACGAGTTCTGGACCAGATGCTCTGACCTTCTACTCTAAGCACCGCCCCCTTAGAGATGAGGGTCAATCAGAATCTGGAGAAAACTGGTTACAGAGCTTCATTAACAAAGATCATTAACAGGTCCAACCTTTTCCAGGAGCTTAACCTCCACGTTTTTGGAGAACCGATCGATGGACTTTCTGACGGCTGCCGACTCCACCGTCTCCCTGGAAACCAGCAGACGGGTCGTAAGGAGACAATGGCTGCAGGTTTAGACCATGTGACCTCTGACGGGGTCGGTTCTGGGTAGTTTACCGGTACTGCTGGCAGAAATTCACAAAGGCGCTCAGAACCACTTCCAGCTGGGACCCCCCCTTGGCGGCGGGCTCGCCGTCTTCACCGTCGGATTCTCTAGGCTCTCTGGATGACGCTCTGTCTGAAACCCGATAGAAACAGCTCAGATGTTGGACTGGTCCTTCTCCAGAACTTTCTCAGCCTCCTCTAACCTGGTTCAGACTTGGTTCCCAAAGGAAGCCCTCTGGTTTTCTTCGGACCTGAGGTCTGGATCAAAGGAGACGTAAACATCCGGTCCTGCCGCCATGTTCAGGCTGAAAGCAGCATCTGATTTGAGCTCCTACCAAGTCGCCGTCTTCATCGTTATCTTGGTCAGAGGATAGGGGCCTTCTGCGCTTCTTCTGGGCTCTGTCCGGCTCAGAGTCCTGGTTGGATCAACAGATGGAGAAACAACCTCAGATCAAGTCTACAAACGTATTTAAACCTGGAAAACAGACCATTGAAATTCCAGGATTTTTCCAGACCTCCTTGGAGAGGATCTCCAGCCGGTCAGACGCTCACCTTCTTAGCTGCTGATTGGCTCGCTCCCTCCATCAGCTGCCCGTCCACCGCCGGCCTGGATGGACAGAACGATTTCATCGGGATGATCAGGGGACGCGATAACTATAGATCTATAATGCATAGAGTGGAATATCTGAGGCGTTTGTTGTATTTCTGATAGAGGAGTCAAAGGTCAGCGTGACTAACCCCTTAATCCCTGGATTTATACCCAGAGACAACAAAATAATGTTGATTTTTTTTTCAATCAGATGCTGGATTAAATAGAGAAGACCATTTTCTAGAAGTTAATTTTTCCTTTTAGCTCAGGGTTCAGCAACCTGCGGCTCCAGAGCCGCATGCAGCTCTTTAGCGCCCCCTTGCGGCTCCCTGGAGCTTTTCCAAAATTTATGAAAATGTGATTTTTTTGGTTTGTTTATTTTAAGGGAAGACTGAATATGCAGCCGACCACCAAGCTGGGAAGAGGAGAAAAAGTGCGATTGCAGAACTTCTGGATAAATTAGAGGAGAGCAAAGATGGATTTAAGAAATGGATTGCATCTCCAAACTCCACTACTGCTGCTATTTTGGTTGCAAGGATGGAAACCCGTCCACAGATCCAACAGTTAGCGCTCTGATGAAGGGATGGGAACTTTCATTCATTGTTTCCCTAAATCCTAAAAATAAAAACAACACCAAGGAACCAAGGATGTTGATTTCATGGTCAGAGAGCTCTGCTCTGATGGATGTCAGCTCCTGCTTGGTTCCTCATGACTCAATCAGCTCCTCCCAACAGAAACACGTCCACCATAGAAAGATTCCTTTATCCTGTTTCTATAATTTCATCAATGCAACAAAACCTAAACCATGCAGTGAAGGGCGGTGAAGTGGCGCACAGTGAGAGCGTTTACTGCTACTTCCTCACCTCATGCTGCTGTGTGACATTTGCTCCAGATAAACATTTAATCATGATTGCTTATTATATATTTAAGCCCACATAGTCCTTTTCTATAATGGTCTTATACACTTAGAGCCTGTGTTGCTAGACTAGGCTGATAGAAGACTTTTACATTTTTGCGGCTTCAAACTAATTTGTTTTTGGCTCTTTGAGCAGTTTGGGTTGCCGACCCCTGGTCTAACTGATCCCCAATGATGGGTCCAACAACCCCGATGCATCGTGCATGCATGGAGCCCATATAGTAAAACACTGCATCGGTGCGTGTCTTGTTTCAAGAAATTCATGTGACCAATACTGGAGCTGTTTCTAACTGACTGACTCACTAAACTGGGTTTAAAAATGTATCTGTCAACACGATGCATCTGCTAAATAAAAGTCTCATCTTTTGCAGTTAATCATTAAAATTATCAAAAATATTGGAGCAGCCTAAAACGAAAAGGAACATTTCAGCCGCTGCGTTTTAATTTTAATTTTCTCGTTGGCTCCTCCTTTTGCTCTCAGTTATCACACAACTAATCTAAATTAAAGTTAATTCCAAACTGAGTCTAAGTGTATTTACTTTTTTTTCTGTACTCATTGTTTTAAAAATTACGATTTCACACCCTAGTCCACAAACATCCTCATTCACATTTTCCACTAAATTTTTACGTTATGATATATATTTACATTGTTTATTGGCTGCATCTAAAAATATCAAATATATTTTCAATTTAAACATAGATATGAAATAATACAATATAACCTACAAACCTTAAATTCTATCATTGTACCAGGTCATCAATCCAATACAGTTTAGTTTGTAAAATAAGCTGCCTGTAGTGTCTTTAAATGTCCAGCAGGTGTCAGTATTCTGTGAGACAGTATCAATGCAGCATCAGCAGTTTGGCTTCAAGATGCCTCATTAACCGTCAAACTGATGAGCTGCTGAAGTTTTTAAGCCGAATATTTTCACTTCATCTGTTTACATTTTAAAATTTCAAAATAATAAGAAAGGTTAGAAAAGCCTGAATGCAAACAGCAGATCAAAGTAAAGGATCAGGATGGAAAGCAGACGGAGGAGCAGCCTGCCTGCCTGCCTGTTGATATGACAAATGAATCGGAGCATTTCTAGCAGCCCTGCAGCACTGCATCTCTGCTGAACACTTAGTCATTCAAACACTGCAGCTTTAATCAGAGTGGATTTAATTCTGAAGATAAATACGCTGCATTATGGAAGAAATACAGACTTTAAAACAAAATCAAACAGGATTACAGCCTGACTGCATCAACGCCTCCAAGTCTAATGAGTCCATGGATGGATTCTGACAGCATTTCTAAGGACGTCTTGATCCCCTAATAATGTCCCAGCTTTGGGTATTCATCGAGACTTTCACCTGATACGATGTCAGCATGAATCAGACCAACTTCTACGACTCATTTAATGATACAGAAAGCTGTTAAAGGGAAAGTCCGCTCATATTCAGAATTCTAACTTCTGAAAATACTTTAAGTATGAAATTATTACGTACTGTTCAGTAAATGTGTTTGTAATTAAGAGTAATTTTCATGTGAATGTGCTTTACTGGAGGCATCCATGTTTGTCAGAGAACACTACTGCCACCTACTGGTTTGTGACGTCACGGTGCGGTATCGGCTGTTGATCAAGTCCCAGTGCTGTATCTGGTGTTTGTCACAACGCGCTATTATCCAAGTCATCTTGAAAACATTCTTCTTCCAAATGTTTGCTACATATTACCTGTTTTTTCTCTGGCCAGAAGTTCGATGGCAAATCCTCGCTCTCCACTCATCAGTGGAGGATCAGGATTCAGAAAGGTGAAAGAACTCTTATTTTCACTTTTACCCGATGTATTCCATCATCCAGCTGCCATGCACGTGGGCGTTGTCAGTTTCACTATAGCTCTGGTGAATTTCAATTGTGAAGTCCTCTGGAAATCTTCAATAATTGTTGTTGATTGCAGATGTGTCTAGTAGTTCCCATTGATTTAGCTTGTAAAGCGAGGAGAATGGCGCTAGGATTACCGCACCGTGACGTCACTGCTGGAAGATGGCAGGAGGAGGGGTTACTATATTGGGCAAAAATGGCCGCTCCTGGACTCAGTGATCATAACGCAAAAAATTATTGTTTTTATTTTTTAACGATTCATGCTAAATTCATTAAATCACCGCAAACGTATTTGTTTTAGATATAAATAATCCATTGATCATTCCTTGCTGACTGGACTTTTCCTTTAAATTCAACGCCAGTGGAACCATTTCTCATCAACCTATGGATCATGTTCAGATGCCGATACCTGAGCCGATTAAAGATTCAATATTGGATCAGTACCTTCATATTCACTACTGAGAGATATATAAAAACTATGAGTGTTGCGTTTTGGTGATTTTTGGCAGCCCGATATATCGATTTCAGTTCCTAATATCAATTTTTAAGTCGTAGGGAAACGGCTGCTCCAACCACTGAATTTATGAGTTCCCCTAAATGTGATTGGTCGTTTATTAAGGGGTCGGGATTGTTGTGTCCGACGGTTTACAAGCAAGTTTGGTTGTGGCAGTCTGTCTAAAGCATCTTGCTAACCAGTTAGCAACTTAGTGGGACGGAACTCAATGGGAAAGGAAATGATTCTTATTTCAATCGTTGTGTATATTAGCTGCGACATATGAATCAAGATGCTATGACTAAAAACATTTGATTGACAGATGACCGTTGATATATGATTGGCTGAATGTAGGTGTTCAGGCTGACGTATAACTAACTGGCCTGCAGAAGATAACGAGAAAAAAACCACAGATTTTAATACAGGATTTTTTTTTAAATAAAAATGTTCTAACTTTTGGGATGATACGTCTGATAAAGAGTACATTTATATACATGTTTAATCCAGAATGATTTGACATTTAAATATGATTTCCCTATGACTTTGGCTACCTGTGCACCGACGCTCTGATAGATGGCGCTGTGGAGCCCTTTTCCTGTGCGGTGCAGCAACATATCTGTAGTTGAGGCAGTCACAGTAGAAGATGTGGACTGACTACAACCCGGATGGATGCCAAAATAACTAAATGATCAATATCTTCTGATGTAAACCTATATAAAAACCTATTTTTTAAACAAACATGACTTTTTAAAATCGTCTTAGTTTTTTTTTTATTAATCCAGTCAGTGTAAAGTTGACTTTCTAGAAGGTCCCAGAGTTTAAAAAAGTGTTTTTGTTAAGTGTAAAATCTGGCTGAATAACACTGAACCATCTGATTGGTTACCTTCTTTTCCCCTTCCCTCTGGCATTGGTCCTCTTCTGCCTCCCCTCCTTCTCCTCCTCGCCTCCTTCTGCAGCGGCTCTCCTCTTTCTGCCTGGAACAGCGCCCCCTGTCTGTCCAGGTTCCTTGTCCAGCTGTCCCTCCTCTTGGACATTACTCCGGTCCTCTAAGGCCGTGCTGTGAAGCAGGTTACCTAGACAACAGACAGGATCATCTAACACTGTGACTAATAAAGTCAGGACCCTCCAGGAGGAGGGAGATTGTTTTCACAATCATTGTGATCTCTGAGGAGGATGGAGGAACATTTATCAGAAATACAAAAACATGATGATCCTATGAAATAAATGAATGTTAATTAAACAGAATATGAAACTATAAAATGCACAATTAAATAATTATATGACACAAGTATTAATATAAAAATTTTAAATGAATCATAATCCTTCACACACTTCTGATCTATAAATATGAAGTAATTATTTAGCTTTTTAAATAAAAACCCTTCTTATAATTACATTTAATTATTTACCATTTCGATATTTAATAACATTTAATTATTTAACTTTTTACAATTTAATGGTTTATTTAAAATAAAGTAAGAAATTAAATAAATGTAATTTCCATTTATTTTAAATGGAAATTTACATTCGTGTAGTTCATGTCATTTTCTGGTTCCCATCACAATGATTGTTAAAACCATCAAGTGACCCCCTCCTAGTTTCAGGTGCAATCAGATGAGGAGACTGACCTCCTTCCTGCTGCAGGCCTTTGAAGAAGCTTTCCTGGTCGAAAGTAGACAGGCTGGAGGAATCCGTCTGACCCAAACACAAACAGGCTTTTAATCCCAGCAGAAACGGGTTCTTCAGAACAGAACCAACCCCACAGTGTTTCTCTTAAACCTACCTGGTTCCCCTGCGCCACATCTGGAGGCTTTTTGGTTGCTTGCCGCTTCCTGACAGAACAAGAACCAGAATAGAGGTCATTAATTTCTGTTTTTAGTGCGCTGCCTGAGGCCACGGTTAGAAAGCGCCTCGCATCACTGAGATGCTTTAGAACAGGGGGGGTGGTTGCAGAAGGGGCCATGTGGCTGCAGGTTTTCTTTCCAACCAGACTCCATTCACCTCATCAAGGACTCGATGAGATGATTGGAGTCTGGTGTGCTATTGCTTGGTTGGTTGGTTGGTTTGTATCTCTGCTTCCGTCTCCTTTACCACCAGTCGGCCTCTGCAGATGGCCGCTCGCACTGGAGTTTTTTCTCTCCACTGTCGCTACAAGCATGCTTAGTGTGAGGCATTGCATTCGAGTCAATGAGTCGATGCAATCAACTGGTTTTCCTTAGATAGAAAACTTTGAATCAATCTGACTGGATGATCTGGTGAACTGGAAAGTGCCTTGAGATGACGTGTTGTGATATAGAAATAAACTGAATTGAATTTAATTAAAGTGAATTACTTCACAATTATTCCAATAATCCTTAATTCGATTGTTTCAGCCATAGAAAAAAAGTTTCAAAAAAATCAATTTAAATGAAAAATTAATGCAGAGTAAAGAAAGGGCTGCTTCTGATATCAAACCCTCAGTTTCCTGCTTTGTACTGATCTGAGCTGCATCATCATCATCATCGTCATCATCATCTGGTGGAGATGGCGATCAGCTGGTTTCCCACAGTGGGACTCATCCTCCCCCCAAACAGCTGTATGCAATTATTATTTTTTTATGTTTAAGCAAATTGTTTTCCCATTTAATGTTTTAGAAATCAATGCACTGAGGATTAGCTTAAGGTGATTTACAACTAAAACCTAGTGTGGCACCAATACTGATACCAGTATCGGACGGGACCCCGTTCCAGCACTAAAATGGTGGTATCGGTATCGACGAGTACCAACAAATAGGGCACCGATACCATTTTGAGAGCCAAAAGTTTATTCAACTATTGTCATCCGTTCCAGGTAGGCCAAAAGTTCTACTGGATTCACTTTGTATTAGTCTTTTTCCTGCTTCACAAAGGTAGGCAGCAGCAAAGCCATGATGGCAATTATTTTACATCCAAGAAGTATGCAGTTCTTCACATATACACACACATCAATTTCAAACAGATGGTATCGGTATCGGCCAATACTGCACAGCCAAGTGTCCGTATCGAGGCCAAAAAATGGCATCGGCACAACACTAGTAAAAACCAGGTGATAGTGATCATCCCTGTTTTTCACTGAGCGACATCAGTTTCACCTCTTTTTTCACCACCTTTAGTTTAATTTCTGTTTAATTCACTCTGTATTTAAAATCTAAAGCTGTCAGACACATCGAGCCTGAATTATATCATCCAAGACTGATAGCAGATTATTTTAACCCAGTTTGGGATTTGTGAAATATGTTTTTGCATCTGGAGCAGATCAGAACAGATGTTACACCACTGTTACCAAAGGGGGCGCTATAAATGTATTTCACTACAGCTTTAGCTAGTCCTGTGACATTAGGGCTGGTAGATGAGGACTGGTGAGGAAAACCACAACAGCATCTTAAGTCACGGTAAATGATGCTGACAGCATCACCATTTCAGCTCAAAACTGCATGAAAAAATCTAAAAAATAAAAATATCCACCAAGAAATGAACATAAACATTACAACCACAGCTTTTAAAGTTGGTGCCAAGAGTGGAATCTTTGCTTTATAACAAACCGGTTCAGCTCCAAACAGAAGCATTTAGCAGTTATGCTACGTTCTTATTTCTGACTATGTGAAAAGTCTGCGGTATTATATTGTTTACATTTTTTTTTCTTAGTTTTAGAAAAGCAACAAGAAGAAATGTTACCTTCGTGAATTACTGAGAACATATGCAATCATGTTTAATTTAACTAAAACCAGAACACGATGCTAAGAAAGGTAAAATCATAACTCTTACCTCATTCTGTTCAATGTTTTGTTGACACTGTTAGCTAGCTAACTTCACCGGAACCAGCTTCCCGCCATACAGTTCAAGTTCCGGATGGGCGGAACCATAGACATCCATAATAAAGGCTAGATGTCTCGTCCACGCTGCTGGCCAATGGGGGTCGACGTCCGGACGTGGCGGCCATCTTGCTACAGGCAGCTCGCTCATTCGTAACATTGTGTTTTAAAGGCGCATGTACTTAAATAACCATAACTTCCTGAATTGTCCAATTGTTTGGTTTGTTAAGCAAAAGTCAGACATGTAGTTATGATACTGCACACTTATGAATAATTATAACCATGGAATTTCATATGAAAAGAACATTGAATAGAACATACAGGTGCAATAAATATACACATGCACAAGGTATTTATGTTAAATCAATATATGCTAATAAAACTCAGTGTACTGAATGGCAACATGATATATAGATATATCTATAGATATCTATATAGATATCGATACCTATATATATAAATATGTGTATATATATATATAAATATATATATATATATATATATAAATATAAATATATAAATATATATATATAAAAATATAAATATATATATATAAATAAATATATATATATATAAATAAAATTATGTATATATACATATATATATATATATATATATATATATATATATATATATATATATATATATATATATATATATATATATATATATATATATATAAATAAACACTTTTATTTGGGTGTGATTAATTATTTCACAGTCCTAATTTATTTATATTTACATACATACTTTTATAATATGAATATTATTGTTATAATAAAATATGGAATACTGACAGAAAAGGCTTATTGTGTGGCAACCTTTTGGTGTAGCAGCATAATCCAGGTTTCAAATTAAAGGTAACACTTTGAAGTTTCATGTAGACTATTCGGATTATATATCAGGGGTAATTACACAAAAGTTCCTATTTTTAAACCATTATAAAAGTGACATTTATTTGCTATTAAAATTGGTACAATAGTCCCCTTCACAAGTATATATAGATGTAGCATGTTGAAATCCACACCTACACTACTGTGATGGTATACACATGGAAGACAGAGATTTAAAAAATGACCCAAAAAACATAGCTTGGCTAATGCCCTTTGAAAAGGTCGGTTTTATTGAGCTTCTGTGTAATGTACAAGAGAGCGTTGTCCACAAGGCCATCAAAGCGGACAGGAAGGTAGCTGTGGTCATGTACTAGCGCAGGAATGTCAGCAAACGGGGATGGAAGATCTTCTCCTCCTGCTTACACATTATATAACCTGCAGAAACAAAAACAAAAGTGACCAACAACAATTCACTCTGTATAAGATTGGTATATCAATATGTGATTAAATTTCAATGATACACATGCCCTTTGAAGATGAGCTGGAAAGTTGAAAATGTTTGGCACAACACCATCTTTAAGTTGTCCAAATGAAACTAATACAAACTTATAAAAGCTTTGAGTCAACAACAGTCGTGTAATACTATTATGTCATAGCAAAAGTCTGGCATCTTCCTTTTAATAAACCCAGCAAATTCCTGTAACATAATGTAAGATGTGTTGACAAACCAAATCGATTGGAAATCATGTTAAATTCTGCCTCTTCCACTGATGTAAAGTTGCTGGTTAACGTTAGCAGCTAGCTAAACTGTAACGTTAGCTGCTAACTTACTAGCGTTAGGTCTCACTTTGCAGCTTCTTGTTATTAGCCAGCTAACGTTAGGCTAATAATGAAAATACAACAACACTCAGATTATTGTTATTAGCCAACTAATAACTACAACCACATCCACAAGGATTGTAATTTACACCAAAGATTAATTGTCATACAATCGTTATTGGTGTCAGTAAAACCTATATAATTGACTAATAATCTCAGCCTTGATAACTTGCGCAAGTAGCCGTGATGCACAACTATGCTGCATGATTAAGTCATTTTTCGACAAGAAAATCTGCAATTTCGACATGTTCAAACATCTAGAATTATAGCCACGTTCATAATGTTTGTAAGAAACCAAACTGTTTGTAAATCCGTCAAGAATTCAGGTCCTGATCAGATCCGTCTTTAATTTGGATCCATTCAGAAATCCGTCAACAGCCTCAAACAGGACCACAATAACCAAAAAACTCACTGACTGGACCTGAATTCAGTGAGAGCGACCTGCAGGCTTCAGATTATTCTGTAATTTAAAACACCGAAAAACTAGTGCATGTTTATAGTTTGTCTAAAGTATAACTTTTCAAGTTGAGAGTCTAAAAAAAATGTTAAATGCACCTATAGTTTTATTGGATATTACTTGATAATTTTTAAATTTTTCAAACATCCCTTTATTCTTTATAAATCTGCTGAAAGCAGTGATAAAGCACTTTAGCTGCTTCTGTTTTAAAGGTCTGTAGAAGTTAAAAAGATCAGCCTGCCTTTGTTTATATTTAGAAAACAGAAACAGTACAAATTTTAGCAGCAAAAACATTTTAACTTCAATTTGAATGGATTTAGATTAGATGGAGTTAATATTTCCACTACCAGCTGACAGTGGTTGGATTATTCTCAGTATTAGGAGTCGTTCAGAGGAGGCTGACTGTCATGTTTTATTTCCCTGGTCGTTTTATTTTTATAGCCTTGCATCATAAACCAGAGCTAAAACTTTATTGAAACTAATCAGGTTAGAAGGGAAACGGCTGCTTTATAGTTCAACTCTGTTTGATGGCTATAAATACCAAAGGCCCTATAAATAAATTCACACAAAACAAATAAAACCAACAGAGATGGAGAAACAAATGTCACAGTGAGTTTCCACAGATCATTTTAGATGCCTTTAATTAAATCTTTTACAAAACAACCAGCTGATTAACATTTCATCATAAAAACATTAATTGAGAAGAATTCCTCTGACAAATATTTTCCTCTTGTATTAAAAAATAAATTAAAACTTGGACAGATTTCCTGTTCTATTCCTGTAGGCACCTGAGTTGTGGATCAGACCCAGCTGGGCGTCCAGTTCAGCAGCTACCGAGCTTATTCATACAGTCACAGTGAGCTCAGTGTCATCTGATGTAGACATAAAAACTGTTTACAAAAAGGTAAGAAATATGGCTGGTTTCCCTTCAAGACTCCCAGATTGGAGCAGATTGGATTCTGTTAAATCATACAGATCAGTTTGGTAGGTTTGATCAAAGACCCGTCTGGACTCTGAGCTTCAGAAATCCAACTTTTAAAGACGCTCTAAGCTACGTGTTAGCCTGCTCTGCCTGTTTGTCGTGTCGCAGCGGCAGAATGACAGCCTCAACGCATTATCACATTCGTTCTCCTCCATTCATTGCCCCCTCATGCAAAAGCGAGGCCATCCTTCTACATGCTGATGGTGGCGTACAGCTGGTCTATCTGGGACCTGAAGCACTGCCGCATCTCGTTCCTCTTGGCCTTCATGGTCGGGGTGAGCAGGCCGTTCTCGATGGAGAACATCTCTGTGTGGATGTGGATGGCCTTAACCTGCAGGACAGGGTGGATTAGACAGTTTAACCCGCAATCAGGTAGATCCCAGAAATGTCTCGTCTAGAAGTCACACCTGTTCAAAGGATTTCAGGCCTCCCTCTTTGCCAAGCCGTACTATGTCCTCCAAGATGGCCGCCTTGACCTCCTGTTTAAAACAAAAACCATTTGGTCTTTAAGAAGCTGATTGGTAGTGATGGTGAGATGAAGCTTGATGTCACAGTTCATGAAGATTCATGTGAACATGTCACCACCTACTGGTGGAAAACAGAACTACAGTTAGTAATATTATCTGTGATTTTTTTTGTGATTGTTTTTTTTTTTTCCATTCAAGTTCCTTTGAAATTGTTAATGATTGGTCTGAATAATAAAATCTTTTTTGTGTAAAATGTCCTAGAAGAGAACAATCATTTAAGGTGCACTGTCTTTCTGCCATTTTAGCGAAATAAGCTCAGGCAGACAGTGAAAGTAATGGTGGAAATTGGCCTATGATGAGAAAATGAAAGGTTTTAGTCTTTTTATTCAAACATTATAGTTTTTCCATGGTTTTTGGTTTTAATCGGGTTGGAAGTTATGTGTTCAACCAATCTTTTAGTTAAATCAACCAATCTAATTTGGCAGTGTTTTATTCCATCTATAATTTTACTAGGGCAAACCAATGCAAATTATTCACATTAGCCAAAATACTTCAGAATAATCGCAACTTTTAAAAGTCTAAAGGTGAGTATTGAACTAACAACCTCAGGATTGGAGGTCAATGTCTTTCAGCTGACGCCACCAACATTGGTAACTATTGGTAACAGACAGCAGTAGTACTTAACACTGAAGTTAAAACTGTGTCAAGGCTTGCCAATGATCATTACAATGTTTAATCTAACCAAACTAGTTTTAACCAACTAGATTGGTTGTTTTTTTAACCAATCTATTCTTAGAATCTATCCAAACTCTATCTAACTCTTCTACAAACTCCAACATTTTGACTGAGGAGTGAGGCTGTTTAAATGCCAGTCGAAGTTCTTGTCATGTATCCCGGTAGCGAGGCTTCAGACGTCAATTTTGGCCCCTCCCCTGGATGAATGACTCCTCGACATGCACTGCGAGGAAGGACCCCCTCCATTACTTGACCCACCTCGAAGCCTCGGCTCATCTCATAACATTACTACTGATTTGTAAGGATCTGCCATGTTAGTAAAACTCCGACGTGTGACCTCTAGGATTGTATTTCTAGGCTGATTTCAGGTTCCAGAAAACATCTATCAACCAGCATAAAGAGCAGAAGCATTTTCAGCCTGGGTGTACCGCTACTCGACGTCTGCTCGTCAGTTAGTGGATCCCAGGTCCTGATCAGATCCGTCTTTAATTTGGATCCATTCAGAAATCCGTCAACAGCCTCAAACAGGACCACAATAACCAAAAAACTCACTGACTGGACCTGGATTCATAGCGCAGCAATAAAAGGAAATCAGCAAAGTTCTTTATACAGGTTCCGGACAGGATGGCAGATAATCCAAGTTCAGTTCAAAAAGAACTTTTAATTATCAGCAGCTAAAGTCAACACATCTATTTAAATAAATCTGTTTTTTTTTTTTACCAGAAACTTTCAAGGGAAGAAATGCTGAATGAAGAGAGAGGAATCGGATGAAAGACGGGGGCGTTCAACACGCCTGATCCTCACAGATTCCCATTTTGTGCTGCAGTAAGTGGGCATGTTGCAGGTGGTCTACAGAGATTGTTGAGCAAATGTCAGGGCAGTTTGGTTGGGACCCGCAGAAAATCTGTGTTTTTTTTTCGTTATCTTCTGCAGGCCAGTTAGTTATACGTCAGCCTGTACACCTAAATTTGCCCAATCATATATCAACGATCATCTGTCAATCAAATTTTTTCGGTCATAGCATCTTGATTCATATGTCGCAGCTAATATACACAAAGGTTGAAATAGGAAATAAGAATCATTTCCTTTCCCACTGAGTTCCGTCCCAGTGTTCACAGGGATGGACGTCTGTGTCTTCAGCAGGCGTAGAGCTAACAGAACTGGCAGCGTTGCGAGGCAAGGGCTCAAACATGGACGGCTGGAAGCCTTCTACACCAAATCAAGCTTCTGCCGCCCTGGCGTCCTCTTCCACAACATCTTCATCCCGCTTTCCTCCTCTAAATAAAAAATGGATGACGGAGGAGACTCATCCATGACCTCCAACACTAAACTCTCCTCCTCTTGCATGTTTCCTCTGTCCTTAGCGTTCCTTGACAGTGTCGTTTCTAAGTCACCAATTTAGTGCTACTTGGTCCCAATGGAATTTCCCATTGGGAACCTACTAGCACTAAGTTGCTAACTGGTTAGCAAGATGCTTCCCAGGAACCGGCCCCAATCAAACTTGCTTGCAAACCTTCCACCACAACAATCCTGCCCCTTTGATAAACTAATCACATTCACTTTATTCACTGGTGTAAAGTCGGGCGCCACTCAGGAGAATTCGGAAATGCAACAGTTGGAACAGCAGCTTCCCTAAGACTTTAAGCTTAGAAAATCTCTTTGGTGGTTAGAATATGATCGGCATATCGAGGAAGGCGAACATGAATAAAGTTTCTTACCCAGCATCTGCTGTGAGCTGCAAACATAAATCACTTTTGAGCCGCAGCTAGAGGTTATTTTGCTAACCGATTGATAATCATGAAGAAAAATGTTCCTGAGAGATTTTATAGAGAATCTAAATCAGATGAAGCTAAACTGAAATGTTTTTCATCTTTAATGCAACATGTTTCTGGATTTTACTTCTAGAATTCTGGTCTAATTCCAGCTCTGGTCGGGTTGTTCTTTCTGCTACTGGGATGTTTTACAGTCTTTATACTCCAGTTATTGAATTAAATGACGATTTTATTATAATCATTATTACTCTGATTAATAGTTTTAGATTTTGCTCCTTCTCTGAAGCTCCGCTCAGTGAGTTCAAAGCTGTGTGAAGATCAGAGAACCCAGGATGATCAGAGCAGGATTTAGGCCCCGTCCACACGAAGTCAAAACGAACACGAAACGCTAATATTTTCCAGAACGTTTGTCGTAAAGACGGAGACGTAAAATAAATGTGAGCGTCCACACGAATGCATGAAAACGCTGCAAAATGTATGCCAGGCCTGTAAGTGGCGCTGTGGTGCCAAAGCAAAAATAAGCGACGAAATGTTGGGCATGCGCACCAATATTTATACATGGTTGCCCTGCGGGTCCATTTTCGTGGTTCAGTCAAATTCAGGTGCTGAACTATGTCGTCGATATTGCTCTGTTCTTCCTAGAGATATTCCAGAAGAAGAAGATTCTGTTGTAAGCCTGACAGCAGGGTGAGTAGCATGAGCAGCAACCATTCAACACAGTACGGCGCCATTGTTGTTGTGATACTGTGTCGCGCATGCGTGTTAAGAGGCGACGCTGTGACGCATGCGTGTAAAAAAAAAAATGCGGTTAGAGCTTAAAGATGGAAACGCAAAAACGGCGTTTCAAAATCTTTCCACTCTGAAGGCTTAATAAAAAAAAGATCGTTTACAAACCCCCGAAACACCGGCTTTGTATGGATGAGAGGCTGGTTTGGTGAAAAATGTGTGCCTTTAGGCCAGGGTTTGACTTCGTGTGGACGGGGCCTAAGTTCCTGCTGCAGTAAAGGCATTAATGATGCATGAAGGTTCCTCTGAGATCCGGTCTTCACATGGTCAGAATCTAGGTCAGTAGAGCCGGATTCTGACTGTGAAGCAACAGCCTGCTATCAGGTAGCTGTTTGCTAACAGCAGTAAAACATCAGTGGGAATCACCGCTTTGCTGCAGAGCTCCTCGTAGCTTCCCTGCAGCCCCAGCGTCCTCTTGGCCCAGCCGCACAGGAAGTCCGGGTCAGGAACCACCACAGCCACCAGACAGGCCTGCAGGCAGCAGACGCTCAGGTGAGAACAGGTGGCGGAGGTGAGGTCAGAGGTTCTTGGTTTTGAGGGCGACTGACCTGCAGACTGTCTCCGTGCACAAAGACCTGCGCCACCGCATCACTCCGGCTGTAGATGTTCTCGATCTTCTCAGGAGCGATGTACTCCCCCTGCGCCAGCTTGAAAATGTGCTTCTTCCTGTCGACGATCATCAGCGTGCCGTTCTGTGGACACAGGAGCACACGGCTGTAATGTCTCCCTCACAGAGAGCGGTTGTAAGGAGGAGGAGGAGGAGGGAGGAGCTGCAGGAACCTACAGGGAGCCACTTCCCGATGTCTCCGGTGTGCAGCCATCCGTCTGCATCCAGAGTCTCTGCAGTCCTCTCGGGGTCCTTCAGATAGCCCTGGAAAACGTTAGCTCCCTTCACACACACCTGAAAGCACAGACACAGGTGTGTGAGGAGTGGCGAGCTAAAAAGCAGAGCTCCTTCAGCTGGGCTGCATTCCCACCTCTCCCTCCCCGTTTACAGCCAGGTACTTCATCTCTGGGACGTCCACCAGTTTGATGGAGTTACAGGGCAGAGGAGCCCCCACGTGGCCCGCAGTCCCGTCTCCAGGGAGGGTCATGGTGCATCCAGCTGTGCACTCCGTCTGCCCATAGCCTTCATAGAACTGAGAGGAGATAGGAAGAAGCTGGGATTATACCAGGAAAGAGGAGGCCTTCAGTGAACAAACCTGGAATGAAAGCAGTTTTACCTGACAGCCCACAGCAGCTCTGAGGAAGGAGAGGACAGCAGGAGAGATGGGAGCCGCTCCGGTGACCATGAGGCGAACGCGGCCTCCCAGGGTGGCCTGTAGGGGGCAGCAGAGCACCTCGTTTAAAAATCATAAGTTTGAGAGCAGAAAAACTAAAGCTCTGTCTAAACCGAGGAAGTTGGTTCTCCGCAAAACTGTCTTCTTGATTTAAATATTTTTCAAAGTTTCATCCTGGATTGTAAATTTTTTGTTTACAAAACACAACAAGATGGAAAAAATGACCTTTTTTATATTTAAGTGTGTTGATTCTCCTTTAAATTAATTATGTTTTCCTTTGACCTGAGCAGATAAAAAAGAACAAGATAATTGTTTAAATAAAATTACCTTATTTAGAATAGAATAGAATAGAATAGAAAATCCCTTTCTTGTTCTTGGGGAAATTCTGGTGTTACAGCAGGTCACACAAATGTGGACCTTAGAAAAATGTATAAGAATAACATAATAGTGAAGAGATAAAAGATACACAATAAAAAAACTTTACTATAAAAACTGTGCACCTGGAGAATAAATAACCAATATACTGAGGTGGACATTTTTACAGTAATTAATATTTGAAAATAGCAACAACATCAGAGGTGTGCAAAATGACCGCAGCATGTTAATTTAACTGACTAAGATAGAAACTGTGGAAAATTAGCATGAATGGAACAATTATTAAGGTTGTTGGGAACAGTGGTGGTTATGCAACCTTCCAGCTGCTGGGAGGAAGGAACTGTGATAACATTTATGGTGTTATATCTAGTTAATCTTATTCTAAAACCATAAACCCTCCTTTCATTTGCTGATCATCATGTTTAGCAGCTTAAGTTCAGAGAATTTCAATCTTTTTGAAAATGATTTTTATTTCAGTTTTTTGTAAAGGAGCTTTAAGCAGCACCAGCAGTTATCCAAACCACTGCAGACGTGTGTTGAGAGCTTAATCACGATGAGTCAGACTCTCTGCTGGAGCCTATAGGCTGGTTTGTGCTCAGAAACCAGGTCGTCTGCGTGTGTGTCGCGTGCATTGTGGCGTGGAATAACATAGGAGGATTTTGACAGGTAAAAAATTCAGAAATTTGATTGACAGATGACAGATTGGCCGAATTTAGGTGTTCAGGCTGACATATAACTAACTGGCCTCCATAAGATAACGGGGGGAAAAAACACAGATTTTAAGACAGGATTCTTTTTTATAGAAATTTTCTACATTTTCTGATAAAGAGAACATTTATATACATGTTTAAGCCAGAATGATTTGACATTTAAATATGACTTCCCAAGACTTTAAATAAAACATATTTACCCTTAATTTGAGTAGGTAAACGAGATAATTTGCCATGTGAATGAGTATTTTTACTCTTAAAATAAGATAATTAGATAATATGCACTTACAATAAGACAATGCAATTGTGTTTCCTATTTTAAGTCTAAATTGTCTTGTTCCATTGGCAAAATGTCTCTTTTATTTCCTCAAACAAATTCATTTATTTTAAGAAAAAGTGACATATCTAGATTCTGATTTTTTCCAGTGCATTAATCAAAAATATCTGTGTCATTCCTGCAACAAGCTAACTGCGACGTATTGCTGCAGGAGTATAACCAGCCCTTAAAGCTTCCAGCAGAAACCGGCAGGCTTTGTTCTGCGTACCTGAACCTTCCTGAAGATGAGCTGATCCCAGATGCTGTCTGTCCGTACGATGCCTCTCATGAGCTCCGCATGCTTCCTCCTGTAGGCCAGCTCCAGCAGCCAGCGCTTCACAGAGGTGTTGGCCTGCCCAAAGATCTGCACACAAACACATCTAGTAATCCTGGCAAACAAACAGAAGCGGCTGAAAAAGTCCCAGTCGCTCCCTCACCTTATCATGCATCCGGTTGAGGAGTCTGGGTACGACGGGGAACACCGTAGGCCTCAGCGCTATCAGATCGTCTGACAGACGGCGAATGTCTCCCTGGAAAAATCCGATTCTGGCTCCTTGCACGAACATGATCCCCTGAGGGACAGAAGGACATGAAGAGGACGAAGCTGCGGGTTTGAAGGCACGAGGGGAACAGCAGAAGACGTACCTGGACCACTCTTTCAAACATGTGAGCCAAAGGGAGGTAGGAGATATGGACGTCGCTGGGACTCAGCGGACAGCTGACCTGCAGCGAGCAGAGGCAGAGAGCATGATGGGAGGAGGTGGAGACGTTTGGGAACCGCTTCAACCTGAACTCTGGTTTCTCACCTGGGTCAGTTTGATGAAGGAGGAGCAGTTGGACACGATGTTCCCATGAGTCAGCATGGCTCCTTTGGGGCTTCCTGAAAACGAACAGGCAGGACGGGAGGTTAGGTGACAAAGGGAAGCTTTATCAGAGCAGCGAGGGGAGAGCGTTACCTGTGGTTCCACTGGTGAAGCAGACCACCGCCATGTCATCAGGCTGGGGGGGCTAATGGAGACCAGAGATTAATTTCACCAACATTTTCTCTTTCAAACAGATCTGAACATGATGGGATTTACTTACAACTGGAATGTGATAGTTGGCCTCTCCGAGGGCCTGAGGAACAGAACGGGAAATAAAAGCTTCAGTTGAGGAAACATGAGGAAACACGACGACTGAAGCTGCTGTGAATGTTGGAAACCAGGCGGTGGGAAACAAAACAGACCAGGAGAGGATGAGCGAACAAATGCCACCATCCACCATGGTCAGTCTAGAGTAGAACCTCCCAAGGAGTTCATAGAGACATACACTCTGGGTCTCTGAGCAAGACCCTTAACCCCTGATTGCTCCCCAGGCGCCGCACAATGCCAGCCCACTGCTCCCCAAAGGAGATGGGTTAAATGGAGAGAGTTAATTTCTCCATTGTGAGAACAATTAAGTTCAATTTTATAAAAATCAATATTTATACTGATAAATAAAATCAGCAGAGTAAAGTAATTCTCTCTATTTTTAGGGGGTCTTCAGTCTGTCTCATTTTGGGGTCACAGGCTGAATCTTTTGGAAGCTCTGATCTAGATCCAGATTGAATAGTTCAGGCTCTAAATGTGCTTCCTCACCTCCATCTCCCGCAGACTCAGGATCTGGACCCCCGCCTGCTGGCCTCTGTCCACCAGGCTGGCGCTGGGGGTCTCCATCAGAACGATGGTCTTCAGGGAGTGCTCCATGTCTTTGATGCAGTCCAGCACCAGATTAGCTTTGTCCTCAACGTCACACACCACCGTGGAGAGGGAGGCTGCAGGGAAACAGCAGCATTCCTCATTTATTAGGCTGCATTCAGGGAAAAGGCTGAAAGGATGGGTGGGGGGGCTGTACCTTTTTCAATGATGTAGGAGATGGCCTCTGTTCCCAGTGTGTCGTATAGAGGGACGGACACCAGAGAGTAGGTGTAGCAGGCCAGCTCACTGATGGTCCACTGCAAACACAGACAAGTATCAAGTCGCCAGAACAGGAAAAAACTGAGAAAAAATGTTTCAAAGTTTGTACCTCTGCTCTGTTCTGGGAGAAAATACCAATGTTGGGGTCGGTGGTCTTTGAGTGTCCTTTGAGAAGAAATGCTGAACCCAGATTTTCTGCTCGCTTCATCACCTAAAGCAGACAGAACCGGTTAGTCCAGCAGAACCATCTGAGGGCAACTTTACGACCATCAGAGGAAATAAAACAGGCACCTCTTTGTAGGACATCCATTCATATGGCTGCTCCGGCTTCCGGAAGCCCAAACAGGGGCCGTTATCTGGGAGAGGAGACAGTAGTGAGGGGGGGAGGGGACACAAGAGGGAACCTCCATCCATTTATCCATCATACATTCACCTCCCTGGAGGCACAAACTCCCGTTTATATTCAGACACAGTAAAACTAAAATAATACACAGAAACACGCAGAGCTAATTTCCCCTAAAATAAGATAATTAGATGTTATGCACCTGGAAAAAGATAACCTTTGTTTCTTATTATTTCAGACATAAATCCTAATATTTAAAAACTGTTTCGGTAACGGCGCAGTCACACCATGGCGATTTAGCCAGCGTATGCTTGACATCCCAGAATCTCCTAAAATGCTGTCACACGCTGAACTTTGTATTTTTTCAATTTTGGGCGTATAGATAAGACTAATAATAGTGAGTCCAGAACGTATGTCCAACGACAGCATAACGCACAGCAGCGTAATGCCAATGAAGTGTCACAAATCAGAGTCCTGAGGGGGGCAGCGATGTGCCTGGAGGTGTCCGGCCTGCATAAAAAGCACAAGAAGAAAGTTTCTCTAAACTTCGCAGGTGTTGTAGCTGCCGTTTACCACCCACCAAAACAACAAAAGAAACAGACAAACAAACAAACAGAGAAAGAAAAAGAAACAAACAAACAAAGAAACAAGAAAATACATAAAGAATGAAAGAAATAATGAAAGAAACAGAAAGAAACAAACAATGAAAGAAACAAGAAAGAAATATAGGAAGAAACAATGAAAGAAAGGAAAAAAACAAAGAAACAATGACAGAAATCAATGACAGAAAACAAAGAAATATAGAGAGAAACAAAGAAACAATTAAAGAAAGAAACAAAGAAACAATATAAGAAAGGAAAAAAACAAAGAAATAATGACAGAAAACAAAGAAATACAGAAAGAAACAAAGAAAGAAACAAGAAAGAAAGAAGGTTTGCAATCGCAGCAGAATCAGCATCATGTCTTCTAGGAAGTTTGTTGTTCATGGGTGTGAACACAGGGAGGATCCATGACACTCACCCTATGATGGGGATGATACAGGCTGGATAAGCTAGACGCCACGACTAATGAGTAACTTACAATTAACGTGTGTCAGTGATTAGATAACTTACCTGTAACTTATGGCCCACGTATACTCTGGCATACGTCTGGAAATGTTCTTGACATACTTGCCATATGTCGACTTCTTTCAGCGTGCTCATACCTAATGTATGCCAGCGTTTTTGCCAAATTTCCGACCGTCAGCATAGGCTTGCTAAATCATCAAGGTGTGACGTCTTAATTTTCTCAACTCAAGGAAAATAAACGTATTTTTAAGGAATCACATGCTTAAATTTCAATTTTTGCCGTTAACGTCAGGCAGCGCTACGGCCCCACCAGCAGACGGAGAGGGGAACAGATGGGTGGAGCGTCCCGCTGAACAAGGCTGGATAAGAGCCACATCTCACTGATAGGTTACATATTTAGGGGAAATGTGAATATCGCCTCCCAACATGGACGAGTGATAGTTTTGACTTTTAGTGTTATAATATATAATAAAATTATAATATAAAAATCGTAGTCAGAATTCTGAGATTTAAGGTCATAATTCCAACTTTCAAAAGCATAATTAGGATTTAAAATCCCATAAATGACTAAATCTCATTATTATGACATATGAGGTCCTTTTGCTTTTACTTTATAGAGGCAGAAATGGGCTTCCGTACTTTGCCTCCTCTACACTCCACAGTAATCCTGCTGGAACCATGAAGTCTAAACTCAAAAGGCTTAAAGATGACCGTACTCCATCTTACTCGTCACACTTGAGACTTACTGGAGACTCGCGCTCCTCTGAGGACGGACTCATACATAGTTCTGGCATCTTCATAGAGGTGAGTCAGGAAACCGTCTCCTTCGTGAAGCACAGAGCGATGCACAAAGTCACTGCCCTGAAACACAGCAGCAGTTAATCAGAGATGGGTTTATTCCAGCAGATGTTTTCCATCTGGACGTGATGCAGCTGTTGGTAAAGTTAAATCCTCTGTAATCGTTTAAGTTTAGTGGAGGTTTCTTCCTGTTAAAAGGGAGTTTTTCCTCTCCACTGTCACTACATGCTTAGTGTGAGGGATTGCATTCAAATCAATGAGTCGATGCAATCAGCTGGTTTTCCTTAGATAGAAAACTTTAAATCAATTTGACTGTATGATCTGGTTGAACTGTAAAGTGCCTTGAGATGACATGTGTTGTGAATTGGCGCTATAGAAATAAACTCACCCACCTTGAGCCGCTTTAGTGTTAAAGTCATTGATGAAGGGTTGAGCTTTTGTCTTTAGCTTTGCTCAGGTAGTCACAGAGGGATCCTTAACTTCTTCACACCTCGGTGGAGGTTTATCCATGGATGGGTGAGAATGTTTTCAGCGATTCAGTCTGTTCAGGTTAATGATCAACCTTCCTCACAGCAACAGATGAATCAGAGCCGGGGGTCAAATTTATCCCACTGGGTAAAATGATCGGACTGCAGAGGATTCAGTCCCGCTCCATCCCCACAACACTTTGCTCCATTCATCGATAAATCAGTAATATGGAGAAAACTGAAATGATCTCTGACCAGTCACTGAGACGGTCAGTGACTGGTCTGTTAAATCCAGAATAGAATTTAAAATCCTCCTTCTCACATATAAAGCCTTAAATGGCCAAGCTCCATCTGATATCAGAGATCTGATTGTTCCTTATGTTCCTAACAGAGCACTTCGCTCTCAATCTGCAGGTTTACTAGTCGTTCCTAGAATTTCTAAAAGTAGAATGGGAGGCAGATCTTTTAGTTATCAGGCTCCTCTCCTGTGGAACCAACTACCAGTTTTAGGCTTAAACACAAAAACTTCATATTTGATAAAGCTTATAGTGGCACAGGTTATCCTTAGCAATCTCTATGGTTAAGCTGCTATTTCTCTGAAATTAAATACCAGTATTCTCCTTTAGAAGATGATAAATTAACCTAGTCCTGCCTTGGCCCAGGTAAAACTATCTGTGGAGACTGTTGCTGCCATTTTCTGTCCTGTTTATAACATACAGATACATCGAAAGTATATATACATGTCTCATGATGAAATTAGGTCTCTTTCATCGCTTATTTCAGATAGAGCAACTCTGATACTAATTCATTAAACAGAGTGAAATATTTCAAGATTTATTTGTGGTCATTTTGATGATGATGGCTTCAGATACTGAAAAATCTATTGTCCCAGAAGAGATAAAATAAGATCAATAAAACAAGGTTAATTCAACAGAATGTCAACCCCTCACTAAAGGGAGGTTGGAAGAAATTAACTGCATAATTGACCCTGTTACACAGCAAAATAAACAGTTTAGATTAATACAATTCATAGATGCCCAAACCCTTCAGCTTCTGAATCATTAAATTGTTGTAGAACAGACTCACGGCCCAAAACTATTGGTGTGAATACAAATACATCTTCAACATCTGGTTTAATCACAATCACAGCATCAACAACCTTTACATTTGGGTTTGCTTTTTCTAAGTGATGGTTTTATAGCCATAAACTCATTAATATGCTACACCATGATCATGTTTAGTTGAAGTTCTTGGAGGATCTTAGGACTCAATACTTATTGTAAGATGATATAACTGAACTTTAAAGGTGGTAGTTTTATTTAAAGTTGTAGGGAAGCGGCTGTTCCAACCGTTGCATTTCTGACTTCTCCTGAGTGATGCACGACTTTACACGATTGAATAAAGTGAATGTGATTGGTCATTTATTAAGAGGGCGGGATTATTGTGGCGAAAGGTTCGCAAGCACTTTTGGTTGTGGCCGTTTTCTCTGAAGCATCCTGCTAACCAGTTAGCAACTTAGTGCTAGTAGGTTCCCAATGGGAAATTCCATTGGGACCAAGTAGCACTAAATTGGTGACTTAGAAACGACACTGTCAAGGAACGCTATGGACAGAGGAAACATGCAAGAGGAGGAGAGTTTAGTGTCGGAGGTCGTGGATGAGTCTCCTCTGTCATACATTTTTTATTTAGAGGAGGAAAGCGGGGATGAAGATGTTGTGGAAGAGGACGCCAGGGCGGCAGAAGCTTGGTTTGGTGTAGAAGGCTTCCAGCCGTACATGTTTGAGCCCTTGCCTCACAACGCTGCCAGTTCTGTTAGCTCTACGCCTGCTGAAGACACAGACGTTAGAGTCCTGCACGGGTCGAGTTTTACCAACCCGCACCCGCCCAAACCCGTTAGGATGACTACCGAACCCGACCCGTCACCCACGGATGTCTTCAATTCAAATCCGAACCCGACCCGACCCGTTGATATTTAACCCGCAACCCGACCCGTTAACACATCAAGTAACAGGCTATAGTACGCTGCTCTGCAGAACAGCGCCATTAACACTGCAGCAGACGTGTATGCACTGACTGTGGCCTTTTTGGAGGGAAGCCCACACTGCCGGCAGGGCTTTAAGCTACAACAAGGGTGACCCCAGTGCCTGATTAATATAACATTTCTGATGTCCATAACAACACACACGCATAAAAACAAAATCACCAACTACATGCCCGCACTAAAAAAATATCCCCCCGACCCGTTTATTTTTATTTATGTATTTTTCACCCGCAAAAGAGCCTTTTAGCGGGTGACCCGTCGGGGACCTGCGGGTACCCGACCCGTTGCAGGACTCTAACAGTTGTCCATACCCATGAACACTGGGACGGAACTCAACGGGAAAGGAAATGATTCTCACTTCTTATTTCAACCGTTGCGTATATTAGCTGCGACATATGAATCAAGATGCTATGACCGAAAACATTTGATTGACAGATGACTGTTGATATATGATTGGAAAAAAACCCATATATTATAAGACAGGATTTTTTTTAAACAGAAATTTTCTAACTTTTGGGACAATATGGTCTGATAAAGAGAATATTTATATACATGTTTAAGCCAGAATGATTTGGCAATTAAATATGGCTTCCCTACGACTTTATTTTCAGAGACTGTAGCTTATTTTATAGCAAATAGTTGAATGTATAGTAATTTACTGTAGTTGAAATCTTGTTGAAAAGAAAAGGTTAGCTGGAGGTGTGTGTTGGCGGGAGTACTTTGGGAGGCATGGAAACCTTCTGGTAAGAAAGCAGGGAAAGTTTGGGCCCCTGATCTGGTGAGCTGTGGCAAAGGGGAGTTTTCCTTTCCACTGTTGCCACAAGCTTTCATTCTTTGAGGGATTATTTTTGTCTGTTTTTTATAACCAGGATTAAATCCTGTTAATTTGAACATTAAAATGCATAATTATTTCTGTGCATGTATCTGTTGGTCTTGTTAAGAACTAATCGCTTGATATAAACACACAGGATTTTAATTATTTACCTTTATTTGCTGTTTTAGCTCTTATTAGCCTTTCCTGGAACTGTCTTAACATCACAACTGACATGTATTCATCTTTCTAATTTATCTAACAACTTTGAGGCAAATGAAGCTCTGATTTGTTTCAGCCCAGACATCCTATAAGCTGCATCATCGTTGGATGGTTTCTGCCATAAACAGCGATACGGAACAATGGAGCTGGATTCAACACAGAAGCTGCTCATTGTTTCCTGCTTCTCTGAAAGCTGAAGGTCAAAGGTGCAGCAGCTCCTCTAAGTTTAACCTGAAAGTCGCGTCTCTTTCTGTAGTTTATATTCAGAACATATTAAAGGTTTACTTATTTGGACATGGAAAAAGCAAGTGTTAATTTTAAACACAACAGTGTTAATTATTTACACTTGGACTTGAACTCACCGGAACCTCGACGGACTGCATCTCCAGGTCACAGAGAGGTGGGGGGGCTTTGGGTCGCGTAGCCAGGTAGTAGGTGGTGGCGGCGGCCACCGCTCCCACGCTGACCAGCATCGGCGTGGAGACGGCGCTGATGTACTGGCTGACACCTTCCAGATCTAAGAGCTTCATCTTCTGCAGGAAGTCCTGGCTCAGCATGCTGGACAGAGTGAGTTTGGGCCTGGAGACGAGAAGGAGAAGCTGAGGCAGGGGGAGGAGGAACCTAATGAGCAGAGTGGGCCGCCGTGGACGGCAACTGGACGCTGCAACATCTTCTCCTAGTAGATTATGACTATTTGCAAACACTTAGATTTTCATTGTTAGTTTTACATGGGGAATGTAGTTTTTGTGAAAAGTTGCTCAAGTACTGTAATTGTTCTCCTTTAATTCAAACATCTTAAATATAAAAATCTTTGATCACTTTGATCTTCAAATATCGAATACTACTACTTTTTTTTATCTACTGTAAGGTCCTTTGAATAAATACTATCTGAATAAACTGAAAAAAATAAAATAAAGTTTTATTTATTTATTAATTATTTTAATATGGCCGCATGTCCTGTAGGCTGCCTACCAGGGGTGCACCGATTGCAGGTTTCTGGCTGATCACCGATCTTTGAAAAGCCTGAAATGCTGATTCTGATATTTATTTATTTTAACAACTGACACTGTTAGTTTTAAGGAACCACAGACTCCTTCAATATCTCAACCTGATCTCACTGAAAAACTGAGCATAAAACCAATAGATTAAGATAGTTGATTTTCAGACCTTTACAGAGGATGGGATTGGGTTATATCCAAGCATTGTTCAAACTCTGAGCTGCCAAAGTGAAGGAAATTGATGCTGATCGATCGGCCGACTTATTCCTGAGTTTTTGACACCATGACAGCGCTTTAGATTAACACCCATAATCCTTTGCTGCATCACTGTCACATGATTGATATGTTTCAAACTGACCAACAATGGCTGTTATCGATGTTAACGCCGACATATTGAGCAGCCCCACTAATTTTCTTCTCTTAGGGGCAAAAACACTCATTTATCTGCTTGAATTAAAAGTAAACAGTGATTGTAAGAAATGATTGCTCCTTTCTATAAGCTATAAAATGATTCATTAGTCATTCCTGTTTTGCTTCTTTGTAAAATATTTATAAAAAGTGAAAATAACATGTGAAAGTTAACACAAATACAGCTTTTGAAGATGCTGTTCATTCTCCCTCTGATGGAAGGAAGATAAAAATCTCTTTTCACTTTTAAACAGGAGCTAATTGTTGCTTCCCATTAGCGGCAGGTGGTGGTTAGTTTTCCCTGGAAGCAGGGCTGTGTGGGATAACAGCGAACTTTGGTCTCTTTTAGCTGGGAACTGCCTGAAGCTTTCAGAGGTTCACAGGAACTCCTGCCTCCAGGACGCAACTTTCACCACGCCTTCAGTCAGGAAGATCAGGAAGCGGTCGGTGTGCGATTGTATTTTTACCGGTAGATCCCTCTGAAACTCGGTCACATGTCAACCGTTTTCTGAGCTGGATCTGCTGTTAGCAGCGCGGGTCATCGTTCAGATGCAGCAATAACCACCGAGGTCATTGATTTGGTCCCAGCAAACATCCTATTTCTGACTCTAAACAAACTCCAAGCCATTAAAAGAGACAAACTAAAGGCTGAGATTCAGGAAACAGAGCGGCGGGAGCTGAACTCGGATCTTAGATGGTTTCAGGTTCAACCGGTGGAGTTAGGGAGGAGAACTGACAGGTTGAGTCTGATTTCTTTACGCGTCGTGAGAACAGGAGGAACAAACACATGATTCCACATTTTAATCATTGAAACTGGATCTGAACATGGCTGAGAGACAAACACAATAAAACCTGATCAGCCTGAACTACAGCTGACTGACTGACTGACTGACTGACTGACTGACTGACTGACTGACTGGTCTCAGTATTTCTGACCCTACGGTCATAGAAATCCTTCAGGCAAAAATAAAAATGCTTTGATTTATTCTGGGGGAACAGACCACACTGGAAAAACGATCTAGAGATAAACATTTCTTAAATTAAGTGTATTTACCCTTAATTTGAGTAGGTAAATGAGGTAGTTTGCAAATGGAATTAGTTGTTTTACTCTTAAAATAAGATAATTAGATAACATGCACTTGATAGAAGACAATGCAATTGTTTCTTCTTATTTTAAATGTAAATTGTCTTGTTCCATTGGCAAAATGTCTCTTTTACCTCGTCAATCCAAGAACAAATGCACTTATTCTAAGAAAGAATGACTTATCTAGATTTCGATTTTTTTCCAGTGTAACGTTTATCATGCCTGAGCAGGTGGGGTTCCTGCTATCAGCTCCTCGGTTTGTCAGGATGGGGGCTAAGCATGTAGCAGCATGTAGCAGCAGGTCTTTCAGGCTGCAGACAACGTAAAGGCTGAGCGCAGGAACCAGCCGGGTTCAGAAACGTTGGAGGAAAGGTCAGAGTTCAGCCATGACCTGCTGTGAATATAAGGAAGGCCGTGCTTCTGGAAATCAGCTGATCTTCCCTTGATTTGAGCAGGAAATTTTGAAATATGGAGTAAAATTATTTATTTTTAAGACGAGAGCAATATAACTCCAACAATCTCATATCAAGTGCATCATAGCTAAATACTAATTTATTAAATCAGTAAATAAGTTTATTCGCAGAAGGTTAGATAAGTTGCTGCAGGATAGTAAACCTCAGATAGAAGAGGCTGAACTCTATGACCTCATGATCATCTTTGGAATGCATAACCTCTACAGCTCTACAGCAGCTGTATGGAGACACATTTGGTCCAATATTATGGACAGAAAAGGTTTTAAAAAAAATGAAATTTTGAACTATTATGTTTAAAAATATCAGATCTAATTAAGATTGTGTATGGAAAAGTTTAATCATTTTTTTCCAACTTTTCTACTTTTTCAGATTTTATTTCTAAAAATCTTCTCATATTTTTCCAATTTTATGTTTTTGTTTCCCCCCCCCCCAAATATCCAAAAACGACCTGATGGTAATTTATGGCAACGTTTAACCAATGTTTTTTTTTTCAGTTTGCTATTTTTTTCAGTTTTTTTATTTTCCAAATTTTTTTTTTTTTTTTATTAATGTTTTAGGGGACTGTGTTTTTACAAATTACATTATTTTGAAATCCTTTTCAGATTTTAGCCTCTGTCCTTTTGGATGCTCTGTGTTGATGCTTCTATGGTTCTGGGTACAGACCACACAGAAGTAGGGTGAAATCTGTAAGACGGGATTTAAAAACACTGCGCTTTGTACAACTGCCAAAAAATTTGAAAAAAATAATACCAGACAATAAGGAAAGACATAAAAATTCTAGTTTAACTTTTTCATACACATTTCAGATTACTTTCTAAATATTTTTTTGATTAAAAACGTGTTTGTTTGTTGCTGATTTTTTTAATGAATAATTTTGAAACAAATTTTCCTCCGTACAGCAGCGCTCACCTCGCTATAAAGTTGATTCTAAGGAAACATGAAGCTGACTGCTTTTTGCAGGAAGGCTAAAACATCAGAAACATCCTCTATTTAGATGCTCCAGTCATCACGTTGGATTATAAATGTTAAATAATCCTGAAATGGACTAAAATCTGAGGTTTATCAAAGGATGCAGGTCAAATCTGGTCTCTCTAACTCATAACTTTATGTTTACCAGCGGTTGCTGGTGGGAGTCCACACAGCTTTCAGGAGCGGATGGTGAGAAACACAGGGGAGCTATTTAAAAGCTGCATGACTGGAAAACAAACTTTACACCAGATCTTTAGTCCAGAGGAGATTAGCATTCGGTTTCATGTGTTCCTCTGATAGCAGCAATAAACACAAAGTCCTGAAGCCCTAAACCTGATGGAGAACAGCCAAACAATGGATGCAATAATTAAGGAAAGGTAAAACCGTTGGTGCAGCCTTGGACACAATAAACAATTTTACCCTTAGAAATGTGGAGTGACAGGTCCTGAGTGGATTAAGGAAGCACTATAATGAAACATTAACTGGAAAAACAGGCACAAAACAGAAAGAACAAGCAGGACCATTTGAAGGAGCGCTAACCTGGAAGCAGAGCTGGGTCTGTTTGCTGATCATCCACCGACAGCCGCCCTGGAAACACTGCTGCTGCTGCTGCACGGCCACGCTGCTGACACACAGAGACCTGTTAAAGGATGAGCAGCCAGACGTGGCCTTCCAATCGCACAGAGCGCAGACACCAGGAAGCCGTCTGATAGGCTGACGGCTAAAAGACAGTCAGTCTGATTGTTTACCTTGGAGACAGTCAATGGGTCAGATATGGAGGCAGCTGCACTAGTTTATTACGCTTACATAAAAACCCCTCTGCTCACTGAGTCGGTCAGACGGAGCCTGACTGAGGGAGTTCAAGGAGCGCCGCTGCCTCACCTCTGCCTCACTGACCTCTGACCCCTGCATGCTCAGCTGAGATGATTACAGGGGCCCGAGACAAAAGCTGATCAAAGACAGAGCGTTCAAACTCTGGGAGTTAAAAAATAAAAACACTTGGTTTTAAACCTGGAACCACACAGCAAACAGGGAAACAAACCAGTTGTTCTTCAAATGAGAGGATTTTCTCCTGATTTCAACAGGAAACAGAAGCCATAAAAAAAGATTATTTACGTTTAAAATATGAAGAAAAAAACAACAACTTCAATGTCATATTTTAAAAGCAAAATATCAAATGATCTTTTTTCAGGGTCGAAGATCCCTGTTTGATTGACTTTACCTGCTCAAATTAAGGACAAATACACTAATTTTAAAAAATTTCCACTCATTCTTAGATCAAAAAATGGAAAGCAGCGTGTAGAAGATTAATCAGGTGAAATCTGAATTATATGATATAGTCAGGAGTACCGCAGGGGTCTGACATTGGGTCTAAACTGATTGCTTTATGTAGATAAATGGTTTTATATTAATATCCTCATATTTCATTAATGAACTATAAAGCTTCATTTGGCAAAAAAATGCCACAAGAAAAATAAGTGAAAAACAAACAAATTCAATGTTTAGTTAGTTTAAACTGGGGTTGGACACTTCTTCACATCTGAATTACGATCGCAATTTAACAAAACCTAAGTTTAAAAACAGAAAGGCTCTCAGTTCTGGTTATGTTGCTTTCAAGAAGAGTCTCCTCCTGCTTCTGTCTCCTTGAACCCCAGTGGACCTCAGCAGATGGCCGCTCACACTGAGCCTGGTTCTGCTGGAGGTTTCTACCTGTTAAAAGGGAATTTTTCCTCTTCACTGTTGCTACAAGCATGCTTAGTGTGAGGGATTGCATTCGAGTCAATGCAATCAACTGGTTTTCCTTAGAAAACTTTGAACCAATCTGACTGTATGATCTGGTTGAACTGTAACGTGCCTTGAGATGACTTGTGTTGTGAATTGGTGCTATAGAAATAAACTAAACTGAATAGAAATTTAGAGGCTCTCAGTTCTGGTCGTGTTACTTTCAAGAACAGTTGGAGACTTAATGTTTCACTCTGGCTGCTTTTCCTCTGGGAAAAATAAAATCATACAGAAAGGAGAGCGGAACAAACCTGAGGAGATTTGGCTCCATTTTATTAATTAAATAAAGGATTAGTAATATCCTGATACATTAGAGGTATATTGTCGAAAGACTATTGTTGGTGTTTGGAAATACGATCTGTTTATACTGCCTTTGTTTTCTTGTCTTTTGTTCTCCACTCATAGTCGGTCATTTAATCTAGATGTTCGGATCGTCTCTTTGTTTATAAACAAATATGTGCGTGTAATAGGAATCCATGCAAACAGGCACTAGTTGAGTGGACGTCTAAGAGCACAACCACTGAATGAAGGATTCCTGTAAACATTTCCATAAAAATAATGCTTAAAAATAAACATTACCAATAAACACTGGAAGAGGTTGGAAAAAAGAGAAATCAAGCATGATTAAAAGGAACTGAGACCTTTAAAAAGGGCCGATTTAGAACAAAAGTAATGAAGTTCTGCATTTCTAAATCCGTTTGTGGAGAAAATGAAGCAGGAAACCAAAGAATCATAATCAATATTCACAAATCAAAGGACGATAAAAGCTGCTAAACTCAGTGATCATGTCAGGAACGCCTGATGGTGATGAAAAGGAAATGATCGGGTCATATTTAGTGATGCTCGGAAAATAAACCTAAATTAAAATGTTCTTCATCTTGATGCTGGTTGTATTTATGAGCTCATGGTAAACGTGTGGCTTTAATTAAAGGGATCAGATCATTTCTCTTCCTGCTTCAAATGTTTATTTTTATTCTTTTGTTTTATCACAATAAGTAAATTGGATAAATAAATCAGTTTTTGCAGTGCAGCATTTTATTCTTCCCTAAACTGTCTGGAACATTTAAAGTCGTAGGGAAGCGGCTGTCCCAACCGCAGCATTTCTGAATTCTCCCGAGTGGTGCACAACTTTACACGTGTGAATATATGATCGGTCGATTATCAAGAGGGCGAGATTATTGTGGTTTGCAAGTAAGTTTGATTGCGGCCGTTTTCTTTGAAGCATCTTGCTAACCAGTGAGCAACTTAGTGCTAGCAGGTTCCCAATGGGAAATTCCATTGGGACCAAGTAGCACTAAATTGGTGACCTAGAAACGACACTGTCAAGGAACGCTATGGACAGAGGAAACATGGAAGAGGAGGAGAGTTTAGTGTCGGAGGTCGTGGATGAGTCTCCTCCGTCATACATTTTTTATTTAGAGGAGGAAAGCGGGGACGAAGATGTTGTGGAAGAGGACGCCAGGGCGGCAGAAGCTTGGTTTGGTGTAGAAGGCTTACAGCCGTACATGTTTGAGCCCTTGCCTCGCAACGCTGCCAGTTCTGTCAGCTCTACGCCTGCTGAAGACACAGACGTCCATCCCCGTGAACACTGGGACGGAACTCAACGGGAAAGGAAATGATTCTTATTTCTTATTTCAACCGTAGCGTATATTAGCTGCAACATATGAATCAAGATGCTATGACCAATAAAAATTTGATTGACAGATGACCATTGGTATATGATTGGCTAAATTTAGGTGTTCAGGCTGACGAATAAGTAACTGGCCTGCATAAGATAACGAAAAAAAAACATAGAGTTTAGGACTTTTTTTTTTTTATAGAAATGTTCTAACTTTTGGGACAATATGGTCTGATAAAGCGTATATTTATAAGCATGTTTAAGCCAGAATGATTTGACAATTAAATATGACTTCCTTATGACTTTAAATTGATCTAATTTGAGCTTCTTTTTTAAATTGCTGTATTTTTATTTTCTTTATTTTCGTTGGCTTTGGGTGTTTTTCTGGGACCATAGATTAAACCGTTCTACTCTAAATGATTCCAGCCAGAAGCTGGATGCAGAATAATGAGCCAAACAGACTCCGATAGATTTCCGTTTGGAGGTCAGCTGATAGAGGGAGCAGAACAGATAAAAATTAATGAATTTATTTAACCTCCTTATGCAAGGCTGGATAATCAAGTAGGCAAAAGGTTAAAGGGAATGGACCCCCCCTCCAGGGGCTGAAGGTGGATCCCAGCTTCCTTTGTTTTCTAAATACCTTCAATGGTTGCATCATCATCCTGATGCTGTCTTTCTAAGAACTGATGAGATTCGATGTGATTTAAACTCCAAACAGACCATCTCTATCAGACAGAAAAATAAATCCTAATGAACAGCGTCCTGCTGTGGGTTAGTTCATTTCCATGTTAGGAAATCCAACATTAGTGAGCTTTAAACGCGTTTGAGACAGTGTGAAGATCAGAGATTAATACGAATGGAAACATTAAGGAAGAAGCTACAGATGATGAGCATGGTGGACCCACAGCCAGACATGGTAGTGGCAGCATCATGCTTTGATTGATTTTCTTCAATGTGGAAAGGAAAGCTGGGATTAAATAAATGTGTGTATCAGGGATGTAAACCAATAATTTGTTATAAATACTGGCCCATGTACAGAGGCCTTAGTCCTCGACGTGGGCGACCGGGGTTCAAATCCAGCCTATGGTCCTTTCCCACATGTCTCTCTCCCTCTCTCATATCTCCTTTCCTATCAGCCTACTGACGAAAAAATGACCCACTAGGGCCATAAAAACTTAAAAAATTATTTTAATTTTTTCCATCTGATTAACTGATATCCATCCATCATCATCCACCCTTCACCCATCACCCATCCATCTACCATCATCAATCATCCACCCATCACCTATCATCATCCATTAGATTAGATTAGATGAGCTTTATTGATTTCACAGCGGAGAAATTAGCTGGTCACATATTGGCATAGAAGTTAAAGAAGGTGCAAACAAGGAGGGAAAAAGGTGGATTAAGAATAAGCAATAATACAGTATATACCTGGATATACTGTATATATATATATATATATATATATATATATATATATATATATATATATATATATATATATATATAAATATATATAAATATATATACAGTATATCCAGGTATATACAGTATATAAAGATAAATAAGGATTAAGGTGCGTGTACATGTATCGCACACAATGAAACACAAAATAAAAATAAGAAATAAAAATATGTACAATCCGGATGGCTTCTATACAGGTGGATTTACTTTTACATCATCTATCATCATCCACCCATCCATCCATCATCACCCACCCATCATTCATCCATCATCATCCATCCACCCATCATCTAAACATACACTAAATGAATGTTTTAGATTCTCTATACTCAATTTAACAATTAATTGATTATTAGATTAGTTGATGATTATTTCAATAATCGATTAATCCAGTTAATTGCCTCAGCCCTCATATATAGCTACATACACATACACACAATTGGAGCATGGTTGGTGTGATCCTTCAGTGGCAAAAGGCTGTTTTTTTCAACCATAATCATAGAAATGCAGCCATTTAAAATGTGAGGGGCCCACTAAGGCTGGGATTCAGCAGAAATATGGAGTTCATCACAGCAAAATAGCTCTGCTTTGATCTTAGCAGCTTTGATTGTCAGTAAAATGCAGACAGTCTGCTGGATTAAGGCAGAAACTAAAAAATGATCTTTGTGATCCTTTCGCCTGTTCTAAAATAGAATAAACCTGTTTAGCAGCGATTTCTCAGACACACCTTTACTGCTGTTATGGATCCCTAATGGCAGAAGAACACCTTTGGATTCTTTTAAAATAAAGTTTTAGGAGAGAAAGGGGGAATTAGAATTATTAAAAATAAATAAATAAATAAAACAGATATAGACAAAAAAAACGAACAAAATCAAAATAATAGTGAAAGGTGCAGAAAAGTATCTTGAAGTGAGAGATTTAAGCTGGGAAAAGCTTAAAAGTTTGATGGGAAAACCTGTAAGACCATCAGAAACTGGCAGACTGACATAAGCCTAAAAACAAACTAGTAATTATGAGATTTATGTGATGATGTATAGATTAAAAACAGTAGAAACCATTGGAGTGGTTTCAGGTTGTTGTTTAACTGTTTATTTCCACCAGGCAGGTCTGGATATACAGCCTCTCTGCCCCTTATCAGAGCAGGACGCCCTGACCCCCTACAGCCAGCCAGCTGAGGGCGCGCGCTGCACCTGCACGAGGACCCCAGCCTAAACCGCTGCGCGCGCGCCTTCAAAACTGTTAATATGAACATATATTATCCAAAAAGCTGAATGAAAATCGTTCCTTTGACTTTGCTGCTCCACCAAAGTGACGAGGCGAAGTGAAAAGCTTTATTAATGCTCTACTTTACCCACTAAAACCTCCATAAAGAACAAATAAAGAAATTAAACGGTAGCAGCCCGCGGGATCTATACACCAAATAAACATGGTTGGTATTACTCTGGTATTAACAGCAAAGTTCTCAAGCTGCGCGCTGTTTGAGGTTCAATGAAATTCAGAGGCAGCTAAATAATGGCAACTTTTCTCTGAGAAGGAGGCAGACTTCCTCCGTTCCGCTCTGACTGAGGAAGGAAGGAAGGAGGTGAGCGCTCCGGCCACCATGATGGTCAGCGGTTAGCTCCTCATTATCATCAAACTTCCTACCTGCTTCTTCTATGAAGTTCGCCGCAGCTTCACGGTCTCCGTCACCGCCACGCGCACCTGAGTTTGGAGCGGCTAAGGTCGTCACCGTGGTTTCCGGGTTTGTCCTTTCAAAATAAAACACTCAACATTTACCTTAGCGCTGTTTGAACTTAAAAAGTGAGTATAATTGCAATATATTTACGTTTAAACATTTATGGACGGGTCAAAACCCCTGAATATTTACATTTCGCCATAGTCCTACCAAAAAAATAATTATGGTAATTTTATTTTGAAAAAGTGAATCGCATAATTTCCTGCCATACTTCAACTTCTGGAGTGTGCATAGAAATGGGAGTTCTACTAAAGTAGAATGAACTGTACTAACCTGTAGAAGTGGTTATACTATCCAATAACTAGTTATTCCAGTAAAGCGAAAAATAGCCAAATAATATTTAAAAAAATCATTAAAAAGGCTTCAAGTACTGAGAAGGTTATTAAAACATCTTATTAAATGATTAAATATGCTAAAAAGAGACAGTATATAAAGTTGTTTGGAAATATGAATGGAAAAAAAGGTAAACACATAGACAGCAGCAAATTCAAGCAGAATAAACACTTTTCTAAATCTTAATTTTTTCAGCATAAAATTGATGAAACTATAAGTAGTCAAGTATTTGTGACTTAACATAAACTGTAGGTGCTTTTTCTTTATGCAGTGAAGTTACTCACTTTGGGAATTGCCAGTTTGCTCCCGTAAATACTGAAAAAAAGGTTTCAAGTACAGTAGTTAGTTTTTAAAGTAACCTATAAAAATTGAATAATTAAGCACCAACTACCCCCCCCCCCCCAGCTGAACAATGAAGAGCTGCTCTTCTTGTTTTCCTGTCATAGTATTTATTTAAGCCAAAATATATGCTTGACCAAAACTACAACCATTTATTTTCATGCTTTAATCTTTTTTCTTCTTTAGAAGAGTTACTTTTATTTCATGCTGCAGAAAATTGGTTTATCTATGAAAACACTTGACTCAGGCACACCGACTTTGTTATGATGAGAAAGAAAAGTAAATGGCCCAAATACATAAACACACATAATACACAAAATAGACAAGTAGATTTGTTATATTTAATTTACTAAATATTTTATCATTTTTTCTGTCTAGACGGAGGGACAATGGAACAGTTGACAGAGCTGGTAGCTTACCCCTGACTGACCTAATGAAGGTCAACCAACATTATTAGCATAATTAAAAATAATAAAAAAGAGAACGTTCAAATAAAAAGGCTGAAGGGAAAAAAAGACATAAAAGAGACAAAATAAAAAGATACACAGTAAGATTTATAGGGATCTATATAGCTAAATAATGTGCTGTAAATGAGAAATAATATAGCATTGTAATATAAATGATAAAATATATGACAAATGAATGATTTTATATTCTCTCTAACATTTGTTGCTGCTCTCTTACTTTCTGGATCAGAAGCTTCCTCCCAGGTTCCAGCTCAGAGGTATTAAAGGTATTTCAGTGGTGAGCTGTGGCTGTTCCCTTTTACACAGAAGGTTATAAAAGTTGATATTTAACTAGAGGTTTCCTGGTTATATGGTTGCAAGCTTAAAACTATCCCTAGGTCATTCACTCCAAGGAAGCAATCAGATATGTTTTGCTTTCTGTGGCTTGTTGACTCCACCTGCTGGACGTCTCTGGTGTTACAGCCTAACCTTCTACAACAGGAGTTGTTATGGTTTGGAAGATGAGGACTGAGTCTCCATGAAGCACAAGGATTAAAACATCTCTGCTGAAGGCTGAAAGGAGCAGGTGTCAAACCTAAATCAGGGAAATCTGGAAATCTGCTCTGGATGAGAAGCATTCCCGGAGTAACTTTTTGTATCCAGTTGAATTTTTAAACAGTTTGTCAGAAAATGTGTCCTAAAAGTTTCAAAAAAAAAAAAGGACAGTTAAGAACAATTTACTGGACATTGTTTCCAAGTTTAAAGATGTTTTTCTTCCCATCCAGAAAGCTTTTTCAATTCAAATGTCTGGAGTAGCATTAAGTTCAAGATTTTATACAGCAGCCCATCAAAACCTTGATTTTGTTTGGAAAACACGCAAATTGAAACGGTCCACCCCTTTGGAATGGGGGTTATTTGGCTTCTTCTTTAGCCTGCAATGCCCCATAGCCATCTAAGTGTCTGAAAGGGAGGTTGTTAAATAGGATTGTTGGCCCGGCTAAATAGGCGAGGTCCTCCGCTCTCCTTTAAAGGAGGTGGGGGCCGCAATGATAGAGGGAAGGCATCAACTAAATTGCTGCATTGTAGGTTTTTGAAAGCTGAAACCACCTGTCTTCTAAGTCCAAACTGTGAACATTCTTGTCCTCCAAAGAATGTCCTTTGTCCATAGGGTGTAGATGTACCACAGAGTCTTGTCCAGAGGAGGTCGCTCTCCTATGTTGGGCCATGCGTCTGTGAAGAGGTTGTTTGGTTTCTCCAATATAAAGAACAGAGCATTCCTCACTGTGTTGAGCTGCAGACACCACTCTGCTCTTGTTTGGTCTGGGGGTTCTGTCCTTAGGATGCATTAGTCTCTGTTTGAGGGTCTTGTTTGTACATATATATATATATATATATATATATATATATATATATATATATATATATATGTACAAACAGAAGAGTTATATGTGTATATATTTATAACTATTATTTTGTGTGGTTTGTTGTGTGTGTATATATATATATAAACCAAAACTGTTTTCTCACCCCTCGTGGGGTGGTATGTGTCATCCTCAAGCTCGGGTCCTCTACCAGAGGCCTGGGAGTTTGAGGGTTCTGCGCAGTATCTTAGCTGTTCCTAGGACTGCGCTCTTCTGGACAGAGACTTCTGATGTTTTACCTGGAATCTGCTGTAGCCACTCTCCCAGTTTGGGGGTCACAGCCCCCAGTGCTCCAATTACCACTGGCACCACTGCTGCTCTCACTTTCCACATCTTTTCTAGCTCCTCCTTCAGTCCTTGGTATTTCTCAAGCTTCTCGTGTTCTTTCTTCTTGATGTTGCTGTCGCTTGGGATTGCCACATCTATCACTACTGCCTTCTTCTGCTGTTTGTCGATCAACACGATGTCTGGTTGGTTAGCCATCACCTGTTTGTCAGTCTGGATCTTGAAGTCCCACAGGATCTTAGCTCGGTCATTCTCAACTACCTTAGATGTCTTCCATTTTGACCTTGGGACTTCCAGCCCATACTCATGGCAGATGTTCCTGTACACTATGACAGCTACCTGGTTGTGGCGTTCCATGTATGCACTTCCTGCCTGCATTTTACACCCTGCTGTTATGTGCTGTATTGTTTCAGGGGCATCTTTGCACAGTCTGCATCGGGGGTCCTGCCTGGTGTGGTAGACCCTGGCCTCTATTGATCTTGTACTGAGTGCCTGTTCTTGTGCTGCTATGATTAGTGCCCCTGTGCTGTCCTTCAGTCCAGCCTTTACCAGCCACTGGTAGGATTTTTTGATATCAGCCACTTCTTCTATTTGTCTGTGGTATACGCCGTGCAGCGGCTTGTCCCTCCATGATGGTTCTCCTTCCTCTTTCTTGTCCTCACTTTCGGTTTTCTCCTGCCTGAGGTATTCACCTAGCCATTTGTCTTTGGGGGCCATCTTTCTGATGTACTCCTGGATCTTAGTTGTTTCATCCTGGACAGTGGTCTTGACACTCACTAGGTGACACTCACTACGCTTGGTGTACAGTCTCAGAGTGCTGGATTTGGGGTGGAACCCTCCATGCATTGTGAGGAGCTTTCTCGTCTTGATGTCAGTAGCCTCTATCTCCTTCTTTGGCCAGTTTATTATTCCAGCGGGGTATCTGATGACTGGTAGGGCATATGTGTTGATGGCTTGGATCTTGTTTTTCCCATTCAGCTGACTTTTCAGGACCTGCCTTACTCTTTGTAGGTATTTAGCTGTGGCAGTCTTTCTTGCCATCTCCTCGTGGTTTCCGTTAGCCTGTGGCACCCCAAGGTATTTGTAGCTGTCCTGAACATCTGTTATGTGGCCTTCTGGTAGTTCAACCCCCTCGGTTCTGATAATCTTCCCTCTCTTTGAGACCATGCGACCGCACTTGTCCAGTCCGAATGACATCCCAATGTCGTTGCTGTAGATCCTGGTAGTGTGGATCAGTGAGTCGATGTCTCGCTCACTCCTGGCATACAGCTTGATGTCATCCATGTAGAGGAGGTGACTGATGATTGTTCCGCTTCTGAATTGGTATCCGTAGCCAGTCTTTGTGATGATCTGGCTGAGGGGGTTCAGGCCCATGCAGAACAGCAGCGGGGATAGTGCATCACCCTGGTATATGCCGCACTTGATGGTGACTTGTGCTATTGGCTTTGCATTGGCTTCCAGAGTAGTTTTCCACAGCTATATATATATATATATATATATATATATATATATATATATATATATATATATATATATATATATATATATTGTGTGTGTGTGAATATTAGAAAAAAAACAAGTTTAACATGAAGGTTACTCAACTTTAAATTAATTTAAGTGCAATTACAGGGAGAGGGGTCCCTTTTCAGACGACTTACATTAATTGATGTCATTTCTCTGGCTGTATATACCGACAGCTTTATTTGGTGGAGGGTTTTGTTTCCATTTACGTTTAGGTTAATTCGTCCTGTTAAAAGGGAGTTTTTCCTCTCCACTGTCGCTACAAGCATGCTTAGTGTGAGGGATTGCCTTCGAGTGAATGAGTCGATGCGATATACTGGTTTTCCTTAGATAGAAAACTTTGAATCAATTTAACTGTATGATCTGGTGAACTGTAAAGGGCCTTGAGATGACATGTTGTGAATTGGCGCTATAGAAATAAACTGAATTAAATTCATTTATTGTCGTTTGTAAAATTGTCTGAAATAAATTCCTATTTGTTTACGGTGAACCAGTCGGCGTTTCTCTACTTTTCATAACTTCTAAGAGAATCCAAAGAAATCCAGTTTGTTTCTAATAAATCAAGCAGCCAACAGTCAGAGGCGTTTCTATATTTTATTTCGAACACAGAACATTTCATTTCAATGACATGAACAGAATAAAAGAAAATGAAGTGTTACAAACAAAACTATGGTCCCAAATTAAACAATGAAGGAAAATATAACATTTAATGTTAAAAGTCGCCACAGTGCAATCTGAAATTAGTGTCAGAGCGAGGAATAAAGATAAGATTTATTTTCTCTGTGTGGAAAGTCAGGTTATTTGAAGCCGGCTTCAAATAAAGAAGAACTTTGATCTGAACAGTGAATGATCTTCAGTAGTGGTTAAACAGGTAAACGACACTCCTGTTGGTCCGTCAGCCAGCGGACAGCGAACGGAGCGCAGATCCAGCCTGGCTCCGCCCCCTTTGCTTTAAAACGCTTCTCAGTGTTCATAAAAAAACCCATGATGCTTTTCTATCCCTAAAAGACGAGTTAAAAACTTAAATATGAGAGAAGTTCAACACTGAGATGGATTCCTGGGACTTAGCAGCTCCAAGATGGCCTGCAGCAGCCGGCGGTTAAAACCAGCAGGTTGTTTTAACGTGGGAAAAGTTCAAACCGCTTTGTTTCAGCCGATGGGAGGAGGTCAGCTGGAGCAGAAGGAGCAGTGGATTCCTCCGGTCAGGTCGCTGATGGCGCCCTCTCTCACCAGCGTCCGAAGGAGCCGCGTCTCTTTGTCCACGTTGTGCATCTTCTGCTGCTGCATGAAGCTGATGGGCAGCTGGTCGTAGTAGTGCAGGGGAACGCCCTCCTGGGACAGGTTGTAGCCGAAGCCCGCCAGGCTGACCTGGTCGCACAGCAGGCTGGCCAAGTTCAGCGCAGACACCCCCAGGGTGGGCACGTTCTGAGGGGGAAAATCAAAAATGGGGTCAGCTTCATCAGGAGAAAACAGGCAGGGTTCGGAGGAACGGTGTCATGTAACGACAGGAACAGGAATCTAACCCGTTGCTGTTCGCGTGGCGCTACATTACTGCATCCTGATCGTATATGTGGGCGGAGCCATGCACTGACTCTGGCTGAAGCTGGAGGCTGAATGTTCCTGAGATTAGCTCATTATGACAGGAAGTGATCAGATAACAGTCAGGGATGTTCTGATACCAACTGTTTCATTTCCGATACGATCCAGACATCACAGCTTTGATGGTTTTACTGGAACAGCAGCAGGTCTGAGACCCAGGGAGATGCTCATCATGGCCGACAGGAACCTCTTCATCTGATCTTAGAAGCAGGCTGAGGTTCATTATTCATAATACTGCTACAAATTATGAAAAAAATATTAGACCAAGGCTGCGTTCAAATTCATAGGCTGCGTTCTCCCAAGGCCAGATTTATAATCAGAGGAAAAAGAGGGACAGCACCTCAATTCATGGCAGCATTGTGACACTTCTGGTGGCTCGTCAGGCTGACACGGCGCATTACTGGCAGCAGCCACCAGGCTTACAGTCTGCCAGATCGGCTCCACAATTACTGACAGTTTCGGTTGCTGCAGAAGCCGTTTGTTTCGCGAAATCATTTATCTATAGTACCTCTAAGTAGATTGTTGTTCTAATATTGTGATGTTATTGCTTAATAAACTGCATTAAAATCCTTATAAAATCACATTTACTTGCTGGAACAAAGTAGTTCATCTTCCAATAAGTGGCCATCTTTGCCACTACAAGCCACTAGATCGGAGGTCACAGATTAATGGACTGCGGTCCGGATCCGGATCCAACTGCTGGATAATCTGGACCCAACCTGATTTTAAACAGTTATAAATGGCCGCATGTTGTCTAACGACAGTGCCTAAATGTAACTTGCGCCGCTTCTCCTGTTACTCTGAAATCCCACATCCACGCTCCTCCGCCTCCGCTGTTCCTCCCTTATTGCTGCGCTCTGACTTATCCTCTGAGCTTTAGGAGAGCATGCGTGATATTACCATTAAATTCGTAGGAGCAAAACATGCAGAAATTAACGCTTAATTTAATATGACATATACAAAAAATCCCCATCAGCATCCAGCAGATGTGCGGTTTCTGATTGAAATCAGAAATCTGCTTCCAGGTCTGTTGAAGAACCAATAGTTTGCATCCAATCTTTTAAATAAACAGTGTTAGTTTTTAGAAATGTATAAAAAAGTTATGCTCTAATTTGTAGTTATCAATCTGTTGTTACTATATTTTAATTTGACAGACCGGATCTTCTCGCCATTCTTTTTCCTGTTTGGTTCGATTGCAATAGCGGATCTTTACCTGGCCGGACCGGAGCGGACCCTGAACATTTAGAGGATGTTTGGCTCAACCTGTTGCTGTGAAGCAGGATTCTCCACCATGAACAGAATCAAAAATAAATATGGATCCAGGCTCAAAATGAGCTCCTTGATATGAGAATGACTTAGTCTCCATTCAAACCAGGTTTAAAGCCTTGCAGGGCAGCATAAAGCCCACTGCCAACATTAAGACAGGAAAAATATTCCAAACTAAAAGATTGTTGTTCTCTACTTCAAAAAACACTTTTTTTCTTCATATTTCTTTAATTAAAAATTCAATGTATAACATTGATCCATAAACACCGGATTTTATTTCAGTGTTAAATTCTGTTTAAAGTAACAGATCATTAAAAAGTCTTCGGACCTTAACTGGTTGATGATTTTCATTAGTCAGACCCCGCTGATTTTTAATTGGCAGACCTCAAGCAGAAGTGCACTGACGAAAAGCAGCTGTGATTGGTCCTTGGTATGCCTTTCCAGCTGTCTGTGTGGTCGTCCTTCTCGATTCGGTGCCGGGGCGCGCCATTTTTAAAAACTGAGGAGTAATAACAATGGATAACCACGATGAAAGGTTGATTGAGGAATTTTGGAACTACAACCACTTGTACGATGTCTCAAACATGTTTTGGGAGATAAACACTCCCGCCGGCGTCGCCAAAGTTCCCGCGAGTTCTCAAATAGGCTCCCCCTTGCACTTGGGCGGGAAACTGCTTTGCGTCTCTAGAAATTCCAGACAGACGGTGCAGAAGCATACCAGCAAAAGGTTCATGACCAGACCCAAGCCACATTTGATGTGTAGAGTTGCAGATGTATAATCTGCGTGCGCCGGCTACCATTCATTCATCCTGTCCGCTGAACTGCTGCTAGTTTTCCTCACATGCCTGGAAGATGTCTAGTGCTGCTACCACAGATGATCTCGCTCTCAAAATGAAACTGAACGATTCAGATTAGCTAGAATGATAGAAGGGGTAGAGCGTAGCCGCCTGTGGCCCAGGCTGCCTTTCACTACTCCAGTCAGGCACGTGGATGACGTCATGCACACTCTGCTTTATAGATATAAATATAAAAAATATAACGGCTGATGTCTGGGGGACAGTGATTCGCCTACATGTTATGAATGCTTGCCTACCATAAAGAATAAATTATGAATAGTTTAGTTTGTGCATTCAAGTCGTTGCCCAAAGGAAGACGTAACTTGGATTATAAAACCTAATATCTTCAGAACAGCTCCAAATGACACAAAACTGATATGGATGAGTAGAACATAGTTTAATAATGTAAAATCAAGGGCCAGTGTAAAAAAAAAAAAAAAAGCCGTGTCAGCCCAACGCGCCCCTGGAAATTTCACAACGCTGCTGCTGCCATGAATTGAGCTCAACCCTGCTGAGGAAAAAGGTACTTGGTGCAGAACAATGGTGAATATTGGAAGTTCAGTTTAATATAATCCAAATGTGTGAATAGTTCCATCTGAAACTAATAAAAATAGTTTTTTTAATGGTTATTTAGTCAGATATGTGATGGTTTGATTCATCTAAAGGTTTTTTATCTGTTACTGTGCAAATTGGTATGGCTGTAATTTAAGGACAGATTCCAATATATCTGCAGGGTGGGGACTATAAATCTGATAGGAGTTTTATTTTTTATTTGCTATTTTGCACAATTTGCTTAACTAACTATTTTTTGTTTTTGAATATTAGAGATTTTAGATCATTTAGAAAGATATATTTTAGATAAATGCATAAGAATAACATAATAGTGAAGAGTTAAAAGATAAACAATAAAATACTGTAAAGTGTTTTAACAATATAAAACTGGAGAATAAATAACCAATATGCAGCTATGGACATTTTTACAGTAATGGATATTTGAATATAGCAGCAACATCAGAGATGTGCAGAATGACAGCAGCAGGTTATTTAACTGACTAAGGTTTCTATCATTACATTTGATTTTATTTATTCCACTCTATATTCTTATGAGTGCAGTCTTTGTTCACTTTATCATTAAAAAGAGAAAAAAAGTAAAGTTATAGGGAAGCAGCTGTTCCAACCGTTGCATTTCCGAATACTTCCGAGTGGTGTCTGACTTTACACGAGTGAATAAAGTGAATGTGATTGGTCGATTATCGAGGGGGCGGGATTGTTGTGGTGGAAGGTTCGCAAGCAAGTTTGATTGTGGCCGTTTTCTCTGAAGCATCGTTGCTAACCAGTTAGCAACTTAGTGCTAGTAGGTTCCCAATGGGAAATTCCATTGGGACCAAGTAGCACTAAATTGGTGACTTAGAAACGACACTGTCAAGGAACGCTATGGACAGAGGAAACATGCAAGAGGAGGAGAGTTTAGTGTCGGAGGTCATGGATGAGTCTCCTCTGTCATACATTTTTTATTTAGAGGAGGAAAGCGGGGATGAAGATGTTGTGGAAGAGGACGCCAGGGCGGCAGAAGCTTGGTTTGGTGTAGAAGGCTTCCAGCCATACATGTTTGAGCCCTTGCCTCGCAACGCTGCCAGTTCTGTCAGCTCTACGCCTGCTGAAGACACAGACGTCCATCTGATATTATCTCTTAGTTCATCCAGTTCAAATCTTTTATTGTCTTTCTACATGCAGCTTATCATAGAGAGCAGTTTATTACAGCCTCCTAAAATCAGCAGGAATGATGAGAACATTAAAGCAAATAGAGCTCTGGGATCAGAAGTTAATAAAGTGGATCAGATCATCCCTGAATATTATGTCCCAGTAAAAAACTTTACTGGTTTAACGCAGTCATCCCAGGATCCAGTCTACTGCCTTTAACCACCACCTTATATTTCTACTACCAATAAAAAGCCTTAGACTCTGTCAGAGTCTGTGTGTTTTGGAGCAGCTCCATGATGCTGTCCTTGGAGAACAGCTGATGCTTTTAGACAAGGAGACCTGATTGGCTGGTTAGTTGGCAGTGGGTGTGGCTACAGCTGCAACACCATGTTTTATTAGAGAGGACAGTTTAATGATGCAGCACAGCGGATGGTTAAAAGTTAACGCTTAACTATAGCATGATTGTTCAAAGAAATCATTTTCATGCTTGATTAATAATTAAAAACAAACAGTTAAAGTTCCCTTTCTGTCAAAAATGCTCAGTGATACTATGGCCAACAGATATATAGATAAAAATTCATTAAGAAGCTTACTGCTCTGAGGTTAAGTTTACTTAATAAATCAGTTCATGTTAATATCTATGGAACTGTAACAGAAATATTAAATACATAACTGAATTTAATTCAAATTAATAGTCTAAGTTAATAGACTTCAATGGTTTTAATGTTCACAGGTTTGCCTAAAGATTCCAGCAGACAGCTGCAGCTGATCCAGAACACTGCTGCGCGTGTCCTCACTATATGGAAGAAAAACAGTCTCATTGGAATCTGCCTTTTTTTAACACCGAATTTTAAAAGCTGAATGTTTCTTAGAAATTGAATTCCTTACCCTCAATTTTTATCTGGTAAAAATTCACCAGAAAAAAATTCAGCCGCAAAAGTGTTGGCCTTTTGGTGAACTCAAGCCAAAGCAATCTACACTTGATAGAGTCGAGCAGCTTCTAGCCAATGAAAGTAGCTAATTTGGTCATGCGTCACAACGGCTGCGCTCAGCGCTGTTCCCAGCTGAATGAGGATTTTTCAAAATTTATTTTGTTAAACAGAATTACAAAACGTCAGTTAGCTACTAACAGAGAGCTATTAGAGTTTTTCCTCTTATCAAACTGGGTGAAACAACTGATCACAGCTAGTACGGCACCCCTGTCTGCCAAGACTCTTGGTTTGATCCGGAAGAAGCCAGCGGCCGGTTTGCCGCCCGGCCAAAATGAGGAAGAAAAAAAGTTTGCCGCTGGCCGCTTCTTCCGGATCAAACCAAGAGCCTTGGCATATCACTAAAACTAAGAAAGTAGAACACATCCGCCCGGATCTGAAGTCCTTCCATCAACTCCCTGTAGCTCAGAGAATAGACTTTAAAATCCTTCAGTTAGTCTAGAAATCGCTGAATGGATCAGAACCTTAAACCATAACAGATCTGTTGGCGGTGGATCAGCCTCCCAGACCACTCAGGTCTTCTAGATCAGGTCTCTGTTCACCCAGAACTAGAACCAAACATGGAGAAGCAGCATTTAGTTCCTCTGCTCCACTGATCTGATTGGAAAAGTACTGAAAGGCTGAGTTCTTTGAAGTCAGAGTTATAAACTCATTGTTTAGAGCTGCCTTTGAATGTTGAAGTTGAACTCCTAACTGAGGTATTATTAGTTTAAGGTTGTCCAACTGTTTGATTTGCTTTAATACCTGCTTTCATCATGCTTTTATATTTCTTTTGTTTGTTTCATTCATTGTTTAATTCATGGAAAGAACTCTGGATTTTCTTTGTACTGAATTGGGCCACAAATATACTTGCTATGCAAGAGGTTATTGGAAAGATATGCTTCTAGTTTCTATGGATACAAGATATGGGGGCTCAGAAGTTGTTGAACTTTAACTCAATGTTTGATAGAGTTAAAGTGCAGAGAAACTTATGATTTTTTGTTTTAGAGGCATTCAAGCCTCCTTCTTCTAAAGATTAAACCAATAAGTCGAGCATGTTTGACAAGCTTTACGGGAAGCTGAGAAGTGGGCGTGGCCTCTGTGGTTAAAGCCTGAGAGATGCAGCAGGACGTCCTGAGTGGACCAGAGATTGTTACCCATTGAATGGTCTCTTTGTCAGATTCATCAGATATGGCCGCTGAAGGAGCTGAACCTACATGTCCTGGTTCACCGTCTGTGCTGTGTTCAACCCACCTGGTCCCAGCCCCACAGGCGCCACCTGGGCTCAGGGTATTTCAGGAAGCTAAACGCCGTCTCTCTGATGACCAGAGGGTTCAGGAGTCGGAACCTGGAAGGATCTAGTGGGATTTCCTTTGGAACTCTCTGCCAGAAGAAGAGCCAGTCCCACAGAGGCTGCAACACAAAGCAGAGCTGAGCGTCACATGACCAGGCAGGCATCCAGTGGGAGCAAAGTTCACAGTGAGAAATCCACAGTTTCAGACACCACGGCTCCCACACATCACACTCTATGACCCATTCAGGAATTTATTTCTTCAAACTCAGAATGTGCCTACAGTTACTGCTAATACATTACTTTAATAGAAGGAAAATGAAATGAAAAACTGAAGAGAAGATGGATGAGAATCCATTAAGCATCAATAACATTCACAGCCTTTAATAACAATGTTATAATCTGGTGATAATCTACCAGATTTCTCTCAACTGGATCTGATAAAAAAAGATCTAAACTAATTAAAGTGCAGAAAACTGCCTCAGGTGAGGCTGTCTCAGTGAAAACTGTTGTGATTAAAGGGATATTGTGTAATAACATCTCTTATTTACTGCCATCTTGAAAGTATAATGCCGGTTAGGGATAAAATAGGACTAACAACAATAGGTATAATATTTAGTATAACGATTTTAAAAGGGACGCTGAAGTTTTCATGTTTCTGTTTGACAAGTAAAGGACTGGTTATCCTCCCCCAGCAGTGTGTCGCAGATATTTTTGATTTATGCCAAAGTATGGTCTGCGCTATGTTATTCCACGCCATAATGCAAGAGGGACAATCAGGAACTAGCTGTGGGTCTAGATACAGCCGAGGCGGTGAGGAAGTGGGGGGTAGTTTGTGCAACAACAGAGGGACATGAGGGAGAAAAAGAACGGGGATCCAGGTGGAAAAAGAGTCCCAGCGTTCTTGCGCACCTCGCTCTCCTAGCTGGTCCATCTTCAGTCATTTTCCACAAATGCGGTCATACAAACAAAACAAGCCGGTAAGGTACCAAACAGGAAATACGCATAGAGTAGAGCGGATGTAGATTTGACCAATCAGAGGCCTCCTGTCTGCGACACTTCGACACACACGCTGATGACCTGGTTTGTGAGGATAAATCAGCCATAAGTGAACTGTACCCCTTAAATTAGCCTAAAGCTAACTTTTTCCATCTGGTCTAATTGGACAGTGTTGCTCGTTACCATAGAAACCAGAACAGTAGATCCTGTAAACATGAATCAATCTTGTTGGTGCAGCTTTCAAAGCTGCGGTGAACGTTAGCTTTATGTCACAGTAAACGGAAGCTTGTAGACACTTCATTTCAGATGACATGGTTACGTCTGTGTGGTCGAGGATCTTTGACACATAGCGGCTGCCTAAGCAGCTATACGTGTTTAAGGCACCTGTGTGAAGTTGGCGCCCCACCTTATTCAAATCGGCCAAAATTTGTGTCAAACGTTTGTGCTACGTTTGTGCAGCATAAATTTTCGTTTGTGCCGTTACCATATTAAAGATATAAAGAAATATTTCTAGAGGTCATCAAAGGTCAACCAGCACCCCCCACCTTCTTCAAATCAGACGAAATGGGTGTTAATTAACTCAGCTCCGTTTGTGCAGCAAAAACAGATGGTAACTGACCTTTGATGACCTCTACAAAATATTATTAATATCATAGAAATGATAGCAGTACAAATGAACATTTTACCATACAAAAATATATAATTTTAAAATTTATTTTAAATATAAAACACTTAAAATAAATATATTAAAAAATTAAAAACGCATATTTTAAGATATATACATTTTTTGTGCTGCTATCATTTTAATGATATTAATAATTGTTTGTAGAAGCCATCTCATATAAATTATAAGATGCTAACCTATGATTATATAATTTTAAACTGTAAAAAAATGATAGCGGCACAAACGAAGATTTTTGCTGCACAAACGGAGCTGAGTTATTTGACACCCATTTCGTCTGATTTGCAGAAGGTGGGGGGGCTGGTTGACCTTTGATGACCTCTAGAAATATTTCTTTATTTCTTTAAATTGATAGTAGCACAAACGAAATTTTTTGCTGCACAAACCAGCACAAACTTTTGACACTAATTTTGTCTAATTTGAAGAAGGTGGGGGGGCTGGTTGACCTTTTGACCTTTATATTTTCATTAATATGTTCAAAGCCAAAGAAACACAAACGACAATTTTTGCTGCACAAACGGAGCTCAGTTAATTGACACCCATTTTGTCTGATTTGAAGAAGGTGGGGGGGACTGGTTGACCTTTGATGACCTCTAGAAATATTTCTTTATATCTTTAATATAGTAGCGGCACAAACGAAAATTTATGCTGCACAAACCAGCACATACTTTTGACACCAATTTTGTCTGATTTGAAGAAGCTGGGGGGCCAACTTCATTCAGGTGTTTAACATCGTGATGCGCAGGGGTTTAGTGTTTGTTAGAGTAAAATACCCCATTTCACCGCTAGATGGCAGCAATATTTACACAAGTTCCCTTTAAAGTGAAGAGAAAATGCTTTTATAACCAAGTTGGATTTAGATTTAACAACTTCTTGTGTGAAATCTAAGCAAAGTGCTCTGGAAAAGAGAGAATCTTGGTTCTCCGTTCTTGTTGTCCCGAGCAAATAAAACTCCAATCTGAAACTCCCCGTCACCTTTGACTGGTGCACCGATTCAGCAGGTGACCCACAGAGGTCTGCTGTGTTCCCTAAGAACAGGAAACGGCTGATCGGACGCAGTGACCAATCCAACACTAGAAACCAAGGAGGCCCGTCTTTATAACTGTTTTCAAAACTTTCAAGAATCTTGAACATATGTTTTTCAAATTCACAAACTTTTAAGGACTTTGAGTGCCCTTAGGAAAAGGTTTTGCTGAAGAACAAGCGAATGTTGGATGCTGATGTGGCTGATGGTGTGATGCTGGAGGGGCTCACCACGCTCAGCTTTCTGATCATGGCTGAGATCCAGCTGATGTCACCGCTCTTATAAACCACAGCGACAAACACAGCCTCAGGATCGGAGTCAGCCCAGTGGAAGGGCGTGCCCTCTGGGTAGCTCATCCGGATGGTGGTCCGATTCCCCACGTCTGTGCTGAACTCTCCCAGGGGGCCGCTGTTTAACCTGGCGGACGGGCAGGAAAACCAGCATCACTAATGTTCCCTCGGCTCAGCACATTAAAACAGCCTGAACCGGGCGTGGTTAATGCTAAGCTAGCAGAGTCTGACCTGATGATGGTGTCGAAGCGGTCGATCAGCTGGCCCAGCTCCAGGCCCTTCAGGATGCCTCCGTTTCCCACGACGACGCAGCGCCGACAGCCAGACCGCGTCTGTGAGGGGGGGTCAGAGTGCAGAGCTGGGAGCTGGAAGGAAGGAAGGAAGGAAGGAAGGAAGGAAGGAAGGAAGGAAGGAAGGAAGGAAGGAAGGAAGGAAGGAAGGAAGGAAGGAAGGAAGGAAGGAAGGAAGGAAGGAAGGAAGGCAATTAATTGACAAGTCAATGAACATTAGTTAGTCAATGAACATTAGTGTTTTATAAACATCATTATATTTACATATTTATCGTTGCAGCTGAGTTTTTACACATTATTAAATTATTAAAGTAGATATTTGTAGAAAATAGAACAGAACAGGAACCTTTTAGGTTACTGGGGAAAAAAAATCAAAATATGCGAATCATTTCTAATTTAATGAACAGAGATGTTAAACTCTCTTTAGTGTCAAGAATGAATGTTTACTGGACGACAGCAGTAAACATAGAAACGAACAATGGGACTGAAGTCTGAACATGTTAGTGGTTAATCAGGTGGAACTAGTTTTAATCTTTTATATCGTCAGTGATTAGTGGATTCATTGTTTAAAGTCGTCCCAGATTCTGCCGTTCCTCTGCTGCTTTTGTTGCTTTCAGCTGATTTTATACGTCTCTGTTCCTCTTTCTCTGTTCCAATAATTAAAACTGTTTCATAAACAGGTTAGTTTCTTCCTCACAAGTAAATCCATTACCGTTGAATTATTTTCCACCATAAGAATCAGACTGATGATTGTTTAAACTTGCATTACAGAGTTTCCGTTAAGGATGATCTGATGACAGCACCGTTTTCAAGCAGGTTATTTGCATTACCAGCGGCAGCAGATCCTCTGCTTTGCCTTTCAGACCCCTGAAGCCGAACGGCGGCGGGTCGAGGAAGAGCTCGTCAGGGAGTGGCTCGTCTTTCCACAGGAAGGGACTGACGGGTTCGCTGGATGACGGGAACAGAGCCAGCAGCCTCTCTCTGGCGCCGCCGGGCCGACACCGACCCTCCAGAACTCTGAGCACGTTCTCATGCACCAGCTGCAAGGACAGTGGAGGAAGAGTTAGGAGATGCTCTGCTGCAGGTCCTCTAACACTCTGAACGTTTAAGATAAGCAGCTCTGAGATCCAATCAAAACACTGATCTCATAAAGAGACGCTTCAGTCCGTCTATTTGACTCCATTTAAAAAGTCCCATAAAAAGCAGCATTTAGAGCAGCTCAAAGGTTTTTGTTGCTTCACATCATCTGGGGTTACTTCCTGTTTTTAAAAATGCAATAACAGATGATAACGAGTCAAATATGTTTTAATTAATGAAAAGCTTCATTTTTAACTAAAGTGCTTTAAATGAACGACAGCAAAATATAGAAAGTAATAAAAACAGAAGAACAAATCAAGTCGCTAAAAGACAAAGCAGCAGGTACAGGATGAGCAACATCCAGACTTTCTCTGGTCTACAGAGCGGATGAATGGACACCGTTGGCCAATGTCCAATGTCAGTTATAAAGATGGATCATTCAGGCAGTCAGTGAAAGCTAAATGGATCCAGTGGAGTTAAAGAAAATAGCAGAACATAGATCACATGTTCTGGACCTTTTTCCAACACATTCTGTTCATATAGTTAATCAACAGCCAAAGTAAATCTGAGCTCTGAATAAAAAACAAAGAAAGTGAGAAACTAAATATTTGAACTAACTTTTATAGATACAAGGAAAACAAGGTGAGGTGATAAAGAGCGGACACATCTGTTATCACAGCTCTATGGCTAAAGATCAGTATCTGCTCGTTAAAAAGCAATAAAGTAGCGGAGGAAAGAAAAGTTATTTTTATGGCCAACTTGGTTGTAGAAGGGCACACGTACTGTCCAAGATCTATAAAGAGATCAGATATTTATGTCTTTTGACGAACTGACAACAATTTAACTTAAGTGACAAAGGGGAGTTTAGGAGGTAAATACAGCTGAGAAGTTTAGAAAAAATTATTTCTGTTTAGATTTTTTCTATAAAAACTGGTTAATGATTTTCTTTATTGGAACCACGCTGATTTTTAATTAGAGCCTCACCTGTTTGTGAGCAGGGCTGACGTGCCACTCCACGGGTCCATCCGTCCTCCTCTGGAACAGCTGCACAGAGATCATCACCAAACCCAGCGAGCTGAAGGCAAAGAGCCACAGCACTCGCCTGCAGCAGAACCAGAAACAACAATGACTCCAGCAGTACATGAACCAGACGCAGAGCTGCAGCAGGCAGAGAGTTAGGCTACGTTCAGACCGCACGCTGCTCAAGCAGCAGGTTTATATGCAAAGTCAATGGTTGACGGGTATCAAGGCGCAGCAAAAGGTCCTGCAGGGCGTTTTGAGAAGCAGGAGCTACGTCTCACAAACATCTGATGTTTCAAAAGCAGCAGCTGCTGGAGCTGGAAAAATCTACTTCCAGCCGCCACGAACAGTAGCAGAAACCCCAAGAGGAGACCGGGCCAGAGGCAGCCATAGAAGGGGATTCCAGGGACAGAGCACCTTTGCTTGTTTCATGCTGGTTCACCAGCGAAATAATATTAGAAGGCAGGACGGTAATCTGGATGAACTGACTGCACAGATGAAGCTTTAAGGTGGACTTTCTCACTTAAAAAAATATTAAACCAACGTTTTACCCACTGATCACAATAAATATAGCAAAGCCGCTCTCTGCCATCGAACACAGGAGCAGCAGAAGCATCAGACGCATCTGGACACTTTACTGGACGCGCTTCAGGAAAATCAAAGATACTCTTGACGCACGTCTGACCTTAATGTGTACGAGCATCAAAAATGAAGCAGCAGAGGCTTTTTTTGCTGCTTCCACGATTGCGATCTGAGCGTAGCATTAGGCTACATGCTGCAGGCTGAGGTCCACGCTTCAGTTAGCAGCTGGAAGGAGAGAGAGATCCAACATCAAACTGATGGTTGACCAGAACATAAGCCTAGGCCAGAGGTCCAGATTAATCAGTTTCCCCCCTGTGAGCGTCCAACAGCAGCAATGGAAATTTAAGGAAACTTCCAAAACAGGGAACTTCCCACATGTCAGTAAGCCTGGTTGAACAGTGTGGCTACAAACAGCAGCCTGGCAGCAGAAAACAGCAGCAATTGATGACAGAGGGACAGAGTGAAGAAAAACGGAGATGTCAGAGTGTCGAGCATCACCTGTTAGTGACCCAGCGCAGCGTCAGCCTCATGTTTTCATTGGCCGTAGATCCAGAGATCTCTGCAGCTGAAGCTCGGAGCCCTCTGGCACTCAGGAAGCCTTTCCTGTAAAACGCACACAGACAATCAGCATCCAGATCGTAGGGGAGCAGGAGGCTTTGTGGAGACGATCACAGATGAAGAGAAAAGACGGCCTGGTTGGATGACGATCACCTCACCATCGGCCGCCGTTAAGAAACGGTTCAAACCGTTTCCTACAGTCTGGGAAGTGATCACTGCAGGCAAATTCAAACCAGTCTCTAATCATTAGTATGGAAATATTTGGAGTCGTTTATACAAATCAGACGCAGCTGAGCAGGTGCTTCAATTCAGATTATCAGAGCGGCTCTGAGAACAGCAGGAGGAATTTAAACATCTACATGTGCAAAGATGGCAGACCTCCTACTGATTAAGTTCTGAAGTTGGGCTATCTCCATGGTGACGGTGTTTTTGACCCTCTACACCTCAGCGTGTGGACCAACCTTCACACACGGACCACCTAGAGCAGGGCTCAGCAACCCGAGGCTATTTAATGCCCCCCTTGCAGCACCCTGGAGCTTTTTCAAAAATGAGTTTGTTTTTTTAAATACGGTGTGCAGGAGGTCAGGCAAACATTCAATATGTTTTCATTGCTGTACAAATTTGTATATTAAATAAAACCAAACAATAAATTTTTATATTTCCGTCAACAAAGATTTGCATCATAGCCTTTAACACACATGGGTCAGCGCAGCACGATGAGAAGGAAAATAGCTGATGAGAACAGAGGATTCACAGAACAATGGAGCCAATTATTTGCTTTCATTTTCTTTTTAATGAGAGGTTTTCAAATAAAAAAAAGAGTCATTTGGAAAAAGCATTTCCAAGGAAGGCTAAATATGCAGCCGACTGCAGAACTTCTGGATAAATTAGAGGAGAGCAAAGATAGATTGAAGAAGTGGATTTCATCTCCAAACTCCACTACTGCTGCTAGTTTGTAAGTCAAGTATAGAAAACCGTTCATAGATCGAACATGTAGAGCTCTGATGCAGGGATGTGGATTTTCTTCCATTTTTCCCCCCAAATCCTCAAAATAACAACACAAAAAAAATCGGATGTCTTTATTATGTTTGTAAAATTTCATAAATGGAGCAAAACCTAATAAATTAATATTGTAAAAGAATTCAAAGGAAAAGTCTAGTGGCAAAAAATAATCAGAGAATCATTATTTATTCATAAAACGAATACGTTTGCGGTGATTTAATGAATTAAGCGTTAAGCAGTAAAAACAAAAACAAAAACAGGAACTACTAGACACATCTGCAATCAACAACAATTATTGAAGATAATTTCAAACAGGGCCCAAGGCCCCGTCCACACGAAGTCAAACCCTGGCCTAAACGCACAAATTTTTCACCAAACCAGCCTCTCATCCATACGAAGCCGGCGTTTCGCGGGTCTGTAAACAATCTTTTTTTTATTAAGCCTTCAGAGTGGGAAGATTCTGAAACGCCGTTTTCGCGTTTCCATCTTTAAGCTCTAACCGCATTTTTTTTTTTTTACACGCATGCGTCATAGCGTCGCCTCTAAACACGCATGCGCGACACAGTATCACAACAACAATGGCGCCGTACTGTGTTGAATGGTTGCTGCTCATGCTACTCACCCTGCTGTCGGGCTTACAACAGAATCTTCTTCTTCTGGAATATCTCCAGGAAGAACAGAGCAATATCGACGACATAGTTCAGCACCTGAATTTGACTGAACCACGAAAATGGACCCGCAGAGCCATTTTCCGGTTTGGTTGTTGTATAAATATTAGTGCGCATGCTCAACATTTCGTTGCCTGTTTTCGCCTATTTTAGCTTTGGCACCACAGCGCCACTTACAGGCCTGGCATACATTTTGCAGCGTTTTCATGCATTCGTGTGGGCGTTCACATTTATTACGTCTCCGTCTTTACGACAAATGTTCTGGAAAATATTACCGTTTCGTGTTCGTTTTGACTTCGTGTGGACGGGGCCTAAATCTGTGATAGTGAGCAGTTCTTTGCTGAGATAATTCCACCTCACAGGTGTGCCATATTAAGCTGCTGATTAGACACCATGATTAGTGCACAGGTGTGCCTTAGACTGCCCACAATAAGCAGCCATAAACGACAAAGTATATTATTTAACCACACTTTATATAAAAGTTTATTTAACCCTTTTTTACAGTGTGCTAATACACTTGGCTAATAAACTGCTGCCATACGAGGCTTAAATAAGACTTTTACATTTTTGCGGCTCCAGACAGATTGGTTTTTTGGTCCAGTATTGGTTTTTGAACAGTTTTGTTGGCCGACCCCTGACCTACAGGGTATAATTTCAACATCGATCCCATGTTGGCATTTCCACTGATCTTGTTTTAAGGCGTTTTTGTTAACGGTTTCAGTTTTTACTGTGGGAAACTCCAGCATGTCTGAGTCAGCAGGATGGAGAGGAGAAACCTCAGAGAGCGTGCATCAGTGTAAACAGAAGAACTGCTCTTAATTTTAATTCTTCTCTACTGAGCAGAAGAGCTGAGATCAGATTAGAGCAGTTGGGGCTTATAAAGAGTTTCTGCGGGATATATATGGAGTCAATATTGGTCCATTTTTATTGCAAGGAAAAATCCTGTTTTATAAATGGGAAAAAAAAAAAAAAAAAAAAAAGCAATCCAGAAAGAAAACTTTGAAAAATGTTTGAATCGTAAAAACGGATTTGAGACTCACTTTGTGGTCAATTTTTTATTTTCATATTTGATTGATTCAAAACATTTTTCTTTTCACATGTTTTTTATATTTTAAAATGTCATTTCTAAATGTGAACTTTGGCCTGCATTGATGTTAGCTTTTTTTATTTGTCAAAAGCAAAAGTTTGTTTGGGCTTGAAAGGAAGAGAATGTGATCCAAAAAGGATGTCTTTTGTAAAAATGTATATGGAAAACAGCAATTTGAGAAAAAAAACAATTGAACATATAAAATCTTTAAGAAATACACATTTTAAATATATTTTAAATCTTAAAAATATATAATCTTTTTTAAATACATTAATATGATCATATCACGGAAGTCCTGACATCCCTATACTGGTTACCCATCCAGTTCTCCTCTCTCACCACTGCAGACATGGAACTCCTCACCCCACAAACCTCTGATCTGATTAGAACAGTAATTATATCAAATTTGTAAAAAAAAAAGTATATGAACATTTTGCATTTAAGATAAAAAAAAAAGGGTAATTTCATTTGGTTTCATTTCATAAAAAATCTTCAAGGAACCTTTTGCTATCCAATTATTAATGGATTCATCTAAAAAGATCATTGACAGATGAATCGATGAGTTGCAGCCTTAGATCAAACCGTTTCTGAGATTCTAAAGTATTAAATAAGTAAAAGAAGCTGCTATGATTCATACTATTAAAAACTATGCTCCATTTCTGTGAGCATTGATCAGCATTGATCATGTAGAGCGGAGGTCTTCAACAGGGGGTCCGCAACCCCTAGGGGTCATGAAAGTTCTTCATGGGGGTCACGAAAGTTTTGGCTGATTAGATTTTTTTCCACTAATTGAAATGTCTTTAAATCCACATTAACATGAATTCAACACATTGTAGTAAACAGATAAACGGAGGCAGTCAGTCATCAATGCACACCAGAGGTGTCAAGAACAGTACAAATACTTCGCAACTGTACTTAAGTACATTTTTTAGGCATCTATATTCCATTACCGTATTTTCACAACCATAAGGCGCACCGTACTAAAAGGCGCAGTCTCAGTTTTGTGTGCCATTTCTGTATTTAACACACACATAAGGCGCACCGGACTATAGGGCGCGTTTTTTATATACAGGTACATGTCCTCTACTACCTTTAAATACCTCTACTGCGTATTTAAAAATACAGCGGGGGCAAAACTGAGTATGACTGTGCTTTATTCATGTATTTATTACAAAGTATTAATCAAACCTGGGAGCTGGCCGTGAGACAGACACATCTCAGATGACACAGCGCTGTGATCACTCCTAAATTAACTTAAAATCCTGAAACCTGCCGACGGAATATGATAGCTTTTATTGCCGGTATCCTGGTGCCTGCAGTTTAAATTATTTAGATGAAAAACACCTGCCAGCCACCGCGTGAACCCGGAGGCTGCCCAGCCTAGAGGCTGCTGATGAAGGGATTTCTACTGTCGGCGCACCGTTGGTATGTGGGGGTCTGAGCGCCTCCGACAGAAATAGATAATCTGGATGAACTGACTGCAATTATTAAGTTTTCAGGTGGACTTTCTCACTGAAAAACATATTAAAACTACTTTATTCCCACTGATCACAGCAAATATAGCTGCAAGATTTAGATTATTTAGATGAAAAAACACCTGCCAGCCACCGCGGTGAAGAGGAGGAGACCCGGCCCAGAGGATGCTGTTGAATTAAGTTTTCAGGTAGAAAAATAGAGCGGGAGCAAAACTGAGTATGATTGTGCTTTATTCATGTATTTATTACAAAGTATTAATCAAACCCATCAAAGTCATCATCCTCTGTTTCTGAATTAAACAGCTGCGCTAAATCAGACATGCCAGTTTCCCCTTCTGCGCTGTCAGTCACTTTCCGTGCAGCGCGGCTCCTCAGAAATAATGCCGGCTTTTGCGAAAGCTTGAACAACAGAGCCAGCAGACACGTTAGTCCCAGCATCAACAATCCATCCGCAAACGGTGGCGTAAATTACCCGGCGCTGCCTTCCACTTATCCTGAAACTGTGGTCTCTGTCTGTCATCCATCGCTCCCACGCCGCTCGCAGCCTTACTTTGAACGGCCGCTTCACACCGATGTCGAGCGGTTGAAGCTCCTTTGTCAGACCCCCGAGATAACGGCGAGCACAGCGTTTATTTGATTCACCTTTTTTTTCCACATCGGCTGTGAGATGGGCACGCAGCGATGGTGATGCGTGGAAAAAACCACCTGGTCTCCTCACATACACCTGCCTCAGCCACGCTTTCATCATCTCCTCATCCATCCAGCCTTTTTCATTTAATATCATATGTCATCAGAGCGCTGTGTCTGTCTCGCTGTCAGCTCCCAGATCAGCTTCTCTGATTGGTTGATGCGGCGCGTCCAGCAGCAAAACTTCAATTTTTCCATCTGAGCAGCAGCAGCGCGTTGGCGGTGCGTCAGATGTTTAAACGCTCCCGACGTGCTGCGCCTGCTGCTTAAAACGCGCTGCGGGACCTTTTGCTGCACCTATACGCGCGTCAACCATTGACTTTGCATGTAAACTCGCTGCTTCTGCTGCACCTGCTGGGTCCGGTTCACACCGATGTCGAGCGGTTGAACAGCGAGCACAGCGTTAATTTGTTTCCCCATGTTTTTCACATCAGCTGTGAGATGGGCACGCATGGAGTTACATATTAACAGCGATGGTGATGAGTGGAAAAAAAACACCTGGTCTCCTTACATTCAGCCACTCTTTCATCATCTCCTCAATGAGGTGTTCTCAAAAGTCGCAGTTACAACACACATAAGGCGCACCGCACCATAGGGCGCACCGCACATTTTGAGGGGAAAAAAAGACGTTTAAGTGCGCCTTATAGTCGTGAAAATACGGTACTTATTTTTCTTCCTACTTCTGACTTCTACTCCTTACATTTTTAAAACAAACGTTACTCGTTACTCTTGGCTTCGGTTTAATGTTTATAAATATTTATTTCCCGTCATGTGCTCCATCCAATGCAGATCATTGGCTCCATCCACATCTAGTGAAAACTAGTGTGATTGGATGAGTCATAGAACGCAAACACTCATTGGTTAGCTAAAGGAAATCATCAGAAGCAAGCAGGTGTTCTTCAAACTGCTAACGTGAATTGTCTATGCCATGCTACAATGTAGGATTCAGGAAAAGATGTTCAAATGTCTGAAAGGTCGGACACAGGCGAGAGCGTATCGGGAGGTGGAGACCAACAAGACCTCCCTCATCCTTGGCCCCATCTCAAAGAAATTTTTGAAATAGTCAAAAAATTTATTTTGATTATAATTTTATACTTTCAGTAGTTTTTGGAGCACATACTTTTTCACTTTTACTTGAGTAAAGAGGTCAAGTTGATACTTCAACCTTTACCAGAGTGTTTTTAAACTGCAGCATCTTTACTTCTATTTAAGTACATATGTGTTTACTTTTGACACCACTGATGCACACACACTGATTCACAACACCCGTCCCCTCAATGAGGAATTATAAATACTTTAATAATCCCAACTCCACCTGTAATAGAGTGACTATAGGACTAGTTTGATGTAACACAATTTCATACAATATATATAATCAGGGGGTCTCCGCTCCATCTCGCCATCAGTTTGGGGGGGGGGGGGGGGGGTGACTGAAAGACATCTTCTGCCTCCGTTTATCTGTTTACTACAGTGTTTTGAATTCATGTTAATGTGGATTTATATATATTTCAATTAGTGGAAAAAATTGCAGGGGGGAATATAAAAAATAAGTGTAATGAACTAGAACTTTGTGACCTCCATGCAGTACCTCATGGACCCCCTAGGGGTCGCGGGCCCCCTGTTGATTTAAGGGTTTTCTATATTTTTGGATAAACAGTCTGAAAGGTGACAGCATCAGTGAATCTAACAGTGTATAACTACAGGTTACAAGGTTAAGGTTGAGAGAAAATTCAATCAAATAATTAATCCGATTGTTTCAGCTTTACTGGCTATAAATCTACATTTATTATCAGACATTAAACATGTTTTTAACTCGATAATGTAATGAACCAGAACCTAAAAACCGATTAAGTTATAACTTTTAGTAAACGCGGTAATTCCCACCAAGTTGCTTCATTCGGCTGCAGTTTAGGAGGTTAGTTTTGAAGTAAGGGAATTTAGAAGGGAGTGAAAAGCTGCTTTCCTGTAGAAGGAAGCGGGTATTGAGCTGATAACGAAGAGGTTCTGGTGGAGGGGCGCCATCATGGCGACCTCTATCAGTCGGTCCGTTACAACAGCCAGCAGCAGGACATCTAACCTCACCACATTATTGGCTGAAAATAGACTAATGATGGCTGGAATCATTCAGAACAAACCACTTCCATTCCTCTCTGTGATGAGAAACAGATTTAGCAGCTTTTTTCCTCCAGCATCCCCCATTTAAAGCGAGCAACGGCAGCAGTTCTCCACCAAGCCAGGATTTTAGCTCCTTCTCGCCGCCCTTTCCTCCGTTATTCAGTCAGAATGTGTCCCTACCTTCGCATGGACTCCTCATTTCTCCATCTGATGGACCAATAAACCCACCGCAGCCCGGGTTAGTCGCTGCGGCTCCTCTGATCTCTGAGCTCCTTCAAGGAGAGAGGATTCCAGCCAATCAGAGGCGGCCTCCACACCCATCACTTCCGCTTTTGCAGTCAGATTTCTTTATTTGTCAGTCACATAAAAAGCACATGTAAAACTATTGAGCATTTTTTTTTATTTCCTCTTTACATTTTATTATTAGATACAAATGTCGCTCTGCTTTTAGAACAATAAAAAAGGAACTTTGCATCTTCTACAGTATGCTGTAGGAAAAAACAAAAAAACAAAATATTTAACCTAATTAACTCAACATTTTGGTATTTTAGGTTCACCTTAAAAACAAACAAAAAAGAAAAACATTCCTGTCAGCATTGAGAAAAGCAAACATTTAAACACCCGTCAGCAGGCGATCCTTGCTCTACTGTAGAGGCTGCTTCAGTTCAAACAGGCCAGTTCCACCTCTGACCACCTTCCCAACGACCAAGCAGGCTGAAGGAGACACCAGCTGATCATGTGACCCTGAATAATTTAAAACAAAAAAACAACACCTTTAGAAATGGCATTCAAAAGCAGGGGTTTTGGTTTCACTGCAGGCAAACTTCCATTATAGTTAATAAGCGGCCGTAGTTTCCTGAATGTGCCGCTCATTAAAATATAGTAATTTCTTTGTGAAACAAAAGTGAGAGAATGTTCTGATCAAACGGAGACAGAGGAGCCCGTTTCCCTTCTGTAAGAAAACTCGAATGAGACTTAGTTAGATTTCTCCTCAGCCGCTCAGCTTTACTTCTCTGTTAAATAATGTCCAACAATTACAGACTGAATCATTGTTTCTCTCAGAAAGTATTTACTTTCTCTTTCAGCAGCACAGGAGTTGCCGCCATTCCAGTGAGGATTACAGAACCTCATATGAAGCAACCTGATTAAAGGAAAAGTTCCGTTATATTCAGAATTCAAACTTCTGAAAGTACGTTAAGTATGAAATTATTACATACTTTTCAATAAATGATCAGTGTTTTTAATTCAGAGTCATTTTCATTTGAATGTTCTTTACTGGAGGCGTCCATGTTTGTCAAAGAACACTACTGCCACCTACTGGTTTGTTACGTCACGGTGTGGTATCGGCTGTTGATCAAGTCCCAGTGCTGTTACAACGTGCTACAAGTTTTTGCACTTTTACCCGATGTATTCCAACATCCAGCTACCATGCACGTGGGCATTGTCAGTTTCACTATAGCTCTGGTGAATTTCAATGGTGAAGTTCTCTGGAAATCTTCAATAATTGTTGTTGATTGCAGATGTGTCTAGTAGTTCCCATTGATTTTGCTTGTAAAGCGGGAGAATGGCGCTAGGCTAACCGCACCGTGACGTCACTGCCGGAAGATGTCAGGAGGGAAGGGTTACTATATTTGGACAAAAAGGGCTGCTCCCAGACTCTGTGATTGCGTCGAAAAATTGTGTTTTTATTTTTTTACTGATTAACGCTTAATGAATTAAATCTCTGCAAACATATTCGTTTCAGTTATAAATAATGATCCATTGATTATTCGTTGCTGACCAGACTTTTCCTTAAATCTTCAGTCTGTTTTCACAAATACACTTTTTTGTTTTCTTTTTTTTTTTCTATTATCAGACCCAGCCTGACAGGTTTCAACTATAACTACAGTCTCCATAGGAGGATGTAGGGGGAAACAAAACATTCTGACCTCTTCATGTCCTCAAAAAGTAAACATAATAACCTCAACTTCATTTTTGCAACAGTGCAAAAACTTGGAATCAGAGATCATTACTCTGTCAGAAGTACAGCTCCACGAAATGTGCGTTTAACCCATCCCCTAGGGGAGCAGTGGGCTGCCGTTTTGTGGGCTGCTCTAAGCCCCAACCACTAGGCCGCCACTCCCCAAATATGCAAATAGTAACAGTCTAAGAGCATTGTAATGTCCTACTGCCTTGTAGTAACAATAGCAGTTCATATATTAATATATATCACACATAAAGATAACCACATGCATAATGAAATAATGTCTATTTAAAAATAGAAGCCCTTAGAGCAGCAAGGTGCTGAGCTTTTAAAGTCGTATCAGACATAATGGCTTTCAAACATGGCCTGTATTAATGGTCCTGTACTTATCCAGCGCCTCTTCATGTGAGGAAAGGCTGATGTTGGTTAACTAGATCATGAAAACTCATCTAAAAATAGGCAAAGAGTTATTAAAGTCTGTTCATTTTTCCTTAATTTGAGCAGGAAAATCAAATGATCCGCCAATGGAAGGAGCATTTCTGGCCATAAATACAATAATAAGACGTTTTGCACTTTAAATGAGACAACAGAGCTGTTTTATTTTTGTTATCATTTTAAAGATAAATCAGCTTACTCCACTGGTAAAGAGTCTCACTTACTGGTTTAAAACAGAAAAATAATTATTTTAAGAAAAACGTACTTTCTTTCACAGCTGCCCGGGCACGACAACACCGTTCTCTCTGACCACCATCAGCATCCAGTCTGGGTGAAGCGTCTCACACAAGAACGCGACGACTGAGACAGACCCATTGGGGGATTTGATCTGAAAACCCTCCTGATACAGGACATATACTGCATCCAATGTTGCTGTCGCCATGGTGGTATAGGACATAAAAATGTTGCTCCGTTGCAGCCACTGGTCTCTATTTATTCCCTTGATTGCTGATTGCCTGCAAAACGTGAAGCCCCCATCCACCATGCTGCTACATGTGTAATATTTGGCTGTAAAAACAAAGATTTTGCCAGCTGTAGGAAGACGTTCCACAGGTAATTTTACCAACCAAGAAAATCAACATATACTGCAATGTATCCTATAGTATAGTATGTAGTGTAATTTTAGTCTGGCTATCTTGGATTGACATGAAGATATTGACTGAGTTAACCATTGACATTGCTTCTAACGTAAGAAAATAAAAAAGTAGATTAAATAGAAAGTAATTAACTGTGAAATGTCGGTGTAGTAATTCTTTATTAATTGCATCACGCTGTCGTTTTTTGTATTGTTTGTTGCATTTCAAATTTGAAAAAGCCATGAAATATATAACATGTTATATTGACGGAAAAAAAAGCAACTCAAACAGTTTACCCATATACAGCATGCATTATCAGACATGTAAGATGTAATTGCCGTAACGATGTCATCAATACAAGTCTATTACATGTACATCATCAATTTAGCCCTTTTGGCATTTCACTCTTAAGCCCCCTGAAAATTTGAAAAAAATTGTTGTTCGATGCTGTAGCGCACATATTGTTTACATTGTGAGCGGTCTAACTAGGGAGTACCAATATGGCAGCCGGTGGCTTCACTTGCACTGCGTACTGGTAGTACTGGTAGTACTGGTAGTACTGGTAGTACGCAGTGCAAGTGAAGTACCAGTGAATAAATAGAAATCAGTGGTTGCCTGCCGCATCATGACCGTAACACGCTTAAGGGAAAACTGCTGTTGGATTGTGGGTAATCCTGGTGCTGAGCGTGAACTCCTGCCTCCTGTGCTGGGATTGGTCCGGTCGGTAGACAGAGCCTGGATCAGTCAGTCTGGTTAATTAATGAACCCAGTCGCTCCATCTGTTCTAATGATCTCAGGTTATTTCCTGGTTCCTCTTTTCCAGCCAATCCGCTGTCAGATGACAGATTAGCAAACCAACTGTGGGAGGAGTCACAAACCTTTAATGTCCTTACCATTTATGAAACATCTGCTACCCGGCGCTCCCTAACAAACCCCTTATGTTAGCATCCTAATACAGTCCAGGTATTCCGCTTCATGTCTTACCCAGCATGGTGGCCTGCTTCAGGAACTTGTAGCTGGTCTCAAAGGTCATCTGCTGCAGCGGCGAGGAGTTGGACATTATGGCGTGTCGGTTTAAAGGCTTGTAGACGCCTTCAAAACACATGTAATCAGCCACCAGGGACAGGTGCCTGGGGTCCACCTCGATACCTGGACACAGTCAGAGCGGCGCAGTCACCATCAAAGCACTGCTTCCTGTTTACATTCACTCCTCTTTAGACTCACATTTACAGATTTCTCCATTAATCGAACCGTTAAAGAAATATTAATAATTGGGATTAAAATGTAATCTTTGGTAGATTTTTCTGTAGAGGACAGACTTAAATATGGAATCAAAAAATGAAATAACGATAAATGGAAAGGAAGGAGACGACATAAAGGGTAGATAGATGGGGGACAGCTGAGCGTACCATAGACCGCAAAGACGTCCTTGATCTCCTTCTCGATGACCTTCAGAGCCACTTCGATCCCATAGGTGTTGGCCATGGCGTGGACCTCATTGGAGTACAGCTTGTTGATGTCCAGGATCTGGAGATAAAAGGCCATCATGTTGCTAAAAATAACAGAGCAAAGAACGTCTGCCGGAATTATAGGTTGGACGACCACTGGTGGAAAGAGCAAGTACATTTACTTCAGTTATTTGTTAATTTTGGCTAAGCTTAGCTTTGTAATCCACTGTTGTGGTTTTTCTTTCTTGAAATGTAATTTCAACATGGCAGATGGCAACAGAAGCGTATTGCATTCACCACAAAAAAATAAAAATAAAATAAAACCAGACAGCTTATCTCATAATTACAAGATAAGATCTCATTAATTACGAGATCAGCATCTTATGATTATGAGACCTTATCTCAAAATTACGATATCTTATCTCATAATAACCAGATAAAATCTCGATTACGAGAAAAAGACCTCAATTCTGAGATAAGATCTCATTAATTATGAGACCAGCATCTCATGATTATGAGATCTTATCTCATAATTACGAGACAAGATCTCGATTACAAGAAAAGACCTAAATTCTGAGATAAGATCTCATTAATTATGAGACCAGCATCTCATGATTATGAGACCTTATCTCAAAATTACGATATCTTATCTCATAATAACCAGATAAAATCTCGATTACGAGAAAAAGACCTCAATTCTGAGATAAGATCTCATAATTATGAGATCAGCATCTCATGATTATGAGACCTTATCTCGTAATTACGAGATTAGATCTCGATTACGACAAAAAAACCTCAATTCTGAGATAAGATCTCATGATTATGAGACCTTATCTCGTAATTATGATATTTTATCTCATAATTACGAGATGCTGATCTCATAATCATGAGATTTTATCTCAAAATTATGAGATAAGCTGTCTGGTTTTATCTTTTTATTTTTTGGTGAATGCAATACGCTTCTGTAGCTATCTGCCATGTTGAGATAGAATCTCATACTGAGTACTGATACTTATATTCAAAACTTACTCAACTACAAGTCGAAAAGATCTCGTAATTACGAGATGAGATCTCAATTACCAGATCAGTATCTCGTAATTATGAGATCTTATCTCATAATTACGAGATAATCCCCGAAAAAAAAGAGATCTGATCTGAGCCCCTTCCACCTGTGGTACTAAGTAGGACACCAATCTGCTAATTTTCAGAGTCATTGCCAGTTTAGCTCTATACAGCAGCCTTGCTTTGCTAGTGGCGGCGGTCAACAGCTTAGCTGCTGTTTTTCCAGCCTTCTCCTCCGCTAATAATGCCATCAGCTCAGCAGTTTAATAACACGGTGAAACCGTCCTCAACTCAGTCAGATTAGCGCTAAACATGGTGCTGCTGTGTGCTGCCTACATTCTCTCAGACTCTGATGTGTCTGAATGGAATGTGTCTGAACTCCGTTATAGACACCTTTCATCAGAAGTACGAACCACGACGCATCAAAGATCGAATACAAAAAAAGCATCCGAGTTGGACATGATGTTATTTCTGCTTCACCAGTAGTCGTTAGAAAAGTGTGGCAGAAATCCCATAAAATGGTTTCAGTTTGCAGACGTACGTCGCTGTGCTTGAAGATCTCGTGCATGTTGATGCCCTCTGTGTTGAGAAGCATCTGCTTTTCGCCAGACTTGGTCGTGGTTTCGCTGAGCAGGCACCGCGTCAGGCCCCTGGTCTCCATGATGACTGCGTTCTGGGCCAGGGTGGACAGGACCGAGGTCAGGTCGAAGTGCACGTTGTTGACGGGGACGGTCAGCTCCACCTGTAGGGAAGAGAGGGTAAACATCTGGAGACATCCTGGGATTTAGCTTGTAAAGATCACCACTATCAACATATTATGGAAAAACCGCTGCAAAGAAATGACTCCATGATATGAGGAGGCTGCTTCTGCTTCCTCAGTATAAACGCTACAGATGCTGTGACAGGCGCCACATTTTGGTCGTACGTGCGTCTAGCATAACGAGCAGAGCGACACCAACACTACAGCTCACATCCTGTTTGTTTAACCCTTTGATGGCTGCAGTCTGGCTGCCAAAGCATGATGTCAGGCGGATGCATCAGAGTTTCATTTCTACTCATAATCCTTGTATCTGCTTCAAGCTCACTGCGACACTCTGCTGCGGGGAGTATAACCAGCCCTTCAGTCCTCAAAGCGCTAAATCAGCTGTTGCTGCAGCTCCCGGCAAACATGTAGTGAGCGCGAACAGCATCCGCCCCCTTCTTCTTCTGATTGGTAATACTGTTAGTTTCCTTTGCTAAGATTGGCTGACAAATGGAAGAGGAATTTGGAGCGTCTTTTTTTAAATTTATTTACCATCAATTTATTTCGACTGCTGCACAGCTCTATTGCTGTGTTAGGTTTATTCTTTATACATCATGTGCATTGTTACTTTGTTAGCCAGATTAGAGAGAGTAGAAGGCCTTCCTTCACATTGTGGATGTCACTGTGTGTAATTAGGTCATCTAACCAGGACAGCCTTCTTGTCTTTTAAAGATACACAGGATATGGGCACATCTTGGAGCCGGTCTGATAAAGGGAAGCAATCTGTAATTCTTGGGAATAGAGGCAGGATGCATACAGGTCAGGGCATGGATGGCGTGTCAATTTTTGATACAGACAGCTAAATATCCACATGATCCAACACATAGACTCATGAGCTACAAGAAGCAGGAGAGGACCTTGTTCGGGGCTCAATCTTTGCTGGACGCTCGCGGACGGGATTTTTTGAGCCCACAGCTGTGCAAGCTCCAAGTTTTTTCTCTGTCCTGTAACAACCTGATCTGGAATAAACTCTGTTACTTTTTACTCCTGTTTTATAGTCCTTTTTACATGGTTTTGCCAAGTTTGAGTTAAGAGTAGTAAATAACTTGCTCCCAGGAAAAGAACCGGTGGGGATGCCCCGAGGTGCAACTGCTTTCTTAGGGGACATAACTTCCTCATTTAACAGCTGCATGCAGCTGCAGCTCTCACTGTTTTGTCAAAGAGTGCGAGTTCACAGCTCTTGATGTTTGTTCTCACACTGTGCAGCAGGACGCTCTGATGCGATCTAACTGCTCACACTGTACCTCTAAAAACCATGTTGGACTCAGCTCCTTAGTTTTATTTATTTTATTTATCCTTTATTTAACCAGGTAATACCCATTGAGATTAAAAATCTCTTTTGCAAGGGATACCTGGCCAAGATAGGCATCAAAGTTACATCACATCATTACATACGTATAAGACACACACATAAAAGCCAAATATGCACTTACAATAAAATTTCAATTAAAACATTGACATGTGAGGGAGTCTAACTCAAAACATCTAATTCTCAACTTAAAAGTATTCAAAGGAACCAATTTACTAAGTTTCATGTTATTTTGCAGCAAATTCCATGTAAAGGGAGCAGAGTAAGCAAAGGCCTTTTTACCCAGCTCAGTACTGACACGTGGGACAGAAAACAAGACAACAGCCTGAGAACGGAGAGAGTAATGACCAGTACTTTTTTTCATAAGAAGTGAACATAAATAAGATGGAAGCGCACCAAGAATAGCCTTATATATAAATATATACCAATGACAAAGCCTCCGTGTAGCCAAGGCAGACCACCCTACACGAGAATACAGCTCACAATGATGGGTGCGAGCTTTACAATTAGTAATAAATCTCAATGATGCATGATAGGCTGCGTCTATCATCTGCAGGCATTGAGCAGATGAATGCATATATATTATATCACCATAGTCCAGCACAGTTAAAAAAGTGGATGCCACCAACCGTTTTTTTACATTAAAAGAAAAGCACAGCTTATTTCGAAAGTAGAAACCCAATTTTAGTCTCAACTTTCTCACTAGACAGTGAACATGAGGCTTAAATGATGGTATTGTCATTGATGACAACCTAAGATACTTATAAGTTGAAACTATCTGTATTTCACGACCATCAAGAGTAACCGCTGAAGGAACATTCAGTGACCTGTTCCGAAGGTCTGTGAAAAGCATACATTTAGTTTTTTCTGCATTGAGCACAAGTTTCAACTGTAGCAAAGTATTTTGGACCACATTAAAAGCATTCTGTAAGTGTGCAATGGCTTGTTTAAGAGAAGGTGCACAGCAGTAAATAACTGTATCATCTGCATAAAAATGAAAATTTGCATCAGACACATGCCGATTAAGATCATTTATATAAATAGTAAATAAAAGAGGGCCTAATACAGAGCCTTGTGGAACCCCTTTAAAGATTGGTAAAATACCAGATTGAACACCATCATGCTTAATGCACTGAGTTCTGTCACTAAGATAGTTTGAAAACCAAGAGACAGTTTTCTTGGAAAACCCTGATTTAAGAAGCCTAATCTTTAGAACATCATGATCAACCGTGTCAAACGCTTTTGACAAATCAATAAAAAGTGATGCACAGTGCTGCTTCTTGTCACGAGCAACAGAGATATCATTTATCACCTTCATTGCAGCTGTGATGGTACTATGTTTTTTTCTAAAACCTGACTGAACTGGGGATAAAATGTCCTGGGCGTGCAAGAAGTCTTTCATCTGATCACTCACCAGGGATTCAAGCATTTTGGCCAAAACAGACAAATTAGAAATTGGTCTATAATTATTTAAATTTGACGGGTCACCCCCTTTCAGTAATGGACAAACAAATGCAGATTTCCAGATTTTAGGAATAGTGTTGCTCTTTAAAGTAAGGTTAAAAAGGTACGTTAGAGGCTGTGCTACACAATCAGCAGCTATTTTTAAGAAATAGGGTTCTATAAGATCAGGTCCTGGGGTTTTTTCAGGAACCAGTCCTTTTAGGGCTTTTTGAACGTCAGCCACTGAAAATGGAACGAGATTAAAAACACCCGTAGTGACTGGCACATCTCCACAGGGTGTCACAGCATAAGGACAAACAGTGTCAAACAAAGAACCTGACTGAATAAAATGCTCATTAAAATGATTCAGTATCTCTACCTTGTCATAAACTACTACAGACTCTTTCATAATAGAAGAAGGAACATTGATACTATCTTTGTTAGAAGAAAGTAATTTTATAGCCTTCCAGAATTTTCTGGGGTCATTTAAGTTATTAGTAGTGACTGACAGATAAAAATCAGATTTTGCTTTCTTAACAGAAGAAGAACATTTGTTTCTTAGCCGTCTAAAAGCAAGCCAATCAGACGAAGAGCCCGTTTTTCTTGCTTTGGCCCAAGCTAAATTGCGGTCATGAAGAATATCTCCAAGCTCAGAGGAAAACCAGGGATTATCCCGCCCCTTAACTCTAAATCTCTTTAGTGGGGCGTGTTTATTTATTACTTGCAGAAAACTATCCCGGAAAAAGATCCAGGCTGACTCCACATCGGGAATCAGCTCCATTCTACTCCAATCACAATTAAACAAATCATGGCAAAAGCCCTGTTCATTAAAATTTTTAAGATTTCTCTTACATGTTACACGAGGTTTACCTTTAGGCAACTTAGTATTCCTTACAGCAGTGATAACGCAGTGGTCACTTAGGTCATTGCAAAAAACACCAACAGCAGAAAATTTGTGCGGGACATTAGTCAAAATTAAATCAATTAATGTGGATTTCTCATGGCACTTAAGATTTAAACGAGTGGGAGAGTGAGAGGACGCTACTCGGACTCATCTATCTGGAAGCCAAACCAGTAGAAGAGGAATTTGTAGCTTATTAGAGTGAAACGCGCTGCCTTGGCAATCTGTGCAATTTTGTGCTGAAAGCCCTAAAATTAAAAGGCAACAACGCGTTAAGACAAAGACATGGCTGAGCAAACATGGCTACTTCAGTCTGTCAATTTTACAGAAAGAACTCCATTTCACTCGCACCCCCGCCATGCTTCTGTGTTTTCATCTGAGAGGAAGAAGAAGAATCCTTATTTCTGCACCGAGAGATTTGCTCACGACCACCTCAAGACGGCCGACTGAATTTCAAAGTAAAGTCAGATTTCCAGGTTGCGTCAGGTTGCGTTGAGAACCTAACCTGTTCTCCTGATACCAAGGGCTCCTTCGGTTGATGTTAAAGGAAACTTCTGAAACTACTTCTGAAATTATTCCATACTCTTTAATAAATGATAAGTGCTTTAATTAAGAGTAATTTTCATTTGAATGTGCTTTACTGCAGACATCCATGTTTGTCAAAGAACACTACTGCCACCTACTGGTTAGTGACGTCACAGTGCGGTATCGGCTGTTGATCAAGTCCCAGTGCTGTATCTGGTGTTTGTCACAACGCGCTATTATCCAAGTCGTCTTGAAAACATTCTTCTTCCAAATGTTGGCTACAAATTACGTGTTTTTTCTCTGGCCAGAAGTTAAATGGTAAATCCTCCCTCTTCAAGTTGGCAATCCAATGATGAACTAATTTTTTATCCACTTTTACCCGATGTATAACAGCATCACGCTGCCATGCACGTGGGCATTGTCATTTTCACTATAGCTCTGGTGAGTTTCAATGGTGAAGCCCTCTGGAAATCTTCAATAATTGTTGTTGATTGCAGATGTCTATTAGGAGTGTAAATCACATCCATCATGGTGATTAGATTCAGTATCGATATCCTGACCCAACGATTCGATTATTTTCGATACTCTAGAATACACCACGATACGATACAATTAATTAGTTCATTTTGTTTTTTGTATTTTTTTACCTTACAGGCTAGACAATGTTTCAAATTTGAAATAAATCAATAAAAGCTGTAATATCGTTATGCATTTTATTTTGAGAAACAACAGCAAATAACATAAGTAGAAAAGTTGCACTCCATCTATTCCTATTAAAACCATTTCATTCACTGAAAAATAATAATACCCCTGCATTATAGATTCTGAAAGGCTTTGCATCAAAAAATACTGCACAAAATCAGTGCAATGAGTTCAACTCAATACCTCAGCTCCAGACGTCCCCGCCGCCTCCACAGACGCTCCGCTGCTCCTCTCCCAACTTGTAGCTGACCACAGACAGGAGGCCGGCTTGTTTTGTTTTTATGACCGAATATATGGAAAACAACTCGTGAAGTTTGACCCGCTAGAAGAGCGAGGTGTGCGAGAACGCTGGGACCCTTTTTCCTCCTGGATCTCCGCTCTTTTTGGCCCTCATGTCCCTCCGTCGTCGGACTAAACTCGCCCCCACTTCCTCACCGCCTCGGCCGTATCTAGACCCACAGCGTGTAGCGAAGACTACGCTTCCATATTGAGCATAATTTAAAAATGTCTGTGTCAAGCTCACTGCAACACACTGCTGTAAGAGTATAACCAGGAAGCGCGGTAGGAGGGCAAAATAGGTTTAGTGCCACCACAGCACGGGAGGAGAATTACGCCCAGGAGCAAATGGGTAAAAATAGACCGGAGGAAAAAAAAACATGAATCGATACTCTTGCGGACGTGTCGATGCATCGGATCGTTGGCTGTTGGATCGATGGATCGATACAAAACGATTATTATTTACACCCCAGTGTCTATGCTGGTGAAGATTATCAGTCATTCAGGTCATAGTTAAAACAATCCACTGGACTTTGATTCCAAGTTTGAAGACATTTTGCTTCCCATCCAGGAAGCTTTTTCAATTCAAAATGTTCAATTCAATTTTAAATTGAAAAAGCTTCCTGGATGGTTTTTAATTTGATGTTTTTGGAATTAGTTTTTATTTTTTTACGATTAACGCTTAATTCATTAAATCACAGCAAACGTATTGGTTTTAGATAATGATCCATTGGTTATTCCTCGCTGACCGGACTTGTCCTTGAAACAGCCGCTTTAAAGTAGGTCCAACTCACCTCACACCACAGTTCTTCCTGCTGATCGAAGGAATAATTCTGGATGGCCGAGTTTGATGAGAGAACCGAGTTAACCCTCATCTGGACCGAATGTTCGTCTCCTTCCCCCATTTCCACTTGCTGCTTCTTCTTCTTCTTGCGCTCTAATCTAGCTACTGCCACCTCCGGCTGGGACTCCTCCACAGTGTTAGATTGGTTGTTCACCTCGGCCTCCTCCTCCTTCTGATCCTCCTCAGCATCGCCACCTTCGTCCTCGTCTTCGCTTTCATAGTCTACCTACAGATAAAGGCAGCTTTAGTAAAACAGTACAACACTGAGCTAAAAAAAGACATGAAAGAAGAATTAAGTGTTGGATTATGGAACATTTTTGGTGTTAGGCTGCTTTCCTCTTTTATTAAGCTTCGGTTTTAGAACCAAAAAAGGAAAAAAAAAAAAAAAAACTAGTTCAGCCTTCGAATTCACATAAATTACTTTCAGGACCTTTTCTTGATTAAGACATTTTTCAAAGTTTTATTTTTGAAACATTTTCTTCTGGTTGACTTTTTTTCCTCACTTTCATTATTGGAACAAATCTCTCTACATAAATATGAATTTGAACCATCATACACCAACAGCTCTCTACGCGGTGCAGGTGGAGCAGTGAGAACTTCAGCTTCAACAAAAGAGAAAATAACCCATAGTGGTCCATTTCCTTAAAAACTTAAAAAGCTTTCTTTTGTATCAGGATGATTTTTGTATTTATTTACAATTTGCTGAATTAAAAAAAACAGTCCATTAAGCTCTGCAATTCATTTAACCAGCTGAAAAAGCAAATTATTAAACCTGTTGACAAGATATAACAAATAAGAAGGCTAGGAGGCTATTGAGTATAAAAAGAGTGGGAAAGAAAGACACATTTCCATGAGCAAAGATGTAGAGCTACTACTAATAGACAGGGTATGTCGCTCTGACATACTGTCAGGATTATTTACGGCTTTGTTTCTGTGAAGTAGATGTTAACTGTCAGGTAGCTCTCTGTTTTCCAGCATTCAAAAAGTGCAACGAAACACAAAAGCTATAATCGTAGGTAATTTATTTGCTCACATCTCTAATTTATATTGTTAAATATTCCTTATTGATACCCACGCCTAGACTTTACTGACTAGAAGAAGAACAGATGATCAATCAGTTTATTGCTCATCAACACCAAGGAAGCAGAGAGGTAAAACATTTTTCCTAATTTCATCGTTGGGGTTTCCTACCCTTAGATAAGTTTATTTTTTTCTAGCAGTCTAATCTTTATCATAGGACAGTAGCTAGAGAACAGTCTAACTTGTTAACACAGCATGGAGTAAAAGTGTCTCTGAATACCGAAGGTTCCTCTGAGCAGTTTCTGCCTCGAGGCCAGTTGGAGAAGTTGCTGGACTGCATTCCTTCACTAATAGCTGAGAACTTCAACACATTCAAAGAAGTCTGACAGTGAGTGAGGCAGTCCTGGAGTCAAAGCTCCTCAAATGCCTCCTTCTATGAAATGATATGAGCTCCCGCCCTACCTCCTCCTCCTGTTTGCTCTTCCTCTTGGCATCTGATGCGTCGGCGTCTCCTTCTTCCCCCTGATCATCGGCGATCTCTGGCTCCTCCTCTGCTTCTCCATCTTCTACCTGCAGAGAGCAAGCAAAGTTAAAAACCATTAAAAGCTGACGGAGAACACAGGAAACGACTTGAGAGTAAAGTGATGAAAAACCGGACCCCCGCTGTGCCAGGCTCGTCCAGGTCTTTATCTCTGGGGGAGACCCTCCTGGTCTCCACGGCGATGGAGGCTAACTTGGCGGTGCGCTTTTTGATGGCATCCAGGAGGAGACGGAAGAACCTGAAAACAGACGGATCATGGAGAGGGTTAGCGATGGATAACGGTCTCCACACCTTCCCCACACACAGACATCAACAAACACCTCGATTCCATGTAGCGCAGGATCTGGTGGGGGGTAAGCAGCTTGTCGTCACGGTAACGCTCAGGAGGCAGGAAGTGGAACTTGACCTTGAAGGAGCGCAGTTTTTGATAACCATCGATCAAAAGGGTCTCGACCACGTCTACCTTCTGCAGCACCTAAAAAAATATAAACACACATTTTAGAATACAGCTAAACCAGATCTAAACCACATTTAAAGCAGATCTAAACCTGATCTAAACCAGATCTAAGCCACATTTACACCTAATCTAAACCAAATCTAAACCATATTTAAACCTAATCTAAACCAATTCTAAACCAGATCTAAAGCATATTTAAACATAATCTAAACCATATTTAAAACGAATATAAACCAAATCTAAAGCAGATCTAAACCTAATCTAAACCATATTTAAAACGAATATAAACCAAATCTAAAGCAGATCTAAACCTAATCTAAACCAGATCTAAAGCATATTTAAACCTAATCTAAACCATATTTATACCACATCTAAACAAAATCTAAACCACATTTAAAACCAACCTAAACTGTATCTAAACCACATTTAAACATATATATATGTTTAAATGTGGTTTAGATACAGTTTAGGTTGGTTTTAAATGTGGTTTAGATTTTGTTTAGATGTGGTATAAATATGGTTTAGATTAGGTTTAAATATGCTTTAGATCTGGTTTAGATTAGGTTTAGATCTGCTTTAGATTTGGTTTATATTCGTTTTAAATATGGTTTAGATTATGTTTAAATATGTTTATTTATATTTATATTTATCTATATTTAAAACTAATCTAAACCAAATCTAAACCAGATCTAAACCGCATTTAAACCTAAGCTAAACCAACTCTAAACCAGATCTAAACCTATTCTAAACCACATTTAAACCTAATCTAAACCATATTTAAAAACCATCTGAACCTAATCTAAAGCAAATCTAAACCATATTTAAGGCACATCTAAACCCGATGCAACTCTAATCTAAACTTAATCTTAACCACACTGAAATCTTATCTGAACTAGATTTAAACCTTATCTAAATCGAATTTAAACCACATTAAAACCTAATCTAAGCCATATTTAAACCCCATCTAAACCAGATACAACTCTAATCTAAACCACACTTAAACCAAATCTAAAGCAGATCTAAAGCTAATCTAAACCTAATCTAAACCTTATTTATACCACATCTAAACAAAATCTAAACCACATTTAAAACCAACCTAAACTGAATCTAAACCACATTTAAACATAATCTAAACTATATTTAAAATAATCTAAACCAAATCTAAACCAGATCTAAACATATTCTGAACCACATTTAAACCTAATCTAAACCATATTTAAAAACCATCTGAACCTAATCTAAAGCAAATCTAAACCGTATTTAAGGCACATCTAAACCTGATGCAACTCTAATCTAAACTAGATCTAAACGACACTGAAACCTTATCTGAACTAGATTTAAACCTTATCTAAATCGAATTTAAACCACATTAAAACCTAATCTAAACCGTATTTAAAAACCATCTGAACCTAATCTAAACAAATCTAAACCATATTTAAGGCACATCTAAACCAGATGCAACTCTAATCTAAACCACATTTAAACCTAATCTAAACCAGATCTAAACCAGTTAAACCTAATTTAAACCTTATATAAACCTATTTTAAACCACATTTAAACCTAATCCAAACCATATTTAAAAACCATCTGAACCTAATCTAAAGCAAATCTAAACCCTATTTAAGGCACATATTTATACCTAATGTAAACAGGTCATTAAATTTGGGTTCAAGACTAGATAGAGTTTAAGGCCCCGTCCACAGGAAGTCAAAACGAACACGAAACGCTACGAAACGTTTGTCGTAAAGACGGAGACGTAAAATAAATGTGATCGTCCACACGAATGCATGAAAACGCTGCAAAATGTATGCCAGGCCTGTAAGTGGCGCTGTGGTGCCAAAGCAAAAATAGGCGAAAACAGGCAACGAAATGTTGGGCATGCGCAGTAATATTTATACAACAACCAAACCGGAAAACTGGAAAATGGCTCTGCGGGTCCATTTTCGTGGTTCAGTCAAATTCAGGTGCTGAACTATGTCGTCGATATTGCTCTGTTCTTCCTGGAGATATTCCAGAAGAAGAAGATTCTGTTGTAAGCCCGACAGCAGGGTGAGTAGCATGAGCAGCAACCATTCAACACAGTACGGCGCCATTGTTGTTGTGATACAGTGTCGCGCATGCGTGTTTAGAGGCGACGCTATGACACATGCGTGTAAGAAAAAAAATGCGGTTAGAGCTTAAAGATGGAAACGCGAAAACGGCGTTTCAAAATCTTCCCACTCTGAAGGCTTAATAAAAAAAAGATTGTTTACAGACCCCCGAAACGCCGGCTTCGTATGGATGAGAGGCTGGTTTGGTGAAAAATGTGTGCGTTTAGGCCAGGGTTTGACTTCGTGTGGACGGGGCCTAAATGTAGAGAAACAGGAAGGCAGCAGAGGAAATTGATCCGGAAACAGCGTAGTGGTCTAACCTCAGTGAGGCAGACTCTGCTGAGCTGCTTCCTCAGCGTCTTTGCTCTCTTCAAAGCTCTCTTGGTGTTGAGCACTGGAACACTCATCATGGGGGTTTTAATGTTGGAACTGGCCACCATCAGGATCTCTCTGAGTCTGCAAAGATAGACATGTCTTTAAGATGATGCTGAGAGGCGACTAATAAAAGCCCTGTAGGGATTCAATCAAACCAGCTCATGTTTTATTAGACTGTTCTCATTTTCATCTACGAGGCCTGCTAGGCTGGGCATGCTATGCGTCACTTACACACCCTCAGAAACATACTTGGCTTTACTCGCATGAATTGGTTGGAAAAATGCTGCTGCTCCAGGTAACGACTGTTCGTCAAAACAGGCCTGAACTCTCTGACATTAGCCCCAGATAAAGGGATCTGGTACAGTGAGGCAGCAGCCTGAGGTCAAACTGAAATAGCACGTTCACAGTGCCTGTTAGCAGGCAGGAACACATCCCTGGGTCGGACCAGAGTCAGCACCCTTCACACACACCAATTAGTCTTTTTTTTTTTTCACTGAACCCACCAGGAGGGGAATGGATTTACCTAAGATCACCCACAGGTGGCAGTAATGCAAAAGATAAAGCTTGAACTGATCAAGACAACGTCTAAAGAAGAATTGTGTCTGTCAAACAGTTGATCAGCAACAATAAGGATGGTTCTGGTCCCGTAACCCGGTGAATCATTTCACTCTCTGCTCCAACAGAAAGGAGCAACATGTAGCAGGAGTCAGGACTGTTGCTAGGAAACACATAACCACGAATGTCTGGTGTAAACCTGAAATGCGTTCCTTAAACAGTGATGTAAGGACTTTCTTTACAGAGCGGCCTCTGTTCATCCTCTAGGGCACCAGTGAGAGACAGAGATCCTTCATAACATTGATAAAACACAACTAACGACCCTGTTTATTCAATTTAAAAGAACTAAAATGTTGATTTGGGGTTGTAAGCTTCAAACACTTCAACTCTAAAGGCCTGGTTATCCTCCTGCAGCGATTTGTTGCAGTGAGATATTTTTGATATTGAAGCTTGGTCTGTGCTATGTTATTCCACGCCACAACGCATGAGGGACAATCAGGAACTAGCTGTGCGTCTAGATGCGGCCGAGGCGGTGAGGAAGTGGGGGCAAGTTTGTGCGACAACAGAGGGACATGAGGGTGAAAATGTTTAAAAGCGGAAATTTGGACACTGGGTCAAACGCTGGTCAAGTTGCTTTGACGCTCTGGATGCTCGGCGCTCTGGTCATTGATCTGCTTTGTTCTGTAGCTTCAAGCTAGAGAGCAGCTTGGCTTTTTTCACTTTGATGAGTCAGAAAAAGTTTTACCACAAAGCATTTAAGCGAGAAAGTCCACCGCCACACATCCTGTGTGCAGTCAGTTCATCAGGATAATGATCCCACTCAGCAAACCGCTGAGGCAGCTCAGCTGAAAAGCTCTCTGCAGCCGCCAGCCACTGGGGGATTGCCTGCTGCCGTTCATAGCGGCCGGAAGTGAATATTAAGAGTTTTTAAGTTTGCTGTAAAAACTGCAATTACCAGAATATAAAATTGAATCATCTTTATTGGCAGGTTTTTAAAATTTGTAACATTTTTAAAAAACAAAATGTTTTAGTGCAGCAATAACGATCTGAGCTCTCTCTCTTTTCCTTCTACATAACTAAGGATTTGGAAAAAAAATCGTTTTGGCAATATATTGAGAATTCTGGCTGCCTGATATAATATCGATCTTTTAGTTCCAGTTCCTAGCATTGATTTTTTTTTTTAAACAAAACAATTTTACCTAAACCTGCGGGAAAATATGCTCCCTCTGCATTGCCAGTCTGGCAGATACCGATACCGAAATACGTGATAGATCAATATCATCTGATGAACATACAGTATACAGAGGTTGCTTTTTTATCTATACATTTAATTTTAATAGCAGGAAAAATATTGCAATATAGTAATAATATTGTATCGTGACCCAAGTATCATGACACGTATCGTATTGCAACACCCATGCCAATACTCACCTCTATACATAGCTTTTTTTCACCCTTTTTAGATTAACTCCTTGATAATTTTTTATTTTCCATATGCAGACAGCTGTGCAGAAATGATTACAGCTTGTAGTGTCTATTTCCCCCCAAAAAACCTCCTGGATCAGCTTCTCTGATTGGTTGAGCGGCAAAAATATTTTGAACTTAAGCTTAGATGCGACGCTCCCGACGCTCAGACACGCCTCTGGACCTCTCAATGCCGTCACCCATAGACTTTGCATGGAAATCAGACGCTTTGATGGTCTGAACTCATCATTAGAAACAATTTGATAAGAGCTAATGACTGCTGGAAATGCAGCTTGGTGGGGTGTTTGGGTCAGAGGAAACAAGGTGCGTCATCATCCTCAGCCCTAGCACTGTTCCAATTCACAGGAACAGCAGACCGGCCCGTCTATAGCAGCCCTCTCTCTGCATAGCTGTGTGTGAAGGACCGCTGGCTCTGATGGAGAGTTTTTTATGTTTTATTTGGCAAAATGTTCATTTTATTTGTGTTTATCTGACTGTGTTCATTATTATTTCCCTACTAAATAAAATAAAAAGTCAGAATTTATTATTATCCAGAGAATATTAATAACAGGAGGTGAAATGCAGCTCCAGACGAGCCGAGCGTGTGGTGATGTCATCAGTCCAGACTTTCCTGTGTTCTTCTCAAGAATATACTTGGTGAGAACACGAGTCCGTATTCGCGTTCTTGTGAAACGAGAAACGGCAAAGGACTGAGGTGGACACAAGGAACAAACCGAATCCCAGAATTCATAGCATCAAACTAATCATCATTAGCTCTGCCAGGAAGGAGGAGCTTCTCCTCATGACTTTACGGTTCCAACCATGTGTAGTGAAATAATAACATCTTTAACCAAAGTATCGCTACCAAAGCAGGAAGTTGAATGTTTTCTTCAACCAGTAGAGCAACAGCAGCTGCTTTTCTTTCAGAGGAGACGTGAGCATGAAATAAGCCCATGACGTACAAATAAATTGGAAAATAATCAAATTCTTGCTGATATAATTTCCTTCTGTGATCTGGATGTTTTTATGAATGAATTAGAGTCTGAGATTACCGAGGGATTCCCAAAGTGACGTTCATCTCTCCTCTGCCTGCAAAGTGGAAGGTGTTGAGGGTCATCTGGGTGGAGGGCTCTCCTATGGACTGAGCCGCCAGCAGCCCCACTGCCTCACCAGGGTCACACAGGGATCGCTGCCACTTATAATGAAGCAGCCGGCGCAGGCTGGTGATGACAGGAACCAAAACAATGTTAGTTTATACAACAACTCCTCTGCTGGGGGTGTAACCTGACGCCAAGCATGAAACTGAACCCTTTAAAGAACAAAGGAGGGTTTCAGCTGAACACTGCAGGCTGCCTCCTCTATTCTAACCCAGTCACATCAAACCACAGATTTTAATAGATTTAATCACCATGCAGAGTCACGCAAAACTCATTATTTATAGATCAAATAAACACTTGGTGAGGGTTTCATGTATTTGACGCACCTTTAGTAAACACTTAAAAAAATATATATAATAGAAATTCGAAATAAAATCTCCTCAATAAAAAAAGACAAACAGTAATTTATAGTCTGTATGCAAAACTTTAACTTTTAATTTTTCCATTTTTATTTTTTGGACACAAATGTAGGGATCAAATCTATAAAAACTGGAATTTAAAAAGAATACAACTCATTTTTTATTTATTATTATTTATTTTTCAATCTTGGTATAATTACTGCTCCAATTGGGTCGCTCTGTCAGCTGTCTAAACCAAACTAAATTAAACTTAAGAGTGAGTGCGACATTTAATTACCCTGTGGAATTATAGTATTTTTGAAGTGAATTGAAACACCAACACACACATATTGGCATCAAACAGTCAGATTTCCAGCTTTAACCCTGTTTAGGGCAAGCAGTGAAATACTTTGAAAATCTAAAATTCTTTTTTTTTTTTGTAATTTATTTTTGATAAGATTTAAAATCTAAATTTTAAGCAAATAGTGGTACAACATAACCTTAGAATTAAATTCAGCTTCTTTGATTTATTTTATGAGTTCAGTGATTATTTACTGTAAACTGGGTTATAATATAAACCCTATTTTAGGAGTAATTCCTGTGTCTCCACATGCTTTTTGACTGGCTGGGTTTCTTCCAGGTCTGCAGGTCCTTTAAATTATTCACTAATTTGTCCACAGTGGAAAAACCAATCTAGAAATAAGTAAAAAATGTCTTAAATAAAGTGTATTTACCCTTAATTTGCAGGTAAATGAGATGATTCGCAAATGGAATGAGTATTTTTACTCTTCAAATAAGATATTTAGATAATATGTGCTTAAAATAAGATAATGCAATTGTTTCTTTCTTATTTTAAATGTAAATTATCTTGTTTCATTGGCAAACGTCTCTTTTACCCTCTCAATTCAAGAACAAAAGCACTTATTTAAAGAATAAATGACTTATCTAACTTTGGATTTTTTCCAGTGCACCACAATAAAACACTGAGGTCTGAGGCTGTAGAGTGATGCAAAACCATGGGCTCCCCTCGCTTTCAGTACCTCTGGGTCTCCACGTCGCCCTCTGCTGTGCTGCTTCTGTTTTGAAGGTATTTCTCTGTGATATCGTAGAAGTTTTCAGAAACAGATCCGAAGCAGACGTCTGGCCTAAACAAGCCCAGGGACGGTTCAGGGCACCGGGACGACCTCTTTCTGTATTTGGCTCTGCTGGCTTCATCCAGAGAGTGCCAATCCTTCACCAGCTGAGGAGCAATCAGATGACATCATGGTTCAGCAGAGTGACAGAAAACCAGAGAAGAAAACGAGGCAAACAGATCTTAAGGGCTGGTTATACTCCCGCGGTAGTGTGTTGCAGTGAGCTTGTCACAGCTATTTTTTATTTATGCCCAATTTTAAAACATGGTCTGTGTTATGTTAATCACAAACTAGCTTTGGGTCTAGATGTGGCTGATGCGGTGAGGAAGTGGGGGCAAGTTGGTGCGACAACAGAAGGCCATGATGGCCACATGTCAACGGAAGGACATAAGGACATGATCCTAGCATTTAGTAGTCACCTACAATTTTGGAGAGGTGCACCAGAGTGTCTGCAGTGCGGAAGGGTGGGGGAGGGGGTGTTCGGTATATCTGCATTCACTGCGACACACATGCAGACCACCGGATTTCTGAGTATAAACCAGCCTTTAGTGTGCAGCTCTACCTGGAGCACTGCAGGATCCTGGTTGGGCACTGGCTCCGTTACCTGGAGAGCCTCTCTTAACTTTGCTAACTTCTTCTGAGAATATAGTAAAAAGGCTCCTGTCGAAAAAAAACAAAAACATAAGTGTGTATTAACAGCATGAAGACAACATTCTAATATGTGGAGGGAAAAACCCAAACCAAAGTAAAACCACAGGTGAGAGAGTAAAGCAAAGCTGTTGGGTACCTCTGCGAGCACACGCCAGCTCTCTCTTTGCTCTCCAGCGCTGAACGGCTGCAAAGTGGTGAGATGCATTCTGAGGGTCCAAACGAGCCAGAACACTGTCCAGGTCCTGGGACCTCCTGATGACCTTAAGAGAAACAGAAACCCAGCTGCTGTCATCTAAAAAGCTCTTTCTGGTAATCAGAGAGCATATTGAGTTGCTTCCTGCCTCTAAAGGCAGATTCCTTCAAGCAGTGCTGTGTAACGTCCAGCTATTAGGGAAGCTAGACCTGTCATTTCCAGACTGCACAGTCCCTGTGTCCTGGTTCTGATAGCAGACCAGTTTGGACCAGCAGACTGGTAAGTGATGAGTTACTGGTAAAGACAAGGAAACATTCACTCCTTATTAAATCCTCTACAAAAGGTGTCTTCAACATTTTCCAGGCCAAGGACCCCCAAACTGATGGCGAGATGGAAGCAGGGACCCTGATTATAAATATGTTGTATGAAATTGTGTTCTATCAAACTGGTCCTATAGTCACTCTATTACAGATGAAATAATGTAACTAAAATAATTTCTCCCTGGGATTATTAAAGTATTTCTGATTCTGATTCCTGGTTGATGGGACAGGTGTTGTGAATGAAACGGTGCCCAGCTTGAAAGAGCTCCTGTGTGTCGCTGAATGTTTGCATTGATGACTGAAAGACATCTTCTGCCTCCATTTATCTGTTTACTACAGTGTGTTGAATTCATGTTATTGTGTGTTTTAATACATTTCAATTAGTGGAAAAATTGCAGAGGGGTATATAAAAAAAAAAAAAGTCTAATCAACCAAAACTTTTGCGACCCCCATGCTGTTCCTCCGTGGACCCCCTGTTGAAGACCTCAGACATAAACCATTATTTTCAGTTTACAATTTTGAAAAATTTTCCATATAGGAAGAAAGCTAAAAAGACACTAATAACAGATATTAATTTTTAAGTCGTAGGGAAACGGCCGTCGCAGCGGTTGCATTTCTGAATTCTCCCGAGTGGTGCAGGACTTCACACGAGTGAATAAAGTAAATATGATTGGTCGTTTATCAAGGAGGCGGGATTGTTGAAGGTTTGCAAGCATTTTGATTGTGGCCGTTTTCTCTGAAGCATCTTGCTAACCAGTTAGCATCTTAGTGCTAGTAGGTTCCTAATGGGAAATTCCATTGGGACCAAGTAGCACTAAATTGGTGACTTAGAAACGACACTGTCAAGGAACGCTATGGACAGAGGAAACATGGAAGAGGAGGAGAGTTTAGTGTTGGAGGTCGTGGATGAGTCTCCTCTGTCATACATTTTTTATTTAGAGGAGGAAAGCGGGATGAAGATGTTGTGGAAGAGGACGCCAGGGCGGCAGAAGCTTGGTTTGGTGTAGAAGGCTTCCAGCCGTACATGTTTGAGCCCTTGCCTCGCAACGCTGCCAGTTCTGTTAGCTCTACGCCTGCTGAAGACACAGACGTCCATCCCCGTGAACACTGGGACGGAACTCAGTGGGAAAGGAAATTATTCTGATTTCTTATTTCAACCGTTGCGTATATTAGCTGCGACATATGAATCAAGATGCTGTGACCGAAAAAATGTGATTGACAGATGACCGTTGATATATGATTGGCTGAATTTTTAGGCGTTTACGCTGACGTATGACTAACTGGCCTGCTTAAGATAACCAGAAAAAACACAGATTTTAAGATGGTATTATTTAAAAAAAAACATAAATTTTCTATATTTTGGGACAATATAGTCTGATAAAGAGTACATTTATATACATGTTTAAGCCAGAATGATTTGACATTTAAATATGACTTCCCTATGACTTTATCAACAAATGAATGGAATTCACAAACTTTGTTTTGATTCCTACTCAAAGTCCATAATAGTTCTGCTTTCCACCAAACATTATCCAGAGATTTGGTACTACTGGTGCTTTTTTTTGACGTCAGAGATGCTGTAGAGGCCTTGCAGAGACAAGGGTGGAACAGAACTGAGAAACAGCGGCTGCTTCACTGTAACTTGATTTTGGAACTTTGTTATTCACTCTTCACGTCAGACTCCACAGCTTTGATTCCCATCATGCCAAGGTCGAATCACTTCTTGCTCAAAATACGCCATTCCTCATATACGTTACCTGGTACTGTTTTTAGCCATGCAGAAAACTGTTAGCTGGCTTAGCCAATTTTCATTGAATTGACAATTCCCCATGTTATCCAGATTAAAAGTCAATAATGCATCACCCCAAGGTCTGTTTGCAATGTTGTTTTTATTGGTTATTGGTTTTATTGGATGGAACTAATAATGGTTACAGCTAAGACGTTGGGTAAATGTCAAAAAATTATCGTGAAATATTTAAATCTTTGGCATGAATTACAAAAAAAATCCTATTTATGACTTGGTGATGATTTTAATACCTACGGAAGACTGATTTAAGGCATTTTAATGTCACTTAAGGCCTTATTTTTATATTGAAGAATTCAATGCCTTTTAAGTCTTTTTAAGGATCTGCAGGAATCCTGCTGTTATCTAAACTGCTGAGTGAAACCAAACCTTTCAACATTACAGAGGTTTAAAACGTAAACACGCCCACCTGCAGCCTGTTCATGTGGTCCAGTCCAGCCTAACGGCACTAAATGTGAACATTTGTGTGCAGCACATACTTATCCCCAGTGGCCATGCAGAAATGCCATGGGGCCCATGAGCTACACTGTTACTGTTGCAACCACTTTGGCCAGTGACATCCAGGGGGAGGGAAGCACTGAATTTGACAGGGTTGCTTCATTCGGCTTTACTGCACAGACAGAAATAGCGATTTGCCTTCCTGTTGTATAAGAAGAAGACACAAAGGTGGAGAGAAAGAACTGTGATTCATGTTGTGCTGCTCCCTGATCTGGACAAAAATAAGGCTATGACTCAATCAAAGCCTGAGATTCATTTCTAATAAACATTTCGTACAGCCCTAATCTGAACATTCATCTTCTTTTAGATGGTGGATTAGGTCTGCTGCTTTGATTCTGATATTTTCTTTTTTCAAAGAACTTCTGTTTCTTTGTTCATAGATAAGAGTTTGCTTTTGATATTTTTTAACCTCAGATGTTAGATGCTGTGCAGTTGAAAGGATTTCATCTGATATATTTTTTTGTTTTAAAAATTTAGTTGTGTTTGATAACTTTAGCAACCATAGAAAGTTGATTTTTTTTAAACAACAGGGAGCAGCTCAGTAAAAATGATTAAGGCTGAAATAATACTTCTACTTTCAAAACTGCTAAAAATGAGAGAAAATGCTGAGCAGCTGAAAGCAGAGAGACATTTCTTCCCTCCATCATTCAGGGCAATATTAGATCTTCAAAAGTTAGAAGAACTCCCAAGTCACTCCCAGGTCATTCATCCCAGCTGCAACCAGACTCTACAATGCAACACTACAACAGCAATAACTTGTGCAACGTATAATGTGCAATTACTATTTGATACCCTGTGCAATATCCTGTTCTCTATATTTGACAAGCTGTTTCTGTTGTTTTTATCATTTTATTCATTTATATGTTTTATATTGCTCTCAATCATTTGTTTTTCTATATGTTACTCTCATCATTTGGAAATAGTGTATGAAGGTCATAAGACGGTCAAATGTTTTGCAATGATTTCCTGTTTTTCATTTGAGAAGCAGAGAAGTGAAAAGTCCTAACCCGGACACTTTTTGTAAAGCGTATGCTGAAACCAGACAAGTTCCCCATCTTAAAAGTTCATGCTATGTCTAAGAGACTGAAGTAATTGAAACTAATGCCTGCTGTTGTAATGTGTTGACTGCTCAATAAAAAGCCTGGCAAGTGTTGAGCCAAGCGGAGATGCGGAGATTGACTGTTCAACTCTGGATGGGAATGGGACCAGCCATTCCCATCCAGAAAAGTGGGGAAATTCTGAATGGCTACTAATGTATACTGTATATATCCTTTTTTCTTCCTTCAGCACATTGTTCTTCTCGTTTGACTATTTGAGCTGATGTAATGAGTAAATTTCTCACCGTATAAAGTCAATCAATCAAGCCCAAGCAAAAACCCAGCCAAAATACTGGGGATTCAGCATTAAGCGTTTCACTGAAACATGGCTCCAAGATCATATCCCAGCATCTCTGTTTATAGGAGCATACAGTGATTTTAAGAAGGCGGAGGTGGGTTGGTGGTGCCTGTGAACAGCAGATGGTGTCATCCTGGACGTGTAACTGCTAAGCCTGCAGCCCAGATAATAAACGATGGCGGAAAGTTTTGTCCATATTTCCCGTGTAAATTCTCAGTCATCCAGGCCATGACAGCCACAGAAAAAAGGCTTAAAGGGGAGGCAGGGTTTATACAGGAATGAGCAACCCTAATTTAACAGTATTTTAATGCTTTTAGAAATAATTTTAATGCCATCAAGTACCCATGACTCTAACACACACACACACACACACACACACACACACACACATATATATATATAAATTAAACGGCAAAATCATTTGTCATCTTTGCCGTCGACAGGCTGCAGCAATGTCCCAAATTCCTTGTTTTCCAGCCACTTTAGTTGAAATTTGTATTTTCACATTCTCCAGCTTTTCTCAGCCTCGAGCTTCTTTTCCGCACATATAGCTTTATGATCAAACGGAAGCAGTTCCACGTAAACACGCAGAATCAGTTTTATCTGATATATCTGACAAATTGTTTTTAAACATTTTTTCTTTTAAATAAGCATTTTAAATGCCACGATAATCACATTCAATTAATTTAATACCAATTAAGGCCTTCATTTAAAAAATAATAACTTAATGATTTTTAATTAATGAAACCCTGGGAGGAAAGCAGACTTTGCTGTTTGCCTGTTTTACTAAAGGGGTTTTAAAACACATCCAGGAGTTTTTGTCAACTCTGTCGGCTCGAACTAAAGCTCCCAGTCAATGTTTAAGGTTCTACATATCTTTGTAGAAAAGACAAAAAGCTGCTTATACCATTAGTGTTTCATATTTAAAAGAAACTTGATAATCTTTCCTTCAATAAAATTTCTTTACCAAAAAGTGTTTTCATCAGACCTTTTTTTTGTTTTTTAGGGCTCTAACTAGAAATAGATGGATGTCAAACTTTCTGTTTCGCTGGTTTCTCCTGATAAAACCTCAACAAATATAGAACCATTTTTGCTCCAAACTAGGGAGAATACTTCTGAAATATTCTCTTGTCTTTAAATTTAAATTTAAGTTTTTTTCTCCATCCCAGTGGAGAAATGAAGTATGCGTGTGTGATGTCACACCTCATAGTTGTCCTCGATGAAGGGGAACTGCCTCGGCTGCAGGAACTGGGTCTTAGGGATGTCTAGCCCGTCCTCACCGTACAGGAACTGGATGACAGATCCGTCGCTGTCTCTGACGGTCAGGTCGTACTGCACTACCAAACCCTCCAGATGCTTGATGATGCATCTTTGAAGCAAAAGAAGAAGAAGGAGGATAGGAGGGAGAATGGAGAAGAAGCCAAGAGGAATCAGCACATTTAGGTCCACTTCTCTTTTTCTAGTCCAGCTGCTAAAATTAGCTCACTGTGAACTATACACGTCATTATGTTACTCAACATCTGAAAATCTTTTTTAAGTAAAGATGAATGTAGAACCTCTGCAGGTATCCTGATCTGGATGTTTTCACAGCTGTGTCTACCAATCCTTCTCTGCCGGCCATGCAGTGGAAGAAAAACTCCTGATGAGAAAAGACAGAGACAAAACAAGCTTTAATAAAAGGATCCATTGTTCTGGTTGGATAAAGGGACCCGAGTAGACCTGAATAGACCTGGAGGGACCTGGACGGACCTAAACAGACCTGGCTGGACCTGAATAGGCCTGGATGGACCTGAATAGGCCTGGATGGACCTGACTAAACCATAAAATTGTAAATCTCTCTCCCTGCAGTCCTGTGACCCTTCCTCTCCTTCTCAGACCACCATCAAACACAGACCATCACACTTCATGCACCTGAGGTTTGATGCCCGTGAGGAACCGTCCAGAAACGAAGCCTCCTGCTCCGGGCGAAGGGTCGTACGGCTGGAAACAAGGTAGAAACTTCCCTGAAGGCATCAGCGGAGGCCTGCGGCCCTCCAGCTCGATCTGACCCAGCAGACAGGAGATCTAAAACAAAAAGCCTCACGGTCACACAGGGATGACGGACGGCTGCGGGAGGACTGAGAACAGGTGAAGATTTACCTGCATGGTGTTCACTGTGGATCCCTTTGCTCCTGACTGGACCATGAGCTGCAGGTTGTTGTGTGGGAACGGGGTGTGCAGTCCTACAGGCATACACACCTGTGGGAGAACATGAACCGATTCTTCATCTTAAACCAGAACAACTCTGAGGATTTTAGCTCAGATTATTTTATTTCCAAACAACCTGCTTTTCTTCAGCAGGACAATAAATGGAGCTGAAGAACTTTATCCCTGGAAGAAGGAAACTAATTTGTTTGTTCTAAAGGTTTGAGTCTGTAAACATTACCTTGTTGATGTCATTGTTGACTTGGTTGGCCACTTCTTTGAATTTGTGGTCGGCCAAGCTGAACTCTCTCTGGTCGGGGCTGAGGTGGGCGTCCTGCCATCGGCTCCGAGCTTCAGCTGGATCCACGTTGGCAGGGAGGCTGAAAGCTGCCTGGAGGGCCTGAGGGCCAGGAACAGGGACAGAACATTTACTTCCCTCAAAGGATGGGGCAGATTTCTGGAGCAGACTTTGCTGCCATCTTGTGGCGGTTAATAGAAGAACCAGAAAAATACTCAGATTTAAAGCAGCAGCATAAACCAAGTTAAACAGACAGCTATTATTGTTTAAAGGTTTTAATGCTTTATTTTAACCCCTTACGAGCCGTATCATAAGCTAGTTTATGTGAGACGGACATTACCAAACAGCATTGACTGCAAATTAGGGGTGGGCGATATAGCCAATATACTCGATGTATCTCGAGTTTTCCGATGCACGATAGTTAAAATGACGCCATCAAGAACAAATTCGCATGACGACATACTGGAAAAAATGTGTAAATCCAGATAAGGCAATTTTTCTTAAAATAAGTGCATTTGTTCTTGAATTGAGGAGGTAAAAGGGGCACTTTGCTAACAGAACAAGACAATTTACATTTAAATAAGAAAAAAAACAATTGCATTGCTTTATTTCAAGTGCATTTTATCTAATTATCTTATTTTAAGAGTAAAAATACTCACTCCACCTTAAAGTGAAAGTGTGCCTTGTAAAGTACCTTGAGATGACATGTGTTGTGAATTGGTGCTATATAAATAAACTGAATAAAATAAAATAAAGCAGGATTTTGACTGAAAGGTGGCACATTTATCATCAAATCCGCTGGAACTTTAGTTCAGCTGTTTAAAAAATTACTGCTGTGGTTCTGTATGAAATATAAAATATAAAAAAAAAGTGCAGATATCACCATCCAATAATTATAATAAAAATATTTCTATGGGTGACAGATATTCACCCTGTGGACACCATGATACCCAATCATATCTCTGCTTCAGATCAACTCCCACAATCCTTTGCTGCATCACTAGCTGCGATTCCTTCAACCATCAAATTGCAGTAACAGCAATTATAAAAATAAATCTGCTAAATCAAAACACTGCATATTGAAAAAAATTCAATGTTTTACGGTAAAAAGTTTTTAGCCTTTGATCAGGTGTTTTTTTTTTGGTCGTATTGAAAAGTTTAAATTTCGCAAAATTGCCACGGAAACACTTTTTTTTTTATGTCACGCACTGCCGCAGTGCATGCTGGGACAGCGGTCTATCTCGAGAACAGACAAGTCTGCTCTGATGCATGCTGGGTAAAGATGGAGGGGCGAGAACAACATTTAATGAGTACACGAGAACGCAGAAGTACACATATTAGAAAAAGGCCTCCATGTTTGTAAAGGGATGAAGAAGAACACAGGTAGTGTGGTGTTCTTCTTCATGATGGTGGCGCCCCCTAGAGCTTTGGCTGAAATATGGATGTATCTCGTGTTTAATTCCACTGCTGCCAAGTAGTTTTCAAAGTTACCGTATCAGTGAACAAATGTTTTCTATTTGTTTAATAAAATGTTGTTTTATTAGATTTTTTTACACACTTATATAGGACACTATTTTTTTTAGGAATTAGTCAATGTAGCATGCCACCATGAGTGTAGTATAAAGCGCTTTGGTCAAGTCTGAGCTGAAAAAGGCGTTTTATACATACAGATCATTTACCATTTAAAATCCCGTTTCATAAAAATGAAACCCCTGCACCTCTGGATGGTCTGTCTGTGGACCCATAGAAATGCTGTTGCTAACCTCAAAGTAGAGCAGACTGATTTCTACTGGGTCAAAGAGCAGGTACAGAGGGAGAGGTCAGTAAAATGGAATTACAAAACAATGGTATTTCTAAAACTTTACCGCCCTAATAAATAAACTGAAAACATAAAATTTGAAATAAAAAAAGAAGAAAATTTTAGGACTAGAATCTGAAAAATAGCTAAATGTAAAAATACTTTGCATACTAATTATATATTACTCGCAAAAATGTTTCTGAAACAAATGTTCTTTAAACCTTTTTTTTCTGAATCGTGTTTCATGTTTTCAGTGATACTGGAACTAATTTATCAGGGGCAGCAGTAGATGTTTGTGTGCAGCACACATTTATCCCCAGTGGCCATATTGGAGCGCCGTGGGGCCCATGAGCTGCACCCTTACTGTGGCAGCCATTTTGGCCAGTGGCATCCAGGAAGGAGGAAGCACTGAATTTGACAAGGCTGCAGGATTTTACTAGACCACTTTTCTCTCACCTTGGTGCCAATTTTCAGAGATTCTTCGATGATTCTTTTCCTCTCTCTGTTGGCTCCAGGTTTCACCAGAATGTCTTCCACTCCTGGACGTACAGATGGAGAAATCCAAATGAACGTGTGTCTCTCAGCGTAGTGAGAGGGAAAGAGAACGGTTCCTACCCAGAGTGAAGCCTCTGTAGAGCTGGAGGTAAGCGGTAAAGAGGCGAGCCAGACAGCTGAGCAGTTTCCCACTGGTCTCTCCTCCGTAGAGCTCGTAGCAGCAGTGGACCAAACCGTAAGCAGAGGAGCCGTAGTGAGCCTTGTCCAGAACGCCGACTAACAGCTCGCCCTGACGGATCACCACCTAGGAGACCGCATAGTTAAGCAATTCTTGCTCCTGCAGCTGGACTTGAGTGTCTGCGTCCTCCTACCTGTGACTCACACATGCTCTCTGGTTTGTAGCCAGGAGCAGCTCGAGGTGGGAGCTGGATCCAAGCCTTGCCTGGGATTTTTGCTTTGCCCACGAGGTTTAGAGGGACGGCTTTCTCTGGGATGATGTTCAGCAGCAAGGTGGAGACCACCTGCAGAAACAACAACAACACATAGAGCCTGCAACTAGGGTTGTCAAAAGTATCGATACTCAAAAAAGTATCGATACTGAAACGTTGTATCTGGATACAATACTCATTTACAAAAGTATCGATACAGTGCTACCACCAGTGGCACCTAAACAGTCATTCATCTAAAGTGCAGAATAGAGGAAAATGCACTTTCTGAACACTGTGTGATTGAATAATTCTGTGCACTTTTCAGTTTCACTTTTTTTGTAACTATTTTTGTTTCTTAACCAGTTTGGCTAGTGTCATTGCTATGTGTGCATAGCAAAGGAAGGAAAACTTAATTTTAATTTTGTAAGTTTTTTATCAAGCTTGCTTAATACTGTGCACAGCATACAACCTCAAAATATTGTTCTTATTGTTTATTTTATTTATTTATTGTATTTTAATTATTAATCAATATATTTCTGTTGAAATTTGGAGTTTTTATTCTTGTGGTATCGAAAATGGTATCGAGTATCGAATATTTTCCTTAGTATCGGTATTGAGTTGAAAAGTTTAGCATCGTGACAACCCTGCCTGCAACTGTAGGACTTAATGAAGTTATAAACCGAACCCCTTCACAGTGAAGGGGCTGAACTAAGGTTGAACATTATCAGTTAAAAAAATGATAATAACAGACTGTAAACATGATGCATCTGCTAAAAAAAATCTAATCTTTTGAGGTTTATCATTAAAATTATCAAGAATTTTGGAGCAGCCTAAAAGGAATAGGAACGTTTCAGCCGCTGCATTTTCATTTTCTCTTTGTGTCAGCCTTTCCTTTCAGTTACCACTTAATTTATCTGGATTAAAGTCAATTTCAAATACTTTATTTATTTACTTTATTTACTGTTTTTACTGTACTTAGTGTTTTAAAACTATGACTTAAAATCCTAGTCAACAAGAATGCTCATTCACATTTTCCCTACCGTAATTGTAATATATATATATATATATATATATACGTGAGACATATTTAATATATGTTTATATTATTTATTATATTATTATTTATATGCTGCATCTAAAAGTATCAAAGATATTTTCAATTTAAACATACAGGTGCTGGTCATAAAATTAGAATATCATGAAAAAGTAGATTGATTTCAGTAATTCCATTTAAAAAGTGAAACTTGTATATTATATTCATACATTACATACAAACTCATATATTTCAGATGTTTATTTTGTTTAATTTTGATGATTACAAATGACAACAAATGAAAATCTCAAATTCATCATATCAGAAAATTAGAATATTGTGAAAAGGTTCAAAATTGATGGCCCCTGGTGCCACACTCTAATCAGCTAATTAACTCAAACCACCTGCAAAAGCCTTTAAATGGTCTTTCAGTCTAGTTCTATAGGCTACACAATCACGGGGAAGACTGCTGACTTGACAGTTGTCCAAAAGACGACCATCGACACCTTGCACAAGGAGGGCAAGACACAAAAGGTCATCGCTAAAGAGGCTGGCTGTTCACAGAGCTCAGTGTCCAAGCACATTAATAGAGAGGCGAAGGGAAGGAAAAGATGTGGTCGAAAAAAGTGTACAAGCAAGAGAGATAACCGCACCCTGGAGAGGATTGTGAAACAAAACCCCTTCAAAAATGTGGGGGAGATTCACAAAGAGTGGACTGCAGCTGGAGTGAGTGCTTCAAGAACCACCACACACAGACGTATGAAAGACATGGGTTTCTGCTGTCGCATTCCTTGTGTCAAGCCACTCTTGAACCACAGACAGCGTCAGAAGCGTCTAAAGAGAAACAGGACTGGACTGCTGGTGAGTGGTCCAAAGTCATGTTCTCTGATGAAAGTAAATTTTGCATTTCCTTTGGAAATCAAGGTCCCAGAGTCTGGAGGAAAAGAAGAGAGGCACTTCATCCACGTTGCTTGAAGTCCAGTGTAAAGTTTCCACAGTCAGTGATGGTTTGGGGTGCCATGTCATCTGCTGGTGTTGGTCCATTGTGTTTTCTGAGGTCCAGGGTCAACGCAGCCACATACCAGGAAGTTTTAGAGCACTTCATGCTTCCTGCAGCTGACCAACTTTTTGGAGATGCAGATTTCATTTTCCAACAGGACTTGGCACCTGCACACAGTGCCAAAGCTACCAGTACCTGGTTGAAGGACCATGGTATCCCTGTTCTTAATTGGCCAGCAAACTCTCCTGACCTTAACCCCATAGAAAATCTATGGGGTATTGTGAAGAAGAAGATGCAATACACCAGACCCAACAATTCAGAAGAGCTAAAAGCCACTATTAGAGCAACCTGGGCTATCATAACACCTGAGCAGTGCCACAGACTGATCGACTCCATGCCACGCCGCATTGCTGCAGTAATACAGGCCAAAGGAGGCCCAACTAAATACTGAGTGCTGTACATGCTCATACTTTTCATGTTCATACTTTTCAGTTGGCCAACATTTCTATAAATCCTTTGTTTTTATTGGTCTTCAGTAATATTCTAATTTTCTGATATGATGAATTTGAGATTTTCATTTGTTGTCATTTGTAATCATCAAAATTAAACAAAATAAACATCTGAAATATATGAGTTTGTATGTAATGTATGAATATAATATACAAGTTTCACTTTTTAAATGGAATTACTGAAATCAATCTACTTTTTCATGATATTCTAATTTTATGACCAGCACCTGTAGATATGAAATAATACAATATAACCTGAAATAACTTCAATTCTATCATTGTAATAGCTCATCAAATCAATTCAGTTTAGTCTGCAAAATAAACTGCCTGTAGTGTCGTTAAATGTTCAGCAGGTGTCAGTATTCTGTGATACAGTATTAATGCAGCATCAATAGAGTTTGGCTTCAAGATGCCTTATTAACCATCACTACAAACCCTGCATGTTATGCTATAAAATAGTGCAGATCAACAGAAATAACAAATGCTAACCAATTTTTACAGCTGAACAGAAATATTCTTTAATTCTAACAATCTCTTTAATAGTAAAAGCTAAGAGGTTCATAACATGGAGTTTTATTCATCTCTTAAAACCTGCCGTGATCCAATGTCTGGAAAGTCGCTCCATGGATTGAGTTCTGCTCTTTGGCAGTAGGGGAAACTTTAAGCCTGTTTTTCTTTGGTCAAAATGCCACAGCTCTATCTTAACTAGCTTCCTTTCTTTAGGCAGAGCCATCTTGCAGCTGGTGTCACTTGAGCTGCAGGAGTTGATGCAGTGATGTCAGCAGGATGCTAGTTCCATGGGGCTGGATGTGCATGGATCATACATACCCTCCAAACTTACCAGATTAATATTAGAAAATAACCAAAAACGTAAAACCTTTATCCACCTTATGATGTCCTATCAGCTAAAATCCAAATAAACTAGAAAGGAATCTGTGACTAACAGAAAAATGATCAAACAGAGCGACTCTTTATAGGAAGCGTTTTCATTTTCTAATCAGTGCCCAGCGGTTACCTGCTTCCCTGTCCACAGCTGCTGTGGTTTGACGATGCTCGGAGGTAGTAGCTTTACTCGCCCTACTTTGTCTGTCAGTCCTCTGTACACCAGCTCTGTATACTGGTCTTTGGTGAAGAAGCAGCCTCTTATGGTCATCTTGGTCCCCGAAACCATGTGGTCCTGGATAAGACCTGCTAAAGGTTTACCGTCCTAAACAGAAACAGAACAGAGAAGGAGAACATCAGCCTCCATGATCCCTACCAGCTGCTTTAAGGCCTTCTGCCTCTACATGGAGGGTGGGGCTTATAGAAACATGGATGCCCACCTTGGGGACCAGGTACTGATGGTTGGTGCTAACTAGAGTGTAGGCCTCTGCTCTGCCAAGCTCGCTCTGAGGGAAGTGAGCGTTCATCTCGTCTCCATCAAAGTCAGCGTTGTAGGCTTTGCAGTTGGCGTAGTGGAGCCTCAGAACCTGAGACATTAAACACAAGAAAAAAAAAAAGAAATCAATCAATTAATGCTGGTTGGTCTCTCGTTAAAGTCTGACAGACTTCCTGCAACATCATTAATATCTGACCTCAGATAAAACCGCACTGGATAGAATGGGGAGGGGACTAAGGAAGTAAGGTAGGATGTTGGAATAAAGATTCTAAATACTAATCTTTTTCTCCACACTGATCTGAACCTGAAATAAAGCTGAATGAGAGAACCCTGATGGAAGCCAGCATTGCATTAGGGAGCAGAAGAGGAATACCAGGGCCCCGTTACCTTCTCTCCTGGTAAGATGCGAGCGCAGTGAGCTTGAATCGAAGGTCTATGCAGAGTCGGTTGTCTGTTGAGTAACAGTACGTCTCCGTTCTTGATGTGGCGATTCACCTGAAGCAACACAAACAAAGCATCAGGGCCGACAGCCATTCATACAGCCCACCCAGGGACGCCACAGTGACGCTCAGGACTCACGATCTTCATGGGCATCTTGTGTGGACCTGTAGAGGGTGTCAGCAGTTGCTTGGCAACCGCCTCCCTCTGTGAGGGGTCGGTGGCTGACAGGATGGTCTTCCTGCCGTCTTCGTTGATCACCATGGAGGCGCCGGGGTGGACGTTGGGCCCGTTAAGGACGGCCTGCCGGAGCTCTTTCACGTTCCATGGAGTGACGGGCTGTGGGTACGTCAGCTTGGTGGCAAACACCTGAACACAACAGGAGCCGTCAACAATCAGCATCAATGGATTCCCCTATTTGTCTGCTGCCATTTGGTTCACTTATTAACCTCTGAATATACTCCCATGATGCCGAGGACCTTTCCTTCACACAGATGACTTCCTACTCTTTATATCAAACTTTTATCTTCGTTCTCATTACGTACCTAGTTTAGTTTCCCTTCAGCTCTGAATCAGTTTAATAAAAAAGGAACTTATTAGGCAACAACATGGCATATAGCCAGATCAAAGGCTGATCAAATAATGCTAAAGACTTAAAGAACAAATTTACCATTCAAAAGGTATCCTCTCCTATGAAATGATACATCACCCGTACGACGAGTCCAGCCATGAAATGTCCTCACTAACATGAGGTGTCAGAGGTGTTTGTGAACAGCAGAGACGCAGCTATGAAGAGGTAGCTCCCCTATGATGGAATCAGCTCTCTTCCTTAACCAGTAGGTGGCGCACTTCTCTGAACCATTGGCCTGTCAGCAAATGTTTAACTTGGTAGGAAAGCAGCAGCCTCCGCATTGCTACTGAGAAGAAGCCATGTTTCAGCTCCATTATGGAGCTCCAGCTCATCTTCAGTTTACTATTTCTAATGCTGCAGAATCATATTTTCTCAATGTTCTGAGCCAGAAATAAATATTTATACATTATGGGCCTTTCAAAATTGACAAAATTGTTATTTATAAAGTGGATATTAAGTATAAGGAACAGTTTATTCTGCTCTGCTGGTGTATTATTTTTCAAAGGTTAATCTTTTTAATGAACAGGTTGTAGCTATGACCTTCTGACTGGTCTTCAGATAAGTTCAATCTTCAGAGATCTTTGTGGATCTTAAAAGGCTCCTATCACATAAACAGCTCATCAGAATCTAAACCATTTGTTGGAAGTTAAAGAATTCAAACGGGGAAGAACAGAAGATGTCTCTGGTTTTCTTAAACCAGTTTTTAGTTTTTAGCATTAGCGATGTGCTAGTCTTTAACTGAGCTCACTATGGTGCGTCAGGATAAAGTCATCTAGAGCAGCATGAAATCAGAAAACCCCTGCAATAGTGACAGCAATGGTTGGGATCTGCCTTTTCTTTCCTCATCAGTTTTTATTTCTAACATATGTTGTCCATGTCTGATGTTAGCATCCACTGTCTGAGACTGGATGCTAATAGTCAGATGGACTGACTGCCCAACTGACTATTAGCCTTTAAAACCGCAATACATCATCTAAAGTCTAAGCCACACTCTAGAGTCTGCAGATGCACAGCCAGCTAACAGACAGCGACTGTTGAAGTCACTCCAGCTTAATAGATAACCTTCGCTTGAAAGAATAATGTTTAACAAAAAAAAAAAAAAAAAAGCGGGAGGTATGACACGGGTTAGATTAAGAGTTAGTTACCATGGGGATCCCGATCTCGTTTGTTCCAATATACATGTCAGGACAGATGACGGACCGTGCAGCGTAATCCACTCGTTTGCCCATCATGTGTTTCCGGAACAATCCATCCTTCTTCTCCAGGATCTGCAAGACACAACAGAGGCGTATAAACGGGAAACGTTCATAGCTAGAAATGTTCAGAGCTCCCAACGGGAAACGTTCAGAGCTGAAAACGGGAAACGTTCAGAGCTCCCAACGGGAAACGTTCAGACGGGAAACGTTCAGAGCTCACGACGGGAAACGTTCAGACGGGAAACGTTCAGAGCTCCCGACGGGAAACGTTCAGAGCTCCCGACGGGAAACGTTCAGAGCTCCCGACGGGAAACGTTCAGACGGGAAACGTTCAGAGCTCCCGACGGGAAACGTTCAGACGGGAAACGTTCAGAGCTCCCAACGGGAAACGTTCAGACGTTCAGAGCTCCCAACGGGAAACGTTCAGAGCTCCCAACGGGAAACGTTCAGAGCTCCCAACGGGAAACGTTCAGAGCTCCCAACGGGAAACGTTCAGAGCTCCCAACGGGAAACGTTCAGAGCTCCCAACGGGAAACGTTCAGAGCTCCCGACGGGAAACGTTCAGAGCTCCCGACGGGAAACGTTCAGAGCTCCCAACGGGAAACGTTCAGAGCTCCCAACGGGAAACGTTCAGAGCTCACAACGGGAAACGTTCAGAGCTCACAACTGGAAACGTTCAGAGCTCCCAACGGGAAACGTTCAGAGCTCCCAACAGGAAACGTTCAGAGCTCCCAACGGGAAACGTTCAGAGCTCACAACGGGAAACGTTCAGAGCTCACAACGGGAAACGTTCAGAGCTCACAACGGGAAACGTTCAGAGCTCCCAAAGGGAAACAATCAGAGCTCCCAACGGGAAACGTTCAGAGCTCACAACGGGAAACGTTCAGAGCTCACAACGGGAAACGTTCAGAGCTCACAACGGGAAACGTTCAGAGCTCACAACTGGAAACGTTCAGAGCTCACAACGGGAAACGTTCAGAGCTCACAACGGGAAACGTTCAGAGCTCCCAAAGGGAAACGTTCAGAGCTCACAACGGGAAACGATCAGAGCTCACAACGGGAAACGTTCAGAGCTCCCAAAGGGAAACGTTCAGAGCTCACAACGGGAAACGATCAGAGCTCCCAACGGGAAACGTTCAGAGCTCACAACGGGAAACGTTCAGAGCTCACAACGGGAAACGTTCAGAGCTCCCAAAGGGAAACGTTCAGAGCTCACAACGGGAAACGATCAGAGCTCCCAACGGGAAACGTTCAGAGCTCACAACGGGAAACGTTCAGAGCTCCCAACGGGAAACATTTAGACGTTCAGAGCTCCCAACGGGAAACGTTCAGAGCTCCCAACGGGAAACGCTCAGAGCTCCCAACGGGAAACGTTCAGAGCTCCCAAAGGGAAACGTTCAGAGCTCACAACGGGAAACGATCAGAGCTCCCAACGGGAAACGTTCAGAGCTCACAACGGGAAACGTTCAGAGCTCCCAACGGGAAACATTTAGACGTTCAGAGCTCCCAACGGGAAACGCTCAGAGCTCCCAACGGGAAATGTTCAGAGCTCCCAACGGGAAACGCTCAGAGCTCCCAACGGGAAACGTTCAGAGCTCCCAACGGGAAACGTTCAGAGCTCCCAACGGGAAACGTTCAGAGCTCCCAACGGGAAACGTTCAGAGCTCCCAACGGGAAACGTTCAGAGCTCCCAACGGGAAACGTTCAGAGCTCCCAACGGGAAACGTTCAGAGCTCACAACGGGAAACGTTCAGAGCTCACAACGGGAAACATTTAGAGCTCACAACTGGAAACGTTCAGAGCTCACAACGGGAAACGTTCAGAGCTCACAACGGGAAACGTTCAGAGCTCACAACTGGAAACGTTCAGAGCTCACAACGGGAAACATTTAGACGTTCAGAGCTCCCAACGGGAAACGCTCAGAGCTCCCAACGGGAAATGTTCAGAGCTCCCAACGGGAAACGCTCAGAGCTCCCAACGGGAAAGGTTCAGAGCTCACAACGGGAAACGTTCAGAGCTCACAACGGGAAACGTTCAGAGCTCACAACGGGAAACGTTCAGAGCTCACAACTGGAAACGTTCAGAGCTCACAACGGGAAACGTTCAGAGCTCACAACGGGAAACGTTCAGAGCTCACAAAGGGAAACGTTCAGAGCTCACAACGGGAAACGATCAGAGCTCCCAACGGGAAACGTTCAGAGCTCACAACGGGAAACGTTCAGAGCTCACAACGGGAAACATTTAGACGTTCAGAGCTCCCAACGGGAAACGCTCAGAGCTCCCAACGGGAAATGTTCAGAGCTCCCAACGGGAAACGCTCAGAGCTCCCAACGGGAAACGTTCAGAGCTCACAACGGGAAACGTTCAGAGCTCACAACGGGAAACGTTCAGAGCTCACAACTGGAAACGTTCAGAGCTCACAACGGGAAACGTTCAGAGCTCACAACGGGAAACGTTCAGAGCTCCCAAAGGGAAACGTTCAGAGCTCACAACGGGAAACGATCAGAGCTCCCAACGGGAAACGTTCAGAGCTCACAACGGGAAACGTTCAGAGCTCCCAACGGGAAACATTTAGACGTTCAGAGCTCCCAACGGGAAACGCTCAGAGCTCCCAACGGGAAACGCTCAGAGCTCCCAACGGGAAACGTTCAGAGCTCCCAACGGGAAACGTTCAGAGCTCCCAACGGGAAACGTTCAGAGCTCACAACGGGAAACGTTCAGAGCTCACAACGGGAAACGTTCAGAGCTCCCAACGGGAAACATTTAGACGTTCAGAGCTCCCAACGGGAAACGTTCAGAGCTCCCAACGGGAAACGCTCAGAGCTCCCAACGGGAAACGTTCAGAGCTCCCAAAGGGAAACGTTCAGAGCTCACAACGGGAAACGATCAGAGCTCCCAAAGGGAAACGTTCAGAGCTCACAACGGGAAACGATCAGAGCTCCCAACGGGAAACGTTCAGAGCTCACAACGGGAAACGTTCAGAGCTCCCAACGGGAAACATTTAGACGTTCAGAGCTCCCAACGGGAAACGTTCAGAGCTCCCAAAGGGAAACGTTCAGAGCTCACAACGGGAAACGATCAGAGCTCCCAAAGGGAAACGTTCAGAGCTCACAACGGGAAACGATCAGAGCTCCCAACGGGAAACGTTCAGAGCTCACAACGGGAAACGTTCAGAGCTCCCAACGGGAAACATTTAGACGTTCAGAGCTCCCAACGGGAAACGTTCAGAGCTCCCAACGGGAAACGCTCAGAGCTCCCAACGGGAAACGTTCAGAGCTCCCAAAGGGAAACGTTCAGAGCTCACAACGGGAAACGATCAGAGCTCCCAACGGGAAACGTTCAGAGCTCACAACGGGAAACGTTCAGAGCTCCCAACGGGAAACGTTCAGAGCTCCCAACGGGAAACGTTCAGAGCTCCCAACGGGAAACGTTCAGAGCTCCCAACGGGAAACGTTCAGAGCTCCCAACGGGAAACGTTCAGAGCTCACAACGGGAAACGTTCAGAGCTCACAACGGGAAACATTTAGAGCTCACAACTGGAAACGTTCAGAGCTCACAACGGGAAACGTTCAGAGCTCACAACGGGAAACGTTCAGAGCTCACAACGGGAAACGTTCAGAGCTCACAACTGGAAACGTTCAGAGCTCACAACGGGAAACGTTCAGAGCTCACAACGGGAAACGTTCAGAGCTCCCAAAGGGAAACGTTCAGAGCTCACAACGGGAAACGATCAGAGCTCCCAACGGGAAACGTTCAGAGCTCACAACGGGAAACGTTCAGAGCTCACAACGGGAAACATTTAGACGTTCAGAGCTCCCAACGGGAAACGCTCAGAGCTCCCAACGGGAAATGTTCAGAGCTCCCAACGGGAAACGCTCAGAGCTCCCAACGGGAAACGTTCAGAGCTCACAACGGGAAACGTTCAGAGCTCACAACGGGAAACGTTCAGAGCTCACAACGGGAAACGTTCAGAGCTCACAACTGGAAACGTTCAGAGCTCACAACGGGAAACGTTCAGAGCTCACAACGGGAAACGTTCAGAGCTCACAAAGGGAAACGTTCAGAGCTCACAACGGGAAACGATCAGAGCTCCCAACGGGAAACGTTCAGAGCTCACAACGGGAAACGTTCAGAGCTCACAACGGGAAACATTTAGACGTTCAGAGCTCCCAACGGGAAACGCTCAGAGCTCCCAACGGGAAATGTTCAGAGCTCCCAACGGGAAACGCTCAGAGCTCCCAACGGGAAACGTTCAGAGCTCACAACGGGAAACGTTCAGAGCTCACAACGGGAAACGTTCAGAGCTCACAACTGGAAACGTTCAGAGCTCACAACGGGAAACGTTCAGAGCTCACAACGGGAAACGTTCAGAGCTCCCAAAGGGAAACGTTCAGAGCTCACAACGGGAAACGATCAGAGCTCCCAACGGGAAACGTTCAGAGCTCACAACGGGAAACGTTCAGAGCTCCCAACGGGAAACATTTAGACGTTCAGAGCTCCCAACGGGAAACGCTCAGAGCTCCCAACGGGAAACGCTCAGAGCTCCCAACGGGAAACGCTCAGAGCTCCCAACGGGAAACGTTCAGAGCTCCCAACGGGAAACGTTCAGAGCTCACAACGGGAAACGTTCAGAGCTCACAACGGGAAACGTTCAGAGCTCACAACTGGAAACGTTCAGAGCTCACAACTGGAAACGTTCAGAGCTCACAACGGGAAACGTTCAGAGCTCACAACGGGAAACGTTCAGAGCTCCCAAAGGGAAACGTTCAGAGCTCACAACGGGAAACGATCAGAGCTCCCAACGGGAAACGTTCAGAGCTCACAACGGGAAACGTTCAGAGCTCACAACGGGAAACATTTAGACGTTCAGAGCTCCCAACGGGAAACGCTCAGAGCTCCCAACGGGAAATGTTCAGAGCTCCCAACGGGAAACGCTCAGAGCTCCCAACGGGAAACGTTCAGAGCTCACAACGGGAAACGTTCAGAGCTCACAACGGGAAACGTTCAGAGCTCACAACGGGAAACGTTCAGAGCTCACAACTGGAAACGTTCAGAGCTCACAACGGGAAACGTTCAGAGCTCCCAAAGGGAAACGTTCAGAGCTCACAACGGGAAACGTTCAGAGCTCACAACGGGAAACGTTCAGAGCTCCCAACGGGAAACGTTCAGAGCTCACAACGGGAAACGTTCAGAGCTCACAACGGGAAACATTTAGACGTTCAGAGCTCCCAACGGGAAACGCTCAGAGCTCCCAACGGGAAATGTTCAGAGCTCCCAACGGGAAACGCTCAGAGCTCCCAACGGGAAACGTTCAGAGCTCACAACGGGAAACGTTCAGACCTCACAACGGGAAACGTTCAGAGCTCACAACGGGAAACGTTCAGAGCTCACAACTGGAAACGTTCAGAGCCCACAACGGGAAACGTTCAGAGCTCACAACGGGAAACGTTCAGAGCTCCCAAAGGGAAACGTTCAGAGCTCACAACGGGAAACGATCAGAGCTCCCAACGGGAAACGTTCAGAGCTCACGACGGGAAACGTTCAGAGCTCCCAACGGGAAACATTTAGACGTTCAGAGCTCCCAACGGGAAACGCTCAGAGCTCCCAACGGGAAATGTTCAGAGCTCCCAACGGGAAACGCTCAGAGCTCCCAACGGGAAACGTTCAGAGCTCCCAACGGGAAACGTTCAGAGCTCCCAACGGGAAACGTTCAGAGCTCCCAACGGGAAACGTTCAGAGCTCCCAACGGGAAACGTTCAGAGCTCCCAACGGGAAACGTTCAGAGCTCACAACGGGAAACGTTCAGAGCTCACAACGGGAAACGTTCAGAGCTCACAACGGGAAACATTTAGAGCTCACAACGGGAAACGTTCAGAGCTCCCAAAGGGAAACGTTCAGAGCTCACAACGGGAAACGTTCAGAGCTCCCAAAGGGAAACAATCAGAGCTCCCAACGGGAAACGTTCAGAGCTCACAACGGGAAACGTTCAGAGCTCACAACGGGAAACGTTCAGAGCTCACAACTGGAAATGTTCAGAGCTCACAACGGGAAACGTTCAGAGCTCACAACTGGAAATGTTCAGAGCTCACAACGGGAAACGTTCAGAGCCAAAAAATAGAAACATTTAGAGCCAAAAAACAGCCTTTAAAACGTATATATTAGACCTGGTTTAAGGTCTACATATCCACAGTGAGTTTATATCTCACCCTAGAATCATTTCAGTGATGACATCATCACTACTCATTCGGTCCATTGGGAAAAATGTCATCCGTCAAATTGACAGCCAGTGGCAGTGCTAGTAGGATCAGAATACTGGGGGTCCTATTGTTAAAGCACTGACCTTCAAACTGATCTATTCTCCACCCAACTTTCATTCCCGATCCTCGGCAGACCTACCTGTCTGATCCCGGGGTATTTGTCGGCCATCAGCTTGTCCATGTCGCTGTCAAAGACAATGTTAACATGGCTCTGCAGGCGGATCCACGTGTTATACAGTTTATCTGCCAACGTCGCTCCGCTTATTCCTGACAGAAACGTCTGATCTTCTGCCTCCAAAGGCTGTAGGAGAAAAAACAAGTTAAACGAGGATCCCAGGGAATGAATGTTCCACAGAGAACGAAGAACCGCCTCACCTCTTCCTCCGCCTCTGCGTGTTTCTCTCCTGCTAGTAGAGCCAGAAGTTTTCTGATGACCCCACAGTCCTTCATCACAGCCTGCATGTTGACGGTCTGACCGTTGGTAAACATCTGGTCGCCCAGCCGGTTGATGGGACGGTACCTGCCAAAGAGGACGGGGTGTGACTACCAGCTTCTACTGCTGCGCTCCGCCTCACGTACCGACAGCGTACCTGCAGGGTGGGACCACCAGCAGCTCCAGGAAGAACAGGTCTGGATAGAAACCCTTCTGCCCCTCTGAGCCTGTGCTCTCCTCCAGCCCGGGAAACAGAAACTTCAGGAAGAAACCTGGAGAAGAAACGGGAGTCAGCCCCTGTGTTCTGAATGCGTTTTTATGCTGAGTGCTCAGAGCAGGAAACTTTCTACTTTACCTTCTTTCTCCCAGACTTTACTGATGTGCTCTCTGGCCGTACTGGCAGTGAGGAAGACTCTGGTTCCAGCCAGCAGACCTGAAATGATACCCAGGTTTAAACTAATGGACTGATTGAAGCATTTAATAACCGGATATGTACCTTCAGTAGCTCTAAAACCTGACATAAGCTCACTCTTCACATTTAGAGGCACAGAAATCCATCCTGTTTAGCTTCTGGTTGCTCTTTAAAGGACATAGTTCCTGCTGCACATTCAGATTTACTGAAAGTGGAGCTGCTAAAAAGATGTTTGATATTCACAAAAAGAAACTGGCAGGAATGGGCAGAATAACAAAACACAAATGTCTGTTTACTAAAAGCATTTCTTTCAATTTTAATATTTAAAATTAAATAATATTTTAAAATTCAAATAATGTTTAAAATTCAAAAAAATCAATAGATTGATGTATATGAAGGAGGAAGGCGGGGACGAAGATGTTGTGGAAGAGGACGCCAGGGCGGCAGAAGCTTGGTTTGGTGTAGAAGGCTTCCAGCCGTACATGTTTGAGCCCTTGCCTCGCAACGCTGCCAGTTCTGTTAGCTCTACGCCTGCTGAAGACACAGACGTCCATCCCCGTGAACACTGGGACGCAACTCAATGGGAAAGGAAATTATTATTATTTCTTATATTTGTATATTAGCTGCAACATTATGAATCAAGATGCAGCTCAAAAAATTTGATTGACACATGAACGTTGATATAGGATTGACCGAATTTAGATGTTCAGGCTGACGTATAACTACCTGGCCTGCATAAGATAATGGGGAAAAAAATACTGATTTTAAGACAGGATTTTTTTTAAAACAATATAGGGACAAAATAGTCTGATAAAGAGTACATTTATATACATGTTTAGGCCAGAATGATTTGAAATTTAAATATCATTTCCCTACGACTTTATCAACAAATGAATGGAATTCACAAACTTTGTTTTGATTCCTACTCAAAGTCCATAATAGTTCTGCTTTCCACCAAACATTATCTGGAGATTTGGTGCTACTGGTGCCTTTTTCTGACGTCCATTTCCAGCTTTCCCCCCCCAACATAGGATGTTTTTTGTTTTTTTACCTCACTAACTCCTCTAACTCCTCACGGGGCTCTAAAGCTGCAGAACTACAAAATGATGCGCGCTGACTACCTGATGCGATAGCCCCCTCCTCCTTCCTCCTAAAAAATGAGGAAGGGGAGGGGGTCAGTGGATAGCACCGGAGTTAAGCCTTTTCATCCAGCATCATCAATAGAAGGAGAAAAACACAGGCAGAGACGATATAGCCGATAAATTAAATGACGTGGATAATTTTTATTTATCGTGCGATTAATTGATTTATTGATTATCGCGACAGGCCTACCTAGTAAAGACTGATTTATACCAATCAAGGCCTTATTTTTATATTGAAGAATTCAATGCCTTTTAAGTCTTTTTAAGGATCTGCAGGAATCCTGCTGTTATCTAAACTGCTGAGTGAAACCAAACCTTTCAACATTACAGAGGTTTAAAACGTAAACACGCCCACCTGCAGCCTGTTCATGTGGTCCAGTCCAGCCTAACGGCACTAAATGTGAACATTTGTGTGCAGCACATACTTATCCCCAGTGGCCATGCAGAAATGCCATGGGGCCCATGAGCTACACTGTTACTGTTGCAACCACTTTGGCCAGTGACATCCAGGGGGAGGGAAGCACTGAATTTGACAGGGTTGCTTCATTCGGCTTTACTGCACAGACAGAAATAGCGATTTGCCTTCCTGTTGTATAAGAAGAAGACTGATGTTGTGCTACTTCCTGATCTGAAGGATACATAAAATTCAATCAAAGCTGAGAGATGCATTAATCAGTGATTATAGCCCCATTTACATTACCTTTTTGAAACCGTGTCGAGAACGGTCCAATTATGGTAACCTAAATAACTGCTGAGTGTAAATGGGACTAAAGAGCACATGAGCAGACCGCGTAATCTCCTTACTGTTAGGCTCCGTAATCATGAAACTTCAGACATTCATAAAAATACTAGCTTCCCTACCGTGGTTCTACTTAGCAGTGAGATTAACCTAAACCACTGTCGTTGTCTTCTGCATCTGTGAGCCCTGATTAGACTATCGTTTGTCGTATCCACTTCCCAAAAGCCGATTCTGTCAAGTAAATTCAGCAAAGGCTGCCTTCTTCCCCTGCCTCTGCACAAACAATCCGCCACAACAATTCCGCCCCTTTGATAATCGACCAATCACATTCACTTTATTCAGTCGTGTAAAGTCGTGCACCACTCGGGAGAATTCAGAAATGCAACGGTTGGAACAGCCGTTTCCCTACGACTTTAAAATGCAACAACTTGCACATAAAGTCTGTTTGCCAGCCTCATTTATAAACATTAAATCTGATGTTATTATCCAAGAGTTACTTAGTACTTAAGTAGCCTTTTTAACAAATACTTTTTTTTACTTTTACTGAGTAAAAAAATGTTAAAGTAGTGCTACTTTTACTTGAATAAAATCTTTGGGCACTTTTTAGACGTCTGATCCAGAACCTCGTTGAAAAGAGCGGAAAATAATTTGTAACAATTTTCTCAAGGACACTTAAAAAAAATAATAATAATATAACAATCAGCATTCAAACTACAGATGAGGAGCTGCTGTGTCTCCATCTCCAACATCCACTGCAGCTTTTTACTGTCCAACCTGGTGAACGTTCTTCCATCCACAGCTGCAGACCAATCCTTTATAACCCAACCAGCATCTAAGGTAAAGTCCCCACCTGTGTTTTCTCCAGTTTGCATTCCCGTTGGCATGGTGACGATCAGCTTGCTGTTGTGTTCCCGTCGCACCGTTGACCTGCCGCCACTTCACACAGATAGAACAGTCACATGGCGTTGCAGTATAGATCCTGGCTCTCTGAGACGTTTCAGCACTCAGACGACGTCAGAACTTACCCGCAGTAAGGACACTTCCTGGTTTTCATCTGGACCTTCCAGAAGTCGTTTATCAGACTGCTCCTCTTCTCAACCAGGTGTTTAATCTACCAAACGGCACAAACACAAAGTCAGCGCACGCTAGCGCCGGCCTGCTGGGTTTCTGTCAGCGAGAGGAGGTGCAGACTCACAGGTTTGGATCCCTGCGAAGCTTTGGAGTTCGCTCCAACTACGCTGCTGGTAAACTCACTCAGCAGCCGCTTGATCTCATCTCCTGTAGCTTTGGGGTTTTCCTCCAGGTGCTAGCAGACAGACACGACCAGCTCAGAAGATGCGATGCAGAATAAACGACAACAGATACAATCTTATACTCATCTCCTCCTCTGAGGCTCTTAAACAAAGTAGAAGTTAGTTGTTAGAAGCAGAGATGATGGATTCAGTATTTTCCCAACAGAGATCACCTGATGCAGGTTTGTTTACATTGACGCTGATTACTCTGACATCACTCTGACCTCCCTGATATGAGCTGCTGATATTTTGGGGGTGATTCTCCAAGCCAATACTTCTTTCTTCCTTTGCATAATAAAAATGACAGAATGAATCGCAACTTAAAGAGAACAGATCAATTAAAGCATTAGCAGCTGATTGCAGATGGGAGGAGCAAAGATGAGCTCCTCCTGATCTTAGAGACCAGGGGACATTTCTCTAGCTCTACGCCTGCTGAAGACACAGACGTCCATCCCCGTGAACACTGGGACGGAACTCAATGGGAAAGGAAATTGCTCTGATTTCAACCGTTGCGTATATTAGCTGCAACATATGAATCAAGATGCTATGACCGAAAAAATTTAATTGACAGATGACCGTTGATATATGATTGGCCGAATCTAGGTGTTCAGGCTGACGTATAACTAACTGGCCTGCAGAAGATAACTAGAAAACAAACACAGATTTTAAGACACGACTTTTTTAAATAGAAATTTATAAATTTTGAGAAAATATAGTCTGATAAAGAGTACATTTAGATACATGTTTAAGCCAGAATGATTTGACATTTAAATATAATTTCCCTAAGACTTTAACCTTCAGCCCGATGACCTACACACAGCTGCAGTAAAAGCCCGTCTCCAGCCGAAAACCAAACACAAAAGATCTAGATTAAAAACCAGGAATGAAGGTTTCAGACGTGCAGCTCCTTCCTCCTCTCACCTGATTGAGAACGCTCTCGATGACGTAGACCTCCTGCATGGCGCCGTGCTCCACTAACCGCAGCTGGTTCACCAGCAGGTGGATGGCGGCCCGGGGACACGTCAGCATGTGGCACGCCAGACATGAACCGCGAATCAACAGGTAGAGTTTCTGAAGAAGAACAAGATGGAGAGAAACAAAGGGAAAGAGCAAAGAATGAAACTACAGACTAAAGCGTTGAAGAGATAAAGTCCATTTACACCAAATCCACATCGACAGAAAGGTTATTCAAATATTAAATATATCAGAGTTTCATCTATACGTCATTGACACAGCAGCAAAATAACAGCCTCCACACATTCAGAGTTTATTTAAAAGATATTCTAAGCAATGTGAAGCATATAAAAGAGCGCACCATGTATTTTTGCACTTATTCTAATTATAATCAGTTTAAAATGAATTTAAATATCTAATATATAAAAAAAGTACTTTATTATGAAAAGCACTGCTGTTAGCGACAACGTGCTGCTCTGCTCTGTGTAGATTAGATCAGGGGTAACCAATTAAAAATCAGGACAGTCCGAATAAACAAAATCATCAACCAGTAATATATATAATTAATAATAATCTGTTATTTTAAAAAGAATTTAACACTAAAATAAAATTAGGTTTTTATGCATCCATTTTATACATTTAATTTTTGGTAAATATATAAAAAAAAAAAAAAACAACTAGAATTTTTTTTTATAAAAAAAAAAAAAATCAATTCTGGTATATTTTTTTTAAGAACATCTACTGTAGTTAACTACTGTTCGTTCTAGAGCTAATTCCTTTTTGGATTAATAAACAGATAAACCAAGTGAGGCTAAAATTGGATCTGTAAGGACTTCCAAAATAGTTTTTGTTACGATGTTAGAATAATAGCTGCTTTCAGTGGATTAAATGTTCAGCATGTTTTAAAGTCTCTAAGCTCAAGTTAACGAATAATTATTGACTAAATTAATGGCTGATATATAAATAATCCATTAAATTCAATTAAACTTATTTAATTTATATAATTTAAAAGCGACGAGAGAAAATACCCTCAATTCTTCTCTAAATCAGTACAGTGGCAAAAGAAATTCCCTCAGTAACTTTTGTGTGATTGTTTCTTAGATATTAACCTTCTTTTTCCAACGTTGGCTCTCTCTGTGGTCAGCCTCTTCTCTGTATTATCATAAATGATGATCAATTGCTCGTGTTAAAAATATATATTTATTTCTATTTTCTATTATTAAAACACTATTATGAGAATAAAGTCGTAACATTACGAGAAAAAAAGTCGTAATATTAGGAGAAAAAAGTACTAAAATTATGAGAAACAAGTTCTATTTAACAACAACTCATCCAAGAAGCACTTTCTTCACTAAAATGAGGAATGTGGAGCATCATGTGAAATTATATTTTGGCTCTGGTTTGACAAATAAGGAAATCTTTTAGCACCAGCATTAAATAGGGCAGAATGTCAAAGTGGACTCAGGTTGCTGATTGGCCGTCATCTGCTGGTCAGAGCCGAAGCTTTCTTTATGAAATGGGTTGGGGTATGACGACTTCATATTCGTAATATTACAAATTTATCTCGTAATGTTACGACTTTGTTCTCATAATTTTACGACTCTATTCTCATAATGTAATGACTTCATTCTCCTAATCAAAAAAATCTCTAGCCTGGCCCTAATACTCTGTGTTACATCTGCAAAGTCTGCATTGTTGTGTGAAAACTACAAATAACTAAATATTTAGCATCAGCCAAATAAACTTCCATTTCATCCAGCTGATTTTAAATATATTTGAAAAAAAAAAGGAACTGAGATCTGATGCTTGTTTGTGTTAAACTGAGCTTACATCAAAGAACAGAGGGTTGTATACTGGGAGAGGCAGCTCTACGTGTCCAAAGTGTCCTGGACAGTTGTTGAAATCCTGACAGCAGGTTGAACAGACCTGAAAACAAATGAATCAAGACTGAAATAAGTAGAACATAACACATGGGATCCATCCAGTACATCTAAAGCACTACATGTTTCTGTACCTCTTTGATGTCTGCTGGCCCCAGGGCCAGATCATATAAACTGTTTGGGGCCACATTTCCCACAGCATCCAGGAACCTGGAGTTTGAGATGGCTTTCACGCTCAGCTTCCTGCAGAGGAGAGGATAAAATGTTAAATTACAGGAAGAGTTTGGGGTTTGACATGAATAACACGCGCATTAGCTAAAAGTAAACATCAGAATATTTCTGCCTGGATGTTTTGAGCTCTAACTAGCCGCAAGCTAACAGGCTAAAAAGTGTCTCACCTTATTTCCTCGGTCGAGTACAAACCAAAGGTCATGCCCTCTAGCCGCCGCCATGGCACCTCTTTAGAAAACAGCATTTTTCTGCGGATGTTAGCTAAAACTCTGTTGTTTAGTGCTGATAATTCATGTTGCTAAGTGTTGAAACCCACGAGCTGCAGAGTCCTCCTGTTCCACACGTGGGACCGTTCCACCGCCTCTGAGACTGGGGGGGAGTTCTCCGACACGGAGTTAAACGGCGGAATTAACCGTCACTTTTAGTTTATATTACAATAGTGCACAAAAATGCATTTTACCATATTTAATTCATATATATTATTCTAAACGTTTGAAATAACCTATTACTCTCACCCCAACCCCCTGTTTCAGCTGATATGGTTTGCTCCGTTCCCACAAGCCTTCAGTTGCTAACAATATGGCGGCTCCCTGTAGGCACGTAGGACACTATATTCAGAGAAACAGTGGATTTCTGCGGATTAATCTCGACCAGCTGTTTGCTGGAAGGTAAAATACGCTTAATGTCGTCTTCCTATAATGTCCTAAGTTTACAGAGCTGTAATATCTAGTGTTTTATTGGTGACAGCATCCCCACAGGGAGGGAGAGGTCATGTTTCTGTCAGTTACTTACATCACCAACAATCATCCAAATGCAGGTTTAAACAGTTAAATACCTGCAGACCCATAGCCATCTATTAACCAACACAGCGAGGAAAAGACCTTTGGTGTTAATATATATACCAGAGTTTCTGTCGCTTTTTAACAATCCGCTATTTCTAATGCCGGTGTAGCATCGAATGCTGTCCCCCATCAAACTGTGTGACCTCCTTATGTAGTTTATTGGTTTTATTAGACGATAAAACATGATGCAGAATAATAGTACATTAAGGAAATATATAGGGTACGGAAGAGGATTAGGGCCAATGAAAAAAGAAAAAGGAGCCACATTTCTCTGTGACCTCGTTTCCGTTTTAGGAAACATCTTTGTTGGTCTTTATCTGAGTTTCCCAAATGGACAAAACTATTTGTAAAAATATTGTGATGCGATTCCTGAGGTTTATGGATGGATAACATATATGAGGAAATAAAGAAATGCATCATGAATTATGTAAATACAATAGATTTGTTGAAGTGTCACAGTACATATACCATTAGGAATGCATGATTGAAATAAATACAATTCACATCAATTACTTAAAGAATAAGTTTAAAATGATGAATTTTCTACAAAAGAATGTATTTAAAAATGAATGTAATTACCTTCCTCTGTATATTTATACTTTCCAGGCTGCAGCACTGTTAGTTATTAGAGAAGCCGTGGTCTATTTGAAATATCTGACCCCCCAGGCTGCTTCATTGAACCTTTCTCTGTTTGTTTCCTGTAGGAGTTTCAGTCTGATTGCGGCTCTTCAACAACAAGCAGCTGAGGTTCCTAAAGGTAAGCGGATCAGATGACTTGGATTTTTCATTTTCCAAGTCATCCAATTTAAATCATCCTTAATAAACATTTATGAAAATTGGCTCCACAAAAGTTCAACAAAGTGAACTGCAGACTCAGTCCGCATGATGAAGCATGGCAGTGGAAGCACCATGCTGTGGGAAATGCTCTTTAACAAGGCGGGTAGAGACAAATTACACATGCTGTAAATATGAAATAAGGTCGCGTATGTAGCTGTGCAAAAATTTAATGAGTGTAAAATAAAGCTGAGCAACATTTCAGTCTATAGAGTAGAATAGAATAGAATACAATAGAATAGAATAGAATAGAAAATCCCTTTATTCTCCCACAATGGGAAAATTCTGGTGTTTACAGCAGCAAAAAGTTTATAGAAAAAAATTGTCAGACGAATATGGACCTTAGAAAAATGTAAAAGAGTAACACACTAGTGAAGAGTTAAAAGATAAACAATAAAATACTATAAAGTGTTTTAACAATATAAACCCAAAAACATTAAAAAATATCACCTAAAAACAACAGTCACAGACTGAAACCCCTATAATAAGCTCTCAAATGAATAAAATGTTTTTTTTAAATAACTTGGAATCATTTAACTTCACATTTAATTTCACAGTTTATCTAATCTATTAATAATGTAATGGATAAATATTAAAATGCTTCTTTGAAATAAAATTCTTTAATTTAGATCTTAGAGTTAATTTTAATTATTCAATGGAAAATTGAAAACTTTGTGCATTTTCTAATGTCATGGTGTATATTTTTTTCTTGCATTAGATAAATAAAATATTTTTTTGAACATGTAATTATTTATTTGATTACATTTAATTAAAATGTATTTAATACATTTTTTATATTTATTATCCCTTTATAATTTTGTGGTACATCTATTAGATAATGTATTTGATAAATAAATAGATAAGTAAATAAATATTTCATTACAAAACATTTAATAATTTATTTAATGGCTGATATTTGAACAGATGTTTAAATGAATGACTAAATGAATAGTTTAGTTTAACTTCTTTCTGTGTTTTTAATTTCTCACCGTTTTATTCAGATTTACTGATTCCAAGCTTTTTTCCCGTCCATAAACCAAATATTGAGGATGGTGAGCGTTGCTCTCTGCTGCCTAACAGAATGAATGATTTCACCAACGCTGGTTTTTGTTTCTATTTCTTGCATTTCAGAGTCCAAAGAGGCGATAGTTATGCCCAGGAAGAAATCATGGTAAGTCTACCTTCTACATGTCGCCTGCAGCTCAGTTTCCTGTCATCAGATCCGTCATCGATGGGCTTTTCTCCCCACAGGAACAGAGAAGCAGTCCTGGAGGCTCTGGCTTCCACCGTCCACAGAGTAGGACCCCCCTCTCCGCTCGCTTCAGTGTGTTTCTGCTCGCTCCTCTTGTTTTAACGTGTTTTTACCTGCAGGATCCAACAGCGTATCCCTACCAGTTCCAGGACGACTCGTACCTCTCACCCAGGACGTCTGCTGAGTTTGTACGTTTAGAAACGCCGCTCAGAGCTTATAGCCTTACGTCTGTGCTTTAGCGTCTGACATGTTTTCCTCTTCCTCTCTGCAGAAGCTCTTCTCCCTCTCCCAGGAGTCTGGCAGAGCTGCAGCTAAATACTTCGTCAACAACAACCCCAAGTTCTTCACCAAAGACTTTGCTGAACCACATATTCCTGTAAGAACCGGAGCGTTTGAATCCATTTCTCTTCAGCTCAGTGTCTAATGGGGGGTTTGTTTCAGTGCTTGATGCCGGAGAGCGTGGCGCTGCGTCTGGAGGAGGTGAGTGAGGCGGCGCTGAGGGAGCGGATCAGCCTGAGGAAGGTCTCTGCTGCCGTGGAGATGTACGACCAGCTGCTGCAGTCAGGTGAGTTCACCCACAGCAAGGGGGGATTCTCAGGTGGTCGCCCCCGCCTAGAAACCTGCTCCTTACTGCTGCTCCCAGGCACACCTGTCTCCATGGAAACGACCCACGAGCTGCTGGACCTCATCTGCGTGTACTGCGACAGGGACCCCGTCCAGGAGGGCGCCCCGATTCTGGAGGATGGAGTGAGTCGCTCTCTGTCAGTGTTTGTCGTTGGCGCTGCCAAAGGTGAGCTAAGCGTTTCTGTGCTCGGCTCAGCAGGAGGGGGGAGACGACACAAAGAGGCGTAAAGTCAGAGGGCGGCGAGGAGCGGACCTGAAGTTCACCTGGAAGGAAAACAACAACGCAGAACGGATCTTCCAGCAGCTGCCAGAGAGAGACTCGAGGTGTTACTCAGCTCTGATCAGAGGCATGGTGAAGGTACGGCCTCCTTCGCCGCAGCATCGGTCCGACCGCGTCCTCAACGTAAAACTTGTCCCTGTGTCTGTCTGCAGCACGGAGTGTTTTCAAAGGCCTTCAACATGTACACGGAGCTGCTCAACCACAGGCTGACGGGTGAGGATCAGAACACGCAGCCGAGGTCTGGTTGATTCTGTGTCTGATTTAATGGAAGCAAAATGAGAGGAGCTCTGAAAAAAAAACACCAGAGGAGCCGCGTTTCTATCTAACAAAAATAGCTGCCTGGGGCTTCTTCTAAAAGTTGTCATTAAATACGACTTTATTCTCGTAATGTTACGACTCTATTCTCACAATCTTACGACTTTATTCTCGTAATCTTATTACTTTATTCTTGTAATGTTACGACTTTAATCTCGTAATCTTACGACTTTATTCTCGTAATGTTACTACTTTATTCTTGTGATGTTACAACTGTATTCTCGTAATCTTATTACATTATTCTTGTAATGTTACAAATTTGTTCTCGTAATGTTACGACTCTATACTCGTAATCTTATTACTTTATTTTTGTAATGTTACGAACTTATTCTTGTAATATTACGACTTTATTCTCGTAATGTTACGAATTTATTCTTGTTATGCTACGCCTTTATTCTCGTAATGTTAGGACTTTCTTCTCGTTATGCTATGACTTTATTCTTGTAATCTCAGGGGTTTATTCCCGTAATGTTATGTTTCTATTCTCGTAATCTTATTACTTTATTCTTGTAATGTTACGAACTTATTCTTGTAATATTACGACTTTATTCTCGTAATGTTACGAATTTATTCTTGTTATGCTACGCCTTTATTCTCGTAATGTTAGGACTTTCTTCTCGTTATGCTATGACTTTATTCTTGTAATCTCAGGGGTTTATTCCCGTAATGTTATGTTTCTATTCTCGTAATCTTATTACTTTATTCTTGTAATGTTACGAATTTATTCTCGTAATGTTACGACTCTATACTCGTAATCTTATTACTTTATTCTTGTAATATCACAACTTTATTCTTGTAATGTTACAAATTAATTCTTGTTATGCTACGACTTTATTCTTGTAATCTCAGGAGTTTATTCTCATAATGTTATGTTTCTATTCTCATAATCTTATTACTTTATTCTTTTAATGTTGCAACTTTATTCTCGTAATGTTACAACTTTATTCTCAAATTGAAAAAAAATAATCTCTAGCCTGGACCTAATACTCCGTCATAGCATCAGGCTAATAATCCTGGTTTTATGTTGAAATGACGGCGGCCGGCCATGACTCGCTGTGCTGTTGTTACGTAACCTCGCCTTGTGTTCACAGCTGATGTCCACGTCTTCAACGCGCTGATCTCAGCAGCTCCAGATGTCAGAGAGAAATTTAGCGAGCGGTGGGACCTGATCACCGTAAGTCAGAGCTCTGGTAGCCCGCCTTCTGCTCCAGCATCCCTCAGAGCCGTTAAACT